GGGGGGGTTCAGTACAGTATGGAGCGAGATGACTCGATGGCAACGAGTTGGATGGCCGAACTCAATAGCGTGCGGAGCCTGCGAAAAAAAGTCAAGGTACACCACACGATCTTCTTCATTAATACAAAACGGCGTTAACGCAATGTGCGTCCCACAGGAGAGTAGAGAAATAGTGGCCGACTCGCGGGTTTGTGGAACGTGGGGAAGAGTGAAGGGCGCACAACAGCTGACGGCAAGGCAGACAACGGACTGCCTAATCTGCGGCTGGCCGGCCCGACCGGCGCCATCGGATCTTGTGTATGGATCGACAATGCGGTGGCCCCGAGTGAAGCAAATCCAGACGCGGAGTTGAGGCTGAGACGTCTTCGTGTACGTGTGAATACCTAGCTCGTGAGACTTGTCGGGTTGCTGAGGACAGGCAGTGGATGACGGCAGGGCAGAGCAACGAGAAGACGGCTCTCCAGAAGGTCGGGCGCAAGGCGCAGGGGCTGGGGCGAGCGAAATGAGAGGGGAAAAGTGGGAACAGCAGGGACGCCAAGAGCAGACAAGCCTTTCCCCACAAAGCTTGGAAAGCTTGACACCGGTTGCGATCGACGTTCATCAGGCCAGGCATTGTGCGACGTTTTGCATCCTGGTCTCAACCGTCAAGAGCGTCATGGCACGCCCTGGCAGGCCCTGGCCGCGTCAGCTGCATGTGGCAGGAGCGTCAACCATGGTGTCGAGATGATGATTCGCCGGAAATAGACGCGGGTCGCTGCTGCCCGCACGTCGCTCGTCCCATGCTGCTGCACTCCCGGCTCTCCCCGGCTCTCCCGGCCGCCGAAGCAGCTGCCATTATTGGCGCCCGAGCCTGCAGCCCGTCATCCACGCCGGCTCCCTCGTACCCAGCCTCACAGCCACCCCCGTTGCTGCGCCAGGTGACACTGCGTTCCGCCCTCGCTCTTTGTCACTCACCTTCATCTCTGCCATGGCTGCTCACGCCTTCTCGCTCCCCTCCCTACGATCCCTTCCTCCACCAAAGTACTCACCGTCTCGCCGCCTCGCAAAATGCGGGCCTTCGGACCTACGCTTGCCACACTGCTGTCGCTCTCCTCGCTGACCACTGCCGCCTTGACGCTCGATGTCGATGATCCAAGTGAGACAGACCTGCTTCCGGTGCCTGCTTCGTCGTTCTGATCCGGTCAAGATAGCATCAAGTCTGCTGCCAGCACCATCGCCTACGGTCTGATGAGATCCTACACGGGCAACCAGACCGGCCAGATCCCCGGCTACCTGCCTCAGCCATACTATTGGTGGGAGGCAGGCTCAATGTTCATGACAATGGTAGAGTACTGGTACAGCACCGGCGACGCCACGTACAACGACGTCACCTCACAGGCCTTGCTCTTCCAGGTTGGAGAAAACAAGGACTTCATGCCCACAAACCAGACCAAAGACGAGGTGTGCTCCTGCCCCCGAAGCCTCTCGCCCGCGCCTGCCGTGCTTATTCTCATTCCAGGGCAATGATGATCAAGTCTTCTGGGCCTTTGCTGCTCTCTCCGCCGCCGAACTCGGTTTCCCCAACCCACCAGCCGATCAACCGCAATGGCTGGCATTGGCCCAAGCCGTCTTCAACACGCAAGCCGCGCGCTGGGATCGCACCTCGTGCGGCGGCGGCCTCCGCTGGCAGATATTCACCTTCAACGACGGCTACGACTACAAGAACGCCATCTCCAACGGCGGCTTCTTCCAGCTCTCGGCGCGCCTGGCACGCTACACGGGCAACGCCACTTACGCCGACTGGGCGGAGCGCATGTGGGACTGGCTGGCGCAGTCGCCGCTGCTGGACACCAAGACTTCGCCAACAAAATACACAGTCAACGACGGCACGTCGACGACAACAAACTGCAGCTCGGCCGACCGCCTGCAGTGGACGTACAACTACGGCACCCTCGTCTCGGGAGCCGCATACATGTACAACCACACCAACGGCACCGCCGCGTGGGAGACGCGCCTGTCGGCCTTGCTCAACGGCACCTACGACACCTTCTTTCCCCAGCAATATTCGGCGGGCACCATCATGTCGGAAATCACGTGCGAGCAGGGCCAGACGTGCGACAATGACCAGCCGTCGTTCAAGGCGTACCTCGCACGCTGGATGGCCGTCGCCGCGCAGCTCGCCCCCTTTACCGCCGCCGCCATCGCTCCCCGCCTCCGCGCCAGCGCCCTGGGCGCCGCCAAGCAGTGCGCCGGCGGCGAGGGCGGCATCATGTGCGGCAGACGCTGGTATCAGGACACGTGGGACGGCTTTCAGGGCATCGGCGAGCAGATGAGCGCGCTGAGCGTCGTGCAAGCGAACATGCTATTTATAAACAATGGCACCGATGGTGCGGATACGCCGAAGCCACCGTTGAGCGCGGATACAGGTGGCAGTAGCAAGGGCGATCCGAGCGCCGGGACGGGGAGCGGCGTTGCGCAGCCGAGGGTAGATATGGTGACGACAGCGGACAAGGCGGGGGCGGCGATTTTGACCGTCGGGGTGGTGATCCTAACGGTGGGTGGGGCTTTGTTTATGGTGCTCGGCGTTTAAGTGCACCGCTATGCAGGTCATTCCGGCTTTTTGAAGGGTACGGTCCGGCGTTTTCATCTGGTGTTAGAATTGGTATGTCTTTTGTGTTCATAGAGTCTGTTTCCGCCTGGATAGTTGGAAGTTTACCGAGGTATTCCGCAGCGCAGGGTTTGCATGGGTAGTCTCTTACCGCATAATCGCAAGCGTACTTGTCCTCACTTTTAGATAGCTTAGGCTACTTCGTATCTGTAGGTTCCTCATAATACACAATAGCAGGTAGAATACAAGGCTTGAGCGAAACAGGTCCGAGAACACCAAAAGCTTTTGGAAACCAATATAAAACCATCAAAGGCGGGAAGGAGAAAGCAAGTTCGATGGATACTTGGGCTTTGAAAGAACCTCAACACCATTTAATACCTAAACCATATCCGTGAAGCACTCCCCACGACTCATGGTACGTCCAAATGCCAAACCTTTTGAGAACAGAGTCATTTTATTCGCTTTCCGGCATAGAAGCAACGGATCGGTCAGCTGCAGGATGGTTCTTGTTTACGAAAGTAGTTTGGCGGACACCAGATATACCCGGAGGAAAATCACAAGGTCATTTACGCAGTCTTCTCTCTGCTGTAGCTCGAGAAAGGTTGCTTCTTTGCAAAGTTTGTCTTGTATGTATAGCATGATGTCTGGTTTTGTCAAGTCTTGCATGTTGTCCTCGCGGTCTTCAAACCCCTCGACCTACGGAGATTATTTGCGTGGGCAGTCGAAGCAGGTATTTTGACGTACATGTAAGCTTGGACATCCTTTCTTGATGAGGAGGTGAAGCAGATACCAGACGTAGATGCGAGTATCAAAACTACACAAATGAATCCAGATATAGTATCATATCGCTTGTGTGAGCTAGGTGCAGGTGGGGTCAATTTATTTCTGCATCTACTTAATGGGTGGGAAATGCGTCAGTCAGGTGGGCCTCCCTTTGACTGGTAGGCCTAGTGCATTGCAGCCTCACCACAAGGCAGATGGCTCAGCCGCACTGCGCCCCAAGGCTTGCATATAGGCAGAATTTCCTGCAAAGAGCATACCACTGAGGGAATTTGTGGGGAGACATGGCAGAGTTGGAAAAGAAAGGACCAGAATTTGCCAGCGACAAAACGACCCATCGGTAAGAAAACCCCAGACTTGGTGACGGCGAAGCCTTAGCCTTCCACAATATCATAGCTCCTCGAGCTACCCAACGCGTCTCTATCTTCACCACCACTGTAATCATCATCATCAAGCGGTCTCGTCTTCCTATCACCACTGTCTCTGAGGAGCTCCTGCAGCCAAGTCGGCCAGCCCTTGAAGCTGGAAATCAGGGCGCTGCGCTCCGGCACGAACACCTGGGCCGGCTCGGCGCGGAGCACCTGGCGCACGATCTTGGCTGCAACCTCGGCGGGCGTAATGATGGGGGCGCCGCTCTTCTTCAGGCTGGCTACCCACGAGTCCACGATGGGCGTCTGCGTCCACGTCGGATGGATGATGGACGTGATGATGTGTTTGCCGGCCGGGCCGTAGCGGTGGCGCAGCTCGACGTTGAGGCCTTGAGGCGCCGTTCGTCAGTGTTGCCCTTTCCGTCTGGTTATGAAAGTGCAATTGTGTGCTCACCTTCGTGCAAAGACAAGACGGCAGCCTTGCTGGCAGCGTAGTTGACAATGCCGGAAGGGGTGTAGTAGCTCGCCAAGCTGGCGACGGTGACGATGTGGCCCTTCTTCTGGGCCAGCATGCCCGGCAGGAATTCCCGGATGAGCGAGAAGTGGCTGAGCACGTTCACGCGGAAGAGCTGCTCGTCGTACTCGTCGTTCCCCTCGAGGATGGCGTGCTGGTGCGCGATGCCCGCGTTGTTGATGAGCACAGTCGGATCGCCGCAGTCGGCGCGGATCAGGCTGGCCGTCGAGTGGATCGAGGCCGGCGATGTCAGGTCGCAGCCGTAGAAGGCGATGTTGGCGCCTATACAAAACACATCAAAACTCGCCCGACGACGACGACGACGACGACGACAGCGGAAAAGGGCAAGACTCACGCCCCTCAAGCTCCACCGGCAGCTCCACCACATCCACCACCACGACCTTCACCCCCTCCACCCCGCGCCTGCCCCCCTTGGGCCCCCCCACCAACCCCATCACGATCTCCTTCCCGATGCCCCCGCACCCGCCCGTCACAACCACCACCTCCCCCACCCCCCTTTTCCCGTCAAAATCCCACCCAGCAGCCCCCCTCTGATCGGTCCGGCCTATAACTCTCCCCTTCGACCCCCTTTTCCACCCCAACCCCAACCCGACTCCCTCCCACCCCCACCCCCACCGCCACTGCCTCATCGCCCACCGACTCAACACCGCATTCGCCGCCCTCGCCACCCCCACCGCAAACAGCACCCTCAACACCCCCGTCGCCCGCTCCAGCCGCCGCCGCCGCCGCCCCGCGCGATACTCGTCGATGATGAGTACGGGCGGCGAACGGCCCGGCCACGCACCGCTCAGCGCCCTCTCGAACCGGGCGCGGGCGTCGCGCACCGGCGCCGGCCCGCCGCGCGTGCCGAGGAGGAGCAGGGCGAGGCCGGTGAGCGAGGGGGAGACGACGACGTTGAGCGCGGCGGCGAGGGCGGCGGCGAGGGCGCGGGCGAGAGCGGCGGTGGAGGCGGAGGCGGCTTTGGAGAGGGCGTTGGTGGTGTTGGTGGTGTTGGCGGTGTTGGTGTTGATGTTGTTGTTGCGAGGCCGGCCGCTGGAGGAGGACGCCATTTCCTTTTGCTTCTTTTTTTTTTTTTGGATCTCTCTTCTTTTTTGGGCTGTTTTCTTCCTTGTTGGCTGGGAGAGAGGATGATGTTTTTTCTTTTCTCCTTTGGCCTGTTCGTTGTGACAGACGTAGAGGTCTTGGAGCGGACGGTTCTGTTTCCCTTGTGGTGTGGATTAGCTGTGTCGGTGATGTTGAATTGCCTGGGTGTTTTGCTGCAGAGATTTGGCAAGGACGGAGGGTGGTGCGATGACGCAGTTGCTTGGCCTACAGAGAGAGGGGTCAAGTACTGCGGTCCCGGGTCGGGGGGAGGAGCCTGTTTGAGAAGCTGCTGTGCAACACTAACGATGCGCGAGTTGGCTGTGCGGGTCGAGGGGGGCTAGAGGAGAGCAGAGACTGCGTTTTATCAATACCAAAGCATTGGAAGGAAGGAGGGGCTGCTGGTCGAGGCCATGGCCACGCAGACCTATTATATCGAGCTGCGGACTCATGGAAAAGATGAGTGGATAAAGGTTGCAGCCTTCCCCGCATATACCCAGAGTTCCCCCACATGCTTGCCGCAAGCTTATTCCCTGCCACATCCGGCCCACATCCGGCCTGGGCCAACAGCATGCGCTGGAATTGCTATGTATTTGCTTTGTACATACTTTCTATTCCATACTTGAGTATCGCTCACCACCTTCTCCCAGCCCGATAAATAAACTTTTTGCTGCTCCAATAAATCAGATCCATGAAATATCAATGATGCGAATAAGCCCGTAGTTCGTGCTCTCCGCCCGAGGGGCCAATTGCCCAGTTGCAAGGCCCATCGTCGAACGGCCGTACTTTTGCAGAAGTATTCAGCCATATTGGCAGCGAAGTCCGCATATCTTTGAAATTAGACCGTGGTGTTGACGACGTCGTCCTCGCGCGCAACAACGTCACCCTCGGCAGTCTCCCGGGTATCATCTTTCTCCGCTTGCTTGGTCGCATCCGCCCTATCCTCGGCCATGATGGCGTCTTCATCGGGGGCTACACTCGGAACGTCCTTGACCTCAACCTCCATTGCTCCGCCATCTTCCCCGTTCGCCTCGGCCTCAATCTTGGCTTTGTTGTACGTCTTGGAGTGGTCAATGAGCTCGGAGTTGTCGTTGTAAAGACGAAGAAGCATTGCCCTAGGTCCGTCAGCTTATCATCCCATGCCATTGCGTGACCTGCAACACTTACCTGCGCTCCTCCTTCGGCAACATCAGATTCAACGAAGCCAGGCTCCTCCAGAGCGGTAGAACCAGGCGGTCCCTGCATTGTCGTCAGTCTGAAACTCCTGAAAGCGTCGGGGCACAGTGCATACTTGAATCCGTCCTCGGCATCGCTGCTCTCCACTCTGAGGACGCAGCAGCCCATACCAATGTCTCTCACCCTCTCACCAATCTCACCAAGCTCCTTCCATCCGTCACCCGCAACCTTGGGGAACATCTCGATGAGGAGCTTGTGAAGAGTGTCGCGCTTGTACAGACGGACGATTCTCTCCTCGCCAACCCAGGGCTCAACGATCGGAAGACCCTCGGATTGGATACGCCACCTGCAGATATCCTGACCCTGCGCGTCCTGCTTCATGAACATCTTCACACCGCAGTGGACAAACTTCATGCCCTTGCCCTCGTTGAGCTGAAGGATATCCCGCGCAAGTGTCGACGTGTAGTAGACTGCCTTGGCAGGCTCGCCAGACGCGTTTCTAACCATGAAGCGATCGCGGGGGAATTTGGACGAGATCTTGTAGAAGCTGAAGATGTCCCCCAGAACCTCGTGCTCGGGGTCGAGATACTTGAAAGGCTCCTCATGCGGCTGATCCCGCCTCTTCCTCTCGGGCTTCGAAAGGTCAGTCGTCGAACCTTCAGCCTTGTGTTCGCGCTCCGAGACGGCCGGTGGGACCTCGTCGTGCTCGGGCGGAACTTCAACCTTGGTCCGCTTCGCAGCAGGGTCCTCGGTCTCAGCATCATCCAAGCTCCTCTTAGTAGGCGATGCTGGGGGCATGTTGCTTCGCGCTGCGGCAGAGTCGTTTCCTTGAATCGGAGCACTCTCGACCTTACCGTCAGTGTTCGCCACCTCCTCCAAAGACTTGAGGCCCTCCAGTTTCTCTCCATTCTCCGTCTTCTGCTCAATCTCGTTTACGAGAGTCGTGATCGGCGCTGGAGGAACGGTCCTCGCGCCAGAAGCGCTTGCCTGGTACTCAGGGCGGGCCCTGATCTCCTCCTTCTTCTCAATCACCGTGATGAAGAAACCGCCCGTGTCCTGGAGGTGAGGGTAGACGCGAATGCAACGCTCGAGCGGTATTCTTTCCTCTTCGTTCGTTGCCGACTTGGGCGGGAACATGCCCTCGACAATCTTCTTCAGAGCTTCTTCGCCCGGTTCCGACTGCTTGGCAGCAACCTCCTCGAAGGAGCTGTACATCCGAGCCTGCTTGTCCATAACCTTCCAAGTCTTCAGGCCAGGAACCCTCTTCAGACCGGGGAGCTCCTGGCTGCAATCGAGGATGCGGACCTTGGACATGCCACCACAGCGGTCGATGGCGCTTGCAACCACAGCTTCGTTTTCGATGGGGTTCAAGCTGCAAGTCGAGTAAACAACGCGGCCGCCGACCTTCAGCATCTGCAGGGCCCGAACAAGAATGCGCTGCTGAGTGATGTAGAGTCCAAGGCCGTTGCCCGCGGTCCAGTCCTTCCACACGCTCGGGTTTTTGCGAGCCGTGCCATCTCCAGAGCATGGAACGTCAGCCAGAATACGGTCGAACTTCAGGTACTTGTTGGGTTGGCCCTTCTCCGAAGGGATTCTGATGGACGGGAAAAGAGTGGCATCGTGGTTGGTGACGACCAAGTTCGGCGAGTTCAGGCGCTTGACCTGGTGGACCAACATGTGGGCACGCCTGTTGTCGACATCGTTGCAGACCAGGAGACCGGTCGCCCTGCCGAGGTCGAGATCGTCCTCTCCAGCCTGGTCCTTCTCCGCCTCGACCTCAGCGCCGTCAGGGCTGATTTCACGGCCCAACTCCGGCGCCAGCTTGCGCAGCACGTTGCGGATGCGAGCCTCCTCGCCGGCGTGAACAGCCTCGCACAGCTGCGCCGACTTGCTACCCGGAGCAGCGCACAGGTCCAATACAGTATGCCAAGGCTTGATGTCGATGAGCAGCGGGGGAATCATGCTGACAACCTCCTGCCTGCTAATGTTGCCGACGGTGGTCTCGGAAACTAGGAACTTCTGGAAGGAGGCGAAGGGAGGGAACTTGCGGATGACGTTCTTCGGGGTCGTCATCTGCCAGGCGAGCTTCTCGGGGAACCACTCGAGCTGGGTCGGGGGCTCGACCTTCTGGCCGTCGAAGGTGACCTTGGTAATTTCGGGGATGTACTGGTCGATCAGGCGCTGCTGAACGGCGAGAGCATGGCTGCAGACATGAGCGGAAATGCACAAGGGTGGTGAGGCGGGGCGGCGTACCCTTTGGAGCCAGTGAAGCGGAAGCTGTTGGGCAATTCCTTTTTCAAGGCAGTCCAGAACTGCTCGCGCTCCTCCTCGGGCACGAGGCCGAGCTCGTTGTAGTACTTTTCGAAGCTGACGTTGTGCTTCTCGACTTCCTTCCAATCGCCACGAGATCCTCCGCCAGCAGCCCATCCGCCGCGGTTTCCGCCACGGCCGCGACCGCGTCCGCCCTAAAATTAGGTGAGTATAGAGGATGGGTTGTGTGGAGTGAGGCACGTACGCCTCTGCCTCCGCGTCTGCCCATGGTGATCAAAATGCGCGAAGAGGAAAAAGGTAAGTAGAGAGGGTGTGGTGCGTGCTTTGGATTGGTCGCGGGCGCTCACATTATTTCTGCGACCGCCCGCCGCGGCGCCGGTCAAAAGTAGATCCGACAGGCCCAAAGCTTGGCTGGCAAAAGCATTTCCCACCAACGGCAGCAGCAGCAGGACACTCACCAGTATAACAGACGGGCCCTTCCACCAGGGAAGCCCGTGCTTGGCGATTTCCACAGTGAAGTCGTTACGGTAACATGTTTTCTTCCCCCGACATGGCAAACCACAGCTTCCGGGCGACAGTCTCGGGCCGACAGACAAGAAGGCAAGCTAGGGAAGATCCGCACAGGGGTCCTGGAAGCGGTCTGGCGTCATCGGACTTATAGCGCAGCTGTCGAAGGACACAGAAGTCTGGGACCGCTTTCTCCACACTCTCCCGCTGCACACTGCATCGCATCCACGCGTGACGCGGCCCAATTCACATCTCGGGTTTCGCCCGCTCCACTCCCCGCATTACCGCTCGCCAATTCTGCCTACTGATCGACCAGCTACTTTTCACTTCTCCCCTTGAGTCGTAGTCCGCGAGATTCCACTCCAGTCGTTCCTGCTCAACTACTCCCTAATCATCATGGCGGGCTGGCTTGAGCGGCTGAAGAACATCTTCGTCCAGTCCTTTTTCATTCCGTCCCCTCCACTGTCACCGGAGAACCTCGACGACCAGTCTGGAAGAGTACGGCCGAACGCATAGTCTCCATCAGTGAAGCACCGTTGGCTAACTCACCGCAAAGGTCATCATCGTGACCGGCGGCTATGGCGGCGTCGGCATCGAGCTGACCAAGGCCCTGTACGCCAAGAACGCAACCGTCTACATCGCCGGCCGCAGCGTGAAGAAAGCCGCCATGGCCATCGCCGACATCGAGGACGAGGTGCCGCGCTCCGACGGCCGGCTGGAGTTCCTCAAGCTCGACCTGGGCGACCTCTCCTCGATCAAGAAGACGGTCGAGGACTTTCTCAAGCGCGAGCGCCGCCTGGACGTGCTGGTCAACAACGCCGGCGTCATGACGCCCATCGCCGACGGCAGCACGACCGAGGAGGGCTACGAGCTGCAGATGGGCACCAACTGCCTGGGGCCCTTCCTGCTGACCAAGCTGCTGCTGCCGCTGCTCGAGAAGACGGCCCAGATCTCGGGCCCCAACGCCGTGCGCGTCACCTGGGCCGCCTCGGTCACCATCGAGACCGCCCCCGAGTTCGGCATCGCGTGGAACGACAAGAAGAAGGCCCCCGTCACCCACGCCAGCGGTGCCACCAACTACGCCCAGTCCAAGGTCGGCAACCTCTTCCTCGCCTCCGAGTTCGCCCGCCGCCACGGCCGCGACACCGGCATCGTCAGCGCCGCCTACAACCCGGGCAATCTGAGGACCGAGTTGTTCAGGCATTCCAACCCCGTAGTCGCCTTTCTCATGGTGAGGGTCCCCGCTTTCCCCTCCCCTCCCCTCCCCCCCTGAGACTATCGCGTTGTGTAACTGTGACTGCAATGCTGACCCGAATTAAAAAGCAAATCATCCTCTACCCCGCCAAGCTCGGCGCTTGCACAGAGCTCTTCGCCGGCTTCAGTCCGGCCGTCGGCCAGCACAACGCTGGCTGCTTGGTCATACCCTGGGGACGCGTCTTCGAACCGCGTCAGGGTTTGCAGCAGGCGATACGCCTGAATTACGAGGGGGGCTGGGGTGTCGCCGAGCTTTTCTGGGACTGGTGTGATCGCGAAACGACAAGGTGGATGCAGTATGAGCAGGACTGAACAAAAGACTCAGCCCTAAACGAAAAACCGCGACGAGCAAGGTGAACGCCTCTATGTTTGTTCCGAAATTCTACTTCCAAGGACCTCCTCGCCGGAGAGAAGGCCCAGTATATAGGACGATTTGCGCGTTAGATTTGACTCAATTCGGGGCACACAACATATACAATATTGGAGAACTCCATTTCAATCTAACATTACCAAACCGCCAGGCCCTTCAACTGCTCACTCGTTTATTTCTGCTATTACCAGCACCAGTAATGCTCCGCCAGTTGAAATGAAGCCGAAGAGAGGAAAAGTAGAAACCGCTGCATGATGTGTGGAAATGAAAAGAGGCTCGCTTTTTCCGAATGCAATAACACAGTGTGTTCTGTAAGGACCATACTGTACTGAATGAAAGCCAAATAAAAGGTGTGGTGGTCATGACGAGATGCCATATTCTCGTTACGAAGACAGCAGAGCATCCGTCACGTCATCCGTCATCTCGTCGGTACAATTTCGGATAAGGAATGGACATTCACAGCCATCCCAGCGTCCGTTATCCGCGTTCTCCATAAGCTTGGCAATGGATGGAGGAGCGTCTTCATTTACATCGCCACTGCGTCAGGAGTGTGGTTGTCAAACGAGTGAACAGGCTCGTGGACCTGGGGCACCTCGGGAGTCTCGGTCGCGAAGGCTGCCGTGGGCGCCTCAGGGAAGTCGGCCTCCTGGACCGGAGCCTTCTCGTGAGTCATCTCAGGCGGCGGGGCGGACTCAACGGGCGCGGCCGCAGCGGGAGCAGCGGGCGTCGTGGGCCGGCTCCTAGCAGGGAAAGCCTTGCTCTTGGCCTGTCCAATGAAATCCTGCGCCTTGTTGCTGTACTCGTTGGCGTAGACCTTCAGCTGCTTCTGCGCACGGGTGCTGTGCTGAGCAGCAAGGTCCTTGAACTGGTTGGTTTGCTCATTCAGCATCTGGTTGGTGAGGCGGAGCTGCTCGTCAATGTACTCCTTGTTCTGAATGTACACGAGAGGGCCCATGTAGACGAGGACCGTGGCGATCAGGCCAAGGCCCCAGAGAGGGAGCCATTTGATGAGGAAGTACGAAATGAAGGAAGCAACAAAGCACTGCATAACATGTTAGCACCTGCCCGAAAACAGCTACTGAATATCGACGGGTTCATGCTCACCGCAGCGCTGACGTAGATGTTCTCGACGAACACCACACGCTGGAACTCGATGACAAAGAAGTTGATGAACTGCTCCAGATCGTCCGTAAGGCGCTCCAAGGAGTCCTTGCGGATCATGTAGTACTTGCGCGGGCGCATTTGCGTAGCGAGTCCATGGCCCAGGGCGGCCTGTCCAGCGACCTCGGCGAACGCAGTGCCTGTCGTCGTTTGTCAGAATCCACCTATGAGATCTCGCATCCAATTGTATACGCACAGCCCAGAGTAACCCAGAGGAGCTTGAAGATGTAGCGGACGATGTTGACATAGCGCGCCGTGAAGATGAAGAGGACGGAGCAGGCAAAAGAGATGGCAGTCGCGCGGGGGTTCCTCCACTGCGACTAGTTAGTGGTCGTGACGTCAAAAGTGGATTCGTGTAAACTTGCGCTAAGAAGCCTGTAGAACATCGAGTGGTAATCTAGAACTTGGTCAGTATACCTTCGTGTGGCAGCGGGGGTCGCAATCGTTGCTGCCTACGGGTCAAGGGCTGGCCGGTGGCCGCAGGCTGGCCGGGCACGCGACGAGCGTCAGCGAGGTCGCGGAACTCAGACTGCGTCTTCGCAGTCTCGGTCTTGACGCTCTGGCCGACAGGGCCTAGGGACGATTAGTAACGCTGTTTTGCGCAGTTTTGAAGAGGGCCACAAAGAGGCATCCTGTCGCGCGGTCAGCCCACAGTCTTGCGCAAAAAGACAGACGGAGCGGGGAACACATACCTTACCGTTGACGGCTTGCTGAGCGAACGAGGAGTTCTGAACTGAGTCCATGGCGGATTGCGCGGCTGCGAAAGGAGAGTCAGGCGAGGAGTTTGGGAGCGAGGTGGTGTGCGCGCAAGAGCAGATAAGGGAACTGTGGTTATGCACCGAGCGTTAGCTGCCGTTCCGGAACCGCCGACGACCAGGGTGCATAGCTCTCGGTGAGCAGGAGCACGTACCTTACAGTTGACAATCGCGGCCTTGTAGGTGCCGTTTGTCTGCGGAGAGGGCTCGGCTGCGGGCGCAGAGATGGGCTCGGGAGCGCTGTGCTCGGGGAAGTCCTGCACGGGAGCTGTGGGATCGAGATCGACGTAGTTTCCACCGTGAGTGATGCTGAGATCCGGCGTGGGAATTTGGGGGGGAGCCTCGGTGGTCATGCTTTGGAAAGAGGAGGGGATTGGGAAACAAGGTGGTAGCTTCAGGATTGGCTGGGCTCGGGGAGGCTACGCTTTTTGTGTGGCCGGCAAGCTGATGCTGTGGCAGGCACGTTTGTTCCTTCCAACAGGTTTACTGGTCGCGCGACAGCCTGGAGTTTTGGGGCGCCATCGTCCCGATGACGAAACACTAGCGCTAGCAAAACGCGAGCTGCACCCGCGGCCTTCCACCCCCAGCCGCCCTCTCAGAATCCGGCCTTTCCAGCCCCGTCACTTCCTTTGTCTCAACTCCCCGCGCAGATGATACTGCGCACAAGCGCACCCTCCGCCGCCTGGCCTGCCCGCCCGGCTGCATGCCGCACCCGTCCCGACTTGTCCTTTCGGCCACCCCTCATTTTCGCACCGTAATTCCGGGCATGTGATTGTCTAGCCACACGCCACATTTCGGCTGGCGGGCTCTTATCGTTCCGATAGAGAACGCGCTCACACGAATCATAGTCACTCATTTCAGTCAAGGTCGTGCAATGAAAGCTTCAATTTGGTATCTTGTACGTGAGCCGTGGAAGGCACCGATTAACAGCGCTCACTGCCAGCCTAAAACTGCCAGCCTAAAAGTGGAAGGAAAAATGGAGTCTTGAGGGGGAGAAGAAAGTTGCAAACTCGCAAGTAGTCCTCATCGAATGACTTATCTACAAGGCCTTGCTGTTTTTCTCCATTTAGAAATGTGTGATACTTGGCCATGAGTCGCAAAGCCTTAAAGGGCCTGGTGCTGAGCAGCGTTGACGACATCGCCGACCGAGTGCTTGCTGAGAAGGAGGACCTCCAAGCCAATGACGTGCACGAAAAGTAGGAAGAGGGTCACGCTAATGGCAAAGATCTTCAGGTAGAGCTTGACGACGCGGATGCGGGCCTCGCGGTTGAACGAGCGCCATGCGTCCATGAAGCCGATGGCACCGGATCCGCCGAGCACCTTGGGGACGACCTTGCCGCCGAAGGTACGGTCGAACGGAACAATAGTGTCCTCGTCCTCGGAAAGCATCGAAGCCTCGACACGAACGAGCTGGGTGTGAGCGGGAAGAATGACGAAGATACCCGCAGCAGCAAGAAGCAGCACGCCACCAATCAGGCGAACAACAGTCCAGGCCTTTTGAGAGGGGGTAGCGTCAGCGCTAGCCGACACGTCCAAGCTCAGGAGCGTGCCCATGCAGACAGTCATGTAGGCGACCAGGATTTGAACACCCTCATACACGAGGGCCGGAACGGCGAGGTTCTTGTAGCAAGCCAAGCCCTTGGCAGGGGTCCAACGGGTTCTCCATGAAGTGCCGGGAAGCGCGATGGTAGCGTGAGTCCAGATCATGTGCGCGGGAGCAGCGATGACGGTGGCGAGAAGAATGACGATGATGTTCAGGCCAGGAAGGCTAGGGGTGATGGCAGCCAAGAACTGGACCGACGTGTAGAACGCGAGGGAGTAGATGAAGCCGTAGCCCATGCCACGCCAGCGCGCAGTCCATCCAGCCTGCGAAGTAATGTGCTTGATGGTAGTGCGGATCTTCGAGGTGACGGGCTTGGCGTTGACGACGGTGAGCTTAGGCAGGGAGCCTCCGAGGAAGGCCTCGGCCTCAGCCTCCTTATCGCTAAGCTTCACGTTGCTTTCCTCGTCGGAGGGTGCAGCAGAGAGCTGGACAGCGGTAGCGGGGGTCTCGACCAGGGCGAGGGTGGTGACGACATGGCGAAGAGTGTATTGGACCTAACAAAGTAAGCAGGGCGACAGGTAGAAGAGCATGTAGACAGCCTTACCAAGCCGTAGAAAACGACGAACACGAAGAGGGTCAGGCCGACAGTGATGAGAACGCCGGTCTCAAGATCATCGTCGCTGCCGCCGGCCTCACGCTTTTCGACAGCCTTGGCGTAGTGCTTGTTGACGAGGTTGGAGGCGATGTCCATGCCGCGCTTCAAAAGCGGGTCTAGGAGACGTTCGGGGAATCCCATGGTCGCGGTTGCAAATGCGCGGGCGGGAGACTGGTTGTGCGTGGATGGGGAGAAATGTGGTGATGGTGGTTGAAAGTTAAGGAGTGCAACAATATAAGGAAGAGGTGCAGCAGGCAACAGCCGACTGAAGGATTTGGTGGCGGAGTCGCGGCGGAGGGAGCGAGACAGCCCCGGTGATCTCATGGGGAGGCGGCGCCTGCTAAATATGGATCGTCAATCTTCCGCTTGCGAGCTAGCGCCCGCCGGGGCCAGCATCCGCTACGCTCCATGTGAAGAACTTCAGCCACTCCTTCCGTGTGCCAGCAAAGCACCTGCATCTCAGGCTTCCGCAGGCCAGCCTGGCAGTCACCGATTGTTGGGTGCCATATGTCCTTCAAAACTCTTGGATAACGGCTGCAGTTGCGACCTTCCACCGGGCAAGGCCGACCCGCTTTGCTAATTAGCGTAACCCTGCGAGCATTCAGATCTGCCACAAGGCCTTGTCGCCGCCCGTTGTCTCTATGTCAGAGCCGCAACACCGTTAGTTGAAATGATCGCATAGTGATTCCATTCAGCTATCTACCGGTCTTTATAGATCGACTGACTGGTTGCTGGCTAGTTTACCTGGAATGTACTGGAAGTCTGCCTGCTAATGCGGCTAGATTCCCAGCTTCCACTATCTTAACTCTTTCGCGTCCAACTTCCGTCATCGACAAATCATCCGTCTCAGATTGCCGCACAACATCGCTGTCGGCATCTTTCAGGCCTGTTCATGTTTCCAGACACAGTCATGCATGCAGGGCATAATGATCCGTGTCGGAATGGTCGACACACAGGACCTGACACTGCATGCTTCCTGTTTATTCACATATCTCGCTTTCCACTAGTCCACAAACCAATGGAAGGTAAGCTAGATGGCCATCCCCTGTTGAATCAATATCCACAGCGGACATTGAAGTCTTTCATGTGCATGAGGCAAGGAGGCAATGATCTCAACCGACTACAATTGTCATAAGAACTAAAGAGGCGATAGACAAGTTTGGTGATTACTGTGTTGGCAATCAGGCGTTCTCTGATGATAAAGTGAGCCGTACTGAGAGGCTAATGAATAGTTCCTATCAACAACATGATCCAGGATAGCCTAGTCGTTGGCGGGCTGCCGGGCCAGATATGCGACAAAGCAGTGCTGTTCATCTTGGACCACACATGCAATATTGGGGTATCTATCATTCTTAATACTAGCAAGGCCCACGTGCAGGCCGGAATTATTTTGCAACTGGGTCCGACCATGTCGTACAGCAAGCCAGCGTTCCGGGAGGTCAACGGCTCTATCAACCCGCAGGCGCACAGTGAACACATCCCTGAGGATTCCATCGTCGGGGGGATTCATCAGGCGTTCCAGGACGGGGGTTTCGTCTACGCGGCGGGCGGTGGTTGGTACGCTTGTCCGGTGTTAGGGCCTGGCGTGTACCAGATCCTCAGCCAGCTGCTTGCATCGGCATCACCATCGCGACGAACAGCTTGTTGTACGGTCGCGGGCCGTTCGCGTGGCAGGACGATTAGGAACGGGGAGGGCACTGGTGCTCTGCGAGAGGTAAAGAGTGGGGACTAGGCTTGGTACGGAGAAGGTGTGGGGAGCTGGACGATCCAATCAGAGAACACGACGGGCTGCGTTTATGCAAGTGCTGTGCCTGGTTCTGGAAGTCGACGATGGTTTTGCGGTGCGAGGGCCATTGCGTCATCTGCGGCGGGCGCGCGGCGTAGGGCAGCGGCCACGAGAGAGACACAAGCCGCGGGCGCAAGGGCGGCGAGGGCGGGCGGGGGCGGCGAGCGGAGCCTGCGGAGCCTGAGGAGCCTGCAGGCGTCGCACATAGAGTTGATCGTCTCTGGCAATTTTGCAGCAGCACGCCGCAGCACGCAGCAGCACGCAGCAGCAGTAGCGAAAGCTGGCCTCAGCAGTCGGTCCTGCTCGGAAGGGCGCGCGCCGGGGGGCGACAGGGCAGGCAGCGTAATCGCGCTGCACTGATGCGCGCGCACCAATCAGTCCCCGCCTGGCCGCCGCAACTCGCAGGCCCGGACGCGCCTCGTCAGCCAAGGAGTAACATCCGGCTACCATCGTCTGGCGCCCTGACACTTTCTCCCGCCGCAAGCGTTCGCCGACACCACCCCTCCGCCTATGGCCAGAGCCGCACCACTCGCATAGCTTTCCCATGCAGCTCGCCTCTCCTGCAGCCTCTCCTCCTCCGCCGCCGGCTCTGTCGTTCCTGCCATGAACCCCACCAATGCCTCTCAGCATTCCTCCCGCACCCATCTCACCCCCGAAGCCTCGCTCCGCCCGCGCAACAAGCGCCTGGTCTCCGGCGTCGACGACGACCTCGACCGCGACTCCAATGCCGCCGCCAGCCTAGATGCCAGCCGCGCCGCCTCGCCCTCCGCCTCGCCCTTTGCCTCGAGGACTGCCTCGCCCATCCCCGGCCCCGGCCCCTCGCGCTCCGCCTCCTCGCAGGCCGTGAACCGCTCGAGGGAGTCGACCGTCAGCAAGAGCGCCGTGAGCCGTGGCCAGCCCGGCAACGCCCAGGATCCGCTGGCCCAGCTCTCCGGCCTGTGGGGCAGCTCGTGGACTACGTTGCAGGGGCTCGCTTCCAATGTGCTTGGCAGCGACCCCAGCGGAGACGTGCCCCGGAAGCGCAGGCCCTTCGAAGCTACCCATGGCCGCAAGGCGACGGCCAGCGCTCCTCCTGCGCAATGGGGCCCCGCCACACGGGACACACAGATTGGGACGGGCACGAAGGAGGAGCGGGAGGCCATGGTCAGGGCGATGAAGCGGAAGGACCTGCTCATGGCGGATGGTCATTTGAACCTGGATGCTACGGGGAAGTTCAAGCGGAGGAATTCCGATGAGCGCGTCTCGTCGTCAGCCCCGCCCACGGAGCACATTGACCGCGAGGCGCTGGTGTACATCCACCGAGTGAGACCTGAGGATACGCTTGCCGGCATCACCATCAAGTACAACTGCCAAGCTGCTCCTCTACGCAAGGCGAACAGGATGTGGGCCCAGGACAGTGTGCAGACACGCCGTCATCTGATCATCCCCGCCGATGCCTGTGGCGTGAAAGGCCGCCCTGTGCCACCGCCGGAAGAGCAGAAACCGAAGCAGCCCAACGTAGAAGATGACTTGCTATTGCCCACCCCGGGCGCCGAGTATCCTCCCATCCACAGCACCAGTCTCCCTACGAATGGCTGGAACGGCCCTGCGTCTGTTTCGACCTCGAACCTCTCCAAATCCGTAACCGCATCGGAAGCATCCACCAACGCCGACAACGAGCCGCCATGGAAACACGAGGGCTGGGTCATGCTACCACACAGCAAAGACCCAATCGAGATTGCCCGCCTACCACGCAGAGACCTCGGCTTTTTCCCGCCTGCTCGCCGGAAAAGTTTGACTTTCTCTGACAATGACTCCGCCGTCCGAACGCCGTCCGCGTCGCTCGAGCTGAACCGCTCAGATACCATAACCTCGGCGTCATCAATGACTTCGCATGGCACAGCCAAATCGCCCCGCCAAAGCAGCAGTAGTAACGTACCTAACCGTCACCGCCCACGCGCCCCTAGTGTTACGCAAAGTTTCAAGCTCGACGGACCTGGAGGCGTTGGCACCTTCAACAGGAACGTCCGCAAACCGGGTCCCGCGCAGGATGGCTTGAATAAGATATTTGGCCAGCACCTGCCAAACCTCGCCCCGCCGCCAGGCAAGGATTATTTCGGAACGTGGAACCCAGCAGCGTTGGCAGAGGCCAAAGCGAACGGGAACTCCATGGGCCCATCGGGTACTGCGACCCCCGTCGGAGTTGGCGGTGTTGGTGGCAGCTCCAGTGGATTCGATCTCGCTCAGGTCGGCGGCGCTATCGAGGGCTGGATGCGCAAGGTAGCAACACAAGCGTCGACGCTCGTGCCGCCGGCGCAGCTGACGCCTAGCAAGACCAGCGTAACCCCCGCTGACAGGCAGCGTGCAGCGGGTGCTGGATTGGGCGCCGCGGGCATGAGCGGCGATATCAACGACTTGATCGAGCTGACAGACGCGTTCGAGGTCGGCGAGGATGAGGAAGAAGCCAACCGCGGACGCAGCGGCACCGGAAGTGGAAGAGGCGGACCGGCAGACGGTGTCAGAAGGCGGGAGGCACGCAGTGGCACACCAAGTAAGGGCGGAAAAGGCGATTGAGCCGACCGAAGGCCCTCATCAAACAGCCAAAAGTTCTCTTTAACGAGTCGGTACGGTGAATGAATGGAAAGAAGACGGAATGATGGGAGGAAAGTGCTATCACGGTCAAAGGAAGAGCATCTCTTTTTTCTCTTTTTGAGTTTTGCAAGTTGGATAGACGGGCGGGAAATGCTTCAAACCGGAGTGCACGGGAAACGCTATACACATATATTACTGTGGCAGGCTCTTCGAATTTTTGCCCTTCTTTTTCTCTTTTGGGGCTCCCATGGTTTCAACTGCGCGTTGCCAGAACTCACTATAACCCACCCTTCAATCAACGGCGTCTTCATCTCTTTTCACTTTCTTTAATCTCGTATGGGGATTGTTATCCAGTAGTTAGTTGTTATTTTCTTCTTCCCTTCTTCTATTGTCGTTTGTTTTCCGGTTGGTGGGCGCTGTAGCAAGACGCTACTGTTGCAAATGGCACATCAGAAAGAGAAGCACAAACCATCACCACCCAATTTACTGCTGTTTAATGACGAGGCGTTTTGCTTTTGTTTGCCCTCAGTATTCGTGTCTAACCATTGCTAACCTGGCCGCCGCCGTCCCACATCTGATTTTATCCTCGAATATTTCATCTTGTTGCGCATAATCGAGCGAGCGAGAGCGCGGCGCTTCCACTTCTTTCATTTGCAAGCCGGCAGCGCACAAACGTTCCCTTTACAAATTACTGTCAATTTTTTCTAACCCTTTCCCCCGTTTCAGTGGTGGGTACCCAAGCCTACGTACGCCGGCAGGGGGTGTCGGGTGGTGGCGGCGGCGGCGGAAATGAACCGTTGGGGTCCCATTCCTTTCCCACGCGTCCAGGAATCTGGAGACGCGTACGTACATGCGGTCGTCATCCCCCGGCGTGGCGCAGTCTGGTCTTATTCTCCTGTATCTAATTCACATTTCAGGACAAAAGTGTTTCTCATCTAGAAATCGGGACATGCCAGCGTCGAATTCGCTTAGTACCTCGACAGGATGAGGGGTAGTTGAAGCTCTTGTCCGGATGGACGCTTCGACTTCCCCGTCGCGATACGTGGCGGACGGACATCAGCTGTCAGCAAAGAAAGATGGTTGCAAATAATTCGAGGGGGTACAAGGTGAAAGAGTATTAATCATGTTTTCCATTCCACTCTTTTGGCGAGATATTATACGATGCAAAGAGCAGTGAATAGGGAATCACATAAAGAACCTTCGTAAAAGCGTTTGCGCCATGCACCCAGTGAACAAGTAAAGTGTAAGAGAGATGTAGAAGAACTGGGGGGAAACAAGGGGCCAGCATTTCCACCCCCACCCAACGCCGCAGAACCCATAAACTTTTCTTTTCCCATTCGCTTTTGCCCTCTTAACGACTCCTCGTGCTGCCCATGCCTCTCTTGCCCGCAAGCAAATGCTTGTTGAGCGATGCGGTCGTGTGCCTGTCGGCTTCACCCTGTCTGGCCATGCGGTTCATCTTCTTCTGTCCAAGCTTGGCCATGCGCTCCGCCTTCGTGCGCGCCGCCTCGTTCGTAACACCGTCATCGCGACGGTTGGTGCTCTGGCTGCGCGCACGGCTCTTGGCGCGCTCGATGGCGCTGGGCTGCGGCCTGTCGACGTCCATGGCGTCACCGTCGTCGCCTTCGGAGCGGCCACGGACGTGGCTCCTGCCGCGAGACTGCGAGCGTGCGCGCGCAGCAAGCGAGCTGGTGTCGTGGCCAAGACTTTCCAGGTGGGCTTCCATCTGCGAGAGCTTCTTGGCCTTTGCGGTGCGGGGAATCTGGGCGCGGTTCTTCAGGCTCTTCTTCATGCGGGACTCGTTCTTGAGGATCGCCTGCTTCTCGCGGATCAAGTCGGCCTTGTTGCGGATGTCGGCCTCTTCAGCATCCTCGATATCAGAGTCGCTTTGATAGCGGCCATCGGCCTCCATCTGCTCCTCTTCGGCCTCAAGCGCGGCGAGCTTGGCCTCAATTTCGGGATCGATGAAGTCGTAGACGTTCTTTCCGTTGAAAATCTCGGGAACCTTGTCGTTCTTCCACTCGTCGTTGTCCAGCAAGTAGTTCTCCTTGAGGTTGATGTTGTATACACCGGCGCCGCCGTTTTCCTCCTCAATCTCGCGCTGCAGCTTCTTGCGGTTGGGGTCGGACGGGTCATACTTCATCTTATTCTTGACAGCTTCCGGGATGAAGGTTTCGCGCGTCATGCCATCCATGGGGACGGCGACGTGGATTCTCTTGAGGACTTCGCCGAGACGGCCAGTGACGTCGCCGGAAGCGTTGGTGCCGGCCTTCAACTTCTCGGCGTTACGTTGCGCCAGAAGCCTGTCGCAGACGGCGCCACGGACAGCCATGACATTCTCCGTCGTGTTGCAAGAAAGCTGCAGCAACTCTACCTCGCCCGACTTGAGCATGCCCTGAAGGCTCTCCTGCGTCTCCGGATCCAGGTCCTCAGGCTTCATAAGATCGGTCTTGTTGATGACGACGAAGACCAATTTGCCGTTGAACAAGGGCTTGATGCTGTGGAAAAGCTGGATCTGGGCCGTGACACTGTAGCCGCACTGCTCACTGAGATCCATGAAGTACATGATGGCAGACCGAAGATGGGCGATGGCGGTGATACTCTGCATCTCGATGGTGTTCATCTCCTCGAGGGGGTGGTCGAGGATACCGGGGGTATCAATGGCTTGGAATCGCAACATTTTGTGGTCGACTACTTGGATCAGCGGCGTTCACGGTTGGGAAGCAAGCAACTTACAGTGGCCAACAAACAAGCTCTTGGTGGTGAAAGCATAGGGCTGCACATCGACATCGGCGCGAGACACGTTCCTCAAGAAACTCGACTTTCCGACATTGGGGTAGCCGCAGATGACGAGTGTCCGGGTGTTGGGGTCAATGGCGGGCAAACGACCAAGATGCTGGCGCACCTGCTCGAGATAGAGAAGGGGATCCTTCAGACGCTTGCAGATGGTGGCCATGCGACCCAAGGCAGCGCGCTTGAGCTGCTTGCACTGAAAGAGCGACTGGCCATACTTCAGCAGACGCACGTAGTCCCTCGCCACGGTCTCAATCAAGTGTTTCGCGGTCGAGAGCTGACCCAAGGCAATGCGGAAATGGTCGGCATCGTAGAGGGTGTTGAGGAGATCCTTGTGGAAGGGATGGATGTCCTGGAGCTTGGGGAAACCCTCGAGAATGGCCTGGATTTTCTCGGTGAAGGTCTCGGCCGTGTACTTCACTTTGCGGGTGTAGAAAGCTGCGCGACAAACGCGTCAGTCTGGGGTGGTTCGGAAGAGCGCGGTGAAGCATACCTCGGATCCTAGTGATTTTGAAGCCGGCACGAATCTGGGTAGGGCTAAAGGCAAACGAGAGGTCAGAGGAGACGCGGGTCGAGAATGCGACAGTACATACAGGCGCCTCTGGGTCCGGCTCAGAACAATGTCCAGGAATTCCTGGGAGGTGGGCACCGGGGCAATGTCCTTCCAAGTGGTCTTCATGGTGCCTGGCGCAGTGGTGTGTGTTGCAGGGGCGCGCAGGTGGAGTGGGCGGATGTTCGAGCAAGAGTGCTGGGGCGGTATCGATAGAGGCGCAAAAAAAGTTCAGCCCAGGGCCCTGCTCGGTCGCCGGGTAAACTTGGTTCCACTAGGGGGCCGCCACCGCCCGGCAACCACTTCACCCCCGCCAAAAAGTTGGACTCCCCGCCGTCGCGTCCTCTCCACTCCCGCCTGAGCACTACCCACAATGGCCTCTTCCACCAACATCCCCGCCTACAAGACCGCCTTCCTGGAGGCCTGTACTTCCGCCGAGGCCCTTACGTTCGGCACATACACCCTCAAGTCCAAGCGCATCTCGCCCTACTTTTTCAATGCCGGCCTATTCCACCGTGCCGACCTAACTCGCGCCATTTCCCGGGCGTTCGCAAACACAATTGCCGCTTACTCCGCCGAGCACTCCGACTTTCAATTCGACGTTCTGTTCGGCCCGGCCTACAAGGGCATCCCCCTCGCCGCCACCACCGTGGACAAGCTCGCCGAAGTGGATTTGAACAAGTTCGGGAGCATCAGCTACAGCTTCAACCGGAAGGAGGCCAAGGACCATGGCGAGGGTGGCAACATTGTCGGTGCTCAGTTGAAGGGAAAGAAGGTTGTCATTGTCGACGATGTCATCACCGCCGGCACCGCCATCCGCGAGGCCATCGACATCATCAAGAAGGAGGGCGGCGAGCTCGTGGGTATCGTGGTTGCCGTCGACAGACAAGAAAAGACTCCCAGTGAGAATGACGATGACGGCAAGCCCAGGCCTAGCGCCATTGGTGAGGTCAGGAAGCAATACGGCATCCCGGTCTTGTCCATCCTGACCCTCGACGACATCATCGACTACCTGAAGAGCAGAGGTACCGAGGAGGAAATCAAGAAGGTTCTGGAATACAGAGAAAGGTACAGGGCGAGCGATTAAATGGTTCAATTGAAGAAAGAAGTAGCCACGCCAAGGCTGTGTCTCCCACTTGTAAGCTTTACAGAATGTGTCACCTTGCGGGCCGCAATACGGATCTAGTACTACTCACGGACTTTCTGCGATGATCAAATTTCCAGTCTGGTCTACGATTTACGCTAGCTTGGCTACGCTTCACATGAAACATCGGGCGGGCCAGTCTCACGCATGATTCTTAGTCCCATAAACTCTCCACCAGGCGCACGATTAGGCGCACGAATAGTTGCATGAGCATCATCCACCAGGGAATCTCGCGATGCACACGAAGTTGTTCGCGGCGGCGCTTCAAATGCTCCTCAGCTTCGCGCACGCGTCGTTGCCTCCGCTCCTGGTCGTGCGTGTTGAAACGAACACGCCTTCCAACACGCTCGGCGCGACTAGCATGAACCGCATGGGCGCGCCTCCCCTGACCATGGTTCTCGCCCGTGCGACTGTCAGCAGCAGGCTGACGACGGATCTTCCTACGTCGAGGCGCGGTGGGAGTTTCCGGAGTACGCTGGCTCCTTTGACGATCAAGCTGGCTCCTTTCACGATCGAGCTGGCGACGGAGCTTCGAACGTTGAGGGGTGATGCAGAAGACATCAACCCGGCATAACGGGCAGTTGGCCTTCCCTTGCTTGCGCCACTTGTTGAAGCAGTTCCGTCCCATGATGTGCCCACACCTGGTGAAACGGGCCGCTGACTCAACCTCGCCCTCGTCGTTGGGTTTCCCGTATTCCTCGAAACACAGGGGGCAGACTGGGTCAATGACCTCGCGACATTCTCTAATGAAAGTCAGGAAATCACCGGTTGCCATGTTTGCGACGCTGAAGTCCCCTTGAGACTTACTTGGTTTACTTCGAGGCTCGGGGTTCGATTAAGACATATATGTGAAGGAGATTGTTGATCAATGGAGTTGTTCCTTTGCACAGTGTACACTGTTTATGTAGTGCAATACTCATCTTCCTACCATCATTGAAGTATTTGCCGGGCCAAGATGACCTTCTTTGTCTGATTGGCTGACAGCATTCGATAATGGCAGCATTGTTCACGCCGAGAATGCACTGGAGCGTTCATTTCAACATGCAGTGAATGAGCTTTCGCCTTACGGCAACGATAGCAAGCTAAACAAACATACAGATGCTACCAGAGGTAAACCCAATGATTGAGAGCGATCAATGACTTTGACATAAGAGCGCAAGCTGCATAGATATGCACCAGTCCAATACAATTTCCTTAAGGGCTTTTAGTGAATCAACTGTATGTCGAGAATTCTGTGCTCTGAAGTCTGACTGATAGTGTCTATTATTTTAGTGTCTAAGAAACCAGCCTCTATCTTTGGTGAGAACCATGTAGACGAAGGGGAACGGTAACAGCGGCTATCTTAGCCAGAACAAAGGTTTGGCGCTAGCAGCGTTTTTGTGCCTCGATTGTTTTGCACGAGAGCGTTTCTTTGGGGCACAGGATGGTTCTCCAGTAAGCTCTCGGCTTCGAACCACTGCAAAACCACTGCAAAACCGTCTCCTCGAACTGAATTATCACCGAGACGGCAAAATCAGTCCAGAAAATCTTAGTTTTGTCTTCCCGGACAAGACAGCGTCCTCATGAAGGCCCCCTTCCTCGCGCTCTCCCTCTCCCACGTCCACGACCGCGAACCCCTCGACGCGATCGCGTCTTTGGCGTCTCATCCACTTCTCCACTTCCTGTTCGGTCACTGTCAGCTTCATCTTGACTGTCCTCCTCGCCGTCGACAAAATAATGGCTCTTTACAGCAGTCGCGCTCTTCCTCGCAGCAGCTCTCCTCGGAGTCCTGCGAGGCATCTCCTCAGCCGTGTCCTTAGTTTGCGCGCGTTTAGCATCAGTATCGGGCTCCGATTGTTTTCCCGTGGCCGACGTTGAGGAAACCGGAGAATCCGACCCGGATGGCGCCGATGGGAGACCGTCAGAGTCGTCCGTGGTGCCGCCTGGATTTCCTGCCCTAGAGGACTTTCGTCTACTTTGTGCGCTAGTCGCAGCAACTGATCGCGTTCCCCGGCCGCGACCGCGTCCACGACCTCGTCCACGACCTCTGTTGCTGTCACGTCCGTGCGAGGCGGGACGCTTCCTCGGTGGTGGACTATCGCTTTCATCTTGGTCCTCGTCTTCCGGGTCTTCTTCCGCGGTTTCGGCATTCGCCCTTGAGAAATTCTGATGAGTTGATTGTAGGGAGAAGGGGATGTTGTGAGTATCGCCAGTAGGTTGGTCGTCCTGTGAGGCTTGTAAGTTCTCCCTGTCATCGCCTTCGATGACGAAGCCACCACCTTCAACGGCGCCTTCTTCACCGTCGCGCAGAAATCCACCTTGATCGGCGTGCTCATCTCCTTCACGGATGAAGCCACCCTCACTAGGACCTTCGTCCTCTTGACCCGGCAAGAAGAAGCCGCCAGGGCCAGGATCCCTCTCGCTCTCTTTCAGGAACCCACCCCCCTCTTCCATCTCGTCCTCGAATTCGTCCCCGAACTTTCTCTCGAACGTATTCCCCACCTCCCCTTCCCTTTTCTTCCTCGCAAACGGATTCACCACGTCGTCCAGCCCGTCCTTTCCCTCTCCATACTCCTCCCTCACCCTCTGGATGACCCTCAGGCCAAGCATGAACTTGCGCCACATCTTCAACGCCGTCTCCACCCTCTTCTTCTCCTCCTTCTCCCGCTTCGCCTTCTGCTCGGCGCGCCACGCCTCGCGGACCAGGTCCCCGTTCTCCTCGGCGACCACGACGCCCGTCAGGACCGGCACCGCGATGTGGCGGCCGAACTCGAAGCCGGTGCACGCCTCGGCGAAGTCGACGCCGAGCTTCTTGCAGACGCGGGCCGCGCCGCGCAGGGGCAGGTGCACGGCGCCGGGCGGCACCATGGTCGGGACGTAGACGTCAATGTTGCCGAAGGCGTTGCGCGGGATCCGGCCGTCGCGGATGGGCGGCGGCACGATCCACTCCGTCTGCTCGCGCGCGTACAGGCCCTGCGTCGCCTTCTCGCCGCTCTCGCGCTCCGCCTCCTCGATCTCGCGCTTGCGGATCAGCGTCACCGCCCGCGTCGGCACCCGCTTCATGGGCGTCGCCCCCGCGACGATCGCCCGCCCTTCCTTGTGCCACGACTCGGCCGTCTTGCACGCCACGACGTCCTTGCGCAGGAAGACGGGCTCGGGCTTGGCCTTGTCGCCCTTGCCCGCCATGAAGGTCTTGACTGGCTTGGCCGTCGGGCGGATGGCTTCTTCGCGCCGCAGGTGGCGCTCGAGGACGTACTCGGCGCTGTTCTTGTAGCCCTGGAGCGTCTCTGGCTCGTTGCCTTCGGCCTTCTTGGCGGCCGATGGCTTGACCGGGACGAGGTCTCCCTCGTCCTCGATCTTGTCGGCTTCGGTTCGTAGTCGGCCGTCCCGTGTGTAGTTGGACATGACGCGTTTGAACCAGTCGAACTCCTCGTAGCGCTTAACCTTGCCGTGCTTGTTGTAGATGGGAATCTTCTCAACAGGCATGCGGAAGCCTTTGGTTTTGCCAGGCCAGATGTGTCTCTTGAGGTAGCGGACTGTTACGTCTTTGGCGGTCCCGTCTGCGTTGTATGCGACCACATAGCAGATTACTTGTTTGGCTTTCTCGGCTGCGGCCCCTCGAGGCTCGAAGGCTGAAAGAAGGTCAGATGTGGAAGCGACTGTAGAGATAACCAGAGGCGAGACAGGAACATAAGTGTTAGAGATAGGCGATAGAACCTCGGTCCAATAAACGGGGTACTTGAGATCCGTGTCGTAGCGCTTGTTACCAAGTCCCACAGCTGGCTTTGACGGGGTCATGTCGATGATGGATGCGTCAGATATGTCCGATTTTGCGGAGCTGAGAGAGCTGTCGCTGTCTTCACCAGAGTCGATGATTAAAGGTTTGGTTCCTGATTTTCTAGAAGACGACTTTTTCGCGGTTGGACGAACGGGCTTTTGAGCTTTACTTGAACTGGGGGCCTCATCTGCCTGTGCTTTCGATTCCGAGGTCGGATGCTCTTCCTGTTTTGTAGCCTCGGTCTTGCTATCCTGTCCCTTCTTGATGGAGACTTCTTCCATTTTCGTAAATCCGAATCCTATAGGCTGGAGGCTTGTTACCATACGAGCTTCTAGCCCTATACCCCTGACAAGAGCAGTGAACAGCTGGGCGCCGACGTCTCTACTACCTGTGCAACTCCGTGCAGCTTCTAGGAAATCTGCCTTGCTGCGAATCATCTCTCCAAATCTTTCAATGTCATACTCTTCGGCCTTGGTCTTTTCCTTCTTTATCTCCTTCTTCTTCTGGTTTGGCGGGTCCTCTTTAGTTGCCTGCCATGCCTTGATCTCAGTAGCAAGAGACTTCGCTGTAGGAAAATAACCCTTTTTACGCAATCCCGGCGCAGTGATGCGGAAACGCTTCTTCCAGTAGGCAGCCAGATATCTCAAGAGTCGGTGCAGGGGGTCACCATGACTTAGATTAGGGACGCCTTGTTCGATGCGGTCCGCAGTCCCGCCCCAGTCTCGTTGGTTCCGCTCCGAATATCTATCGCTCCTCTCTTTGCCTTTGCCTTTACCCTTGAGCTTTCCGTTCTTCCCCCTAACATTTGGCGGAGGTTCAAGCGACGGATCGGGCGGCAGCCCGGAGTCCTTGCGCCAGCGTTGGATCTCTTTCTTTACGCCCTCGGGCAATTGTTCCGTCAATAGCTTCTGGACCTCCTTGTCGCAGACCCAACCATTTCGAATGTGGTTATGCCACAGCAGTAATTGTACGTGCATGCAGTGAGTCCAGTTGCGGAGTTGGCGGTCTTTCTTGGACGGGCCCTTTATCCCAAGCGCGTTCCTTCTCGCAATCTCATCGTTTTCCTCGACCGGACCACCGAGCGACACTTCGAGGACGTCGTCGGCGTCGTCCAGGCCGCGCTGCCACGGCGCCAGCTTCGGCCCGGGCATGTCGGCTACCGGTGTATCCGCTTGCGCGTGGAGGGCATCCTCCCAGTCCATCTCATCCTCGTCGTCTTCGCCACCATCGAATCCAGTGGCCGCGGGTTTGGCCCGGGAGGCCTTGGAAGCCTTGCCCTTCGATTTGCTAATGTCCACGTCCTCGAAGTCGTCGCTGTCGGCATCGCTAAGGCTGTCGTCGCTGCCGTCGCTGCTCAAGGCGTCGAGAAAGGCCTTGTCGGCGGAGGAGCTCGTGTTGCCGGAAGGCGCGTCGAGCGCGTCAAAGACATTCTTCTTTACGCGCTTGGGAGCGGATGCGGGTGCGGATGCGGGCGCGGGGGAGCGCGAGCGTGAGCGCTTGCGGGGAACAAATGGCGGCATGGCGCCGTGGATGGTTGAGGAGAAAGCGGGAGTGAGCGCGAACGGAAATGAAGGTAGAATGTGCGGCAATGGCGATGACGATGGTGATGACGCCAAGAGCTGGAGATGGCCGACATCCCTGCACCACATCTCCGCGAGCTCATCTTTCGCGAGCATTTCCTTTCCTCGCGGCCTGACGAGCTTGAAGATTCACTTGACGTTGATCGCATTTGTTTTTCCACAATGACGTCGGAATTCGAGACATGCGTCGACACAACATCCTTCTACATCAACATGCATCCTTGCAATGTCATCTGTACCTTATTATTATCATCCTGTATATATGCCTCGGAATAACGCTTGGGCTTGCGACCCTCTGCTTAGCTTAGCCTTAGTCTCTTACTGGCTACTAAGTCTCTTTCTGCGGCCCCATACCATTTTCTCGCGTTATTGCCCGTTTTGGGAAATCCCTTGTGGCCTTCCACGCGGAACCGCACGAACCATCCTTGTGGTCTGCACTCCGCCGATTTTCTCATTCCATTGCCTCTTTCCCCATATCTCCCCTCACCTTCATGTGATGAAGCCCCAGTAATGATGGATTCGGCCTCTGAAAAGCCTGACGGAGTCCATCCCAAGATGACTCTCACTGCCAGCGGAGCACATTCATAAGGGCCGGCTCTGCTCACAAAGTCCGACAGCCCTTCCTGCTGTGATTCGGGGGGTTTCCATCCCGAACATTGTCAACATGACGTCCCGCGACGGCTACCTTTGGACTGAACAGGCTGGCCTTCGTCCCGGCATTCCATCCATTGGGGTCATTGCGCCTGCGACAAACGTTACATCCCCAAATGCCTTCTACGATGTGGTCGTCATCGGCGCAGGCTACTGCGGTCTTACTGCAGCCAGAGATGCCAGTCTCTCTGGTGAGTTCATTGCCAATCGACCAAGTAAAGGAAAGCTGACATGTGGCGCAGGCCTGAACGTTCTACTTCTGGAGGCTCGCGACCGCATTGGCGGTCGTTCATGGTCCTCCAACATCGACGGCTATCCTTTTGAGATGGGAGGTACCTGGGTGCACTGGGGTCAGCCTCATGTATGGCGTGAGATTTCCCGGTACCAGATGCAAAACGAGCTTAAGACCTCGTTTGACTTTTCTCACGGCGTCAATCACTTCCAGCTGAATACCGCCGGTGGATCTGCGACCATGAGCCATGAAGAAGAGGTAAGCAAGAACTGCTATAGAGCTCTGTTCGCTGGGCTGACACACTTCCTAGGATTCTCTTTTTGCGTCGGCTTTGGGGAAGTTCGTCAACGTCGACGGCGCCTTTGGCAGAAACATCATGCCGCAACCAGCCAACATGTTCCACGTTCCTAAGGCCAGAGAGTTGGACAATCTATCCGCACAAGACCGCATCGACGCAATCGCGCCTTTGCTCTCCCCAAACGAGCGTGCGGTGCTGGAGGGTTTCGTCCTGCTCTGCAGCGGCGGCACCCTGAAGGGAATGAGCTTCCTGGAGTTCCTCCATTGGTGGGCCATCTGCGGTTACACCTACCAGGGCTGCCTCGACTACCTGATCACCTACAAGTTCAGCGGTGGCCAATCAAGCTTCGCCATCAACTTCTTCAAAGAAGCTCTCTCCACCAAGAGGCTCTCGTACGCCTTCAGTACGCCCATCAAGTCGGTCAACGACAAGGGTAGCAAGGTCGAGGTGACGGCCCGGAACGGTCACACATACCAGGCAGCCCGCATCATCTGCACCGTCCCGCTGAACGTGCTCAGCACTGTATCCTTCGACCCCCCTCTGCCAGCAGGCAAGTGCGCAGCCATCGGCGTCGGCCACGTCAACCAATGCGTCAAAGTCCACGCCGAAGTCGGGGACAAGGCCATGCGCTCGTGGACGGGCGTCACGTACCCGTCGAACCCGCTTATCTATGCCATTGGCGACGGCACAACGCCCGCGGGCAACACGCACGTCGTCGCCTTTGGCGCGGACCAGCACCATATCCAGCCTGAGGAGAAGCTGGCCGAGACGTTCGCGGCGGTGCAGAACCTGGCACCGGGCAAGATGGACGCTGTGCGGCGGCTGGTGTTCCACAACTGGTCGAAGGACGAGTTTGCCAAGGGGGCGTGGTTCTTCTCGCCGCCGAAGCTGTTGGCCGACCACTTGGAGGATATGCGGGCTCGTCATGGTAATGTATACTTTGCCAGCTCCGATTGGGCTCTTCTGTGGCGAAGCTTCATCGACGGCGCTATCGAGGAGGGTGCAAGAGCTGCGATGGCGGTCAAGACGGAGCTGGCGGAAGCAGACAAGGTGAATCTGCGTTTGTGATGTTTTGGTAAATGGCGGCTCAACGAAGCTCCAGCGGGCGCTAATTATAACGGCAATTACGTAACCACGCCTTCCCCCACGGTAAGGCGGAAAAGTTTCGGCATGCGCTCTTTCCCCACAACCCTCCATCGCGACCCCATCCCAGTTCTCTATAGCACAGAATCCGCCATCAAGGCATACGAGAGGACCACAGCAGCCCGAATGTCTTCGTCCAGTGCCAACGCCTCTGCAACGCCCGCCGACGCCAAGCCTCGAGGTGATCAAGGAACCCCTGACTACGTCTAAAGCAAGCATTTACTAAATCGGGTAATCAGGCTGTTTCCAGTGCACCAAAAGGCGAATCATATGCGACCTGGGCCATCCGACGTGCGGAAAGTGTATCAAGAAGGGCATAGAATGCTCAGGCCTAGGTCGCTTCCGCTTCAACGACGGCGTTGCCCGCCGCGGGAAACTCAAAGGCTGCCAGCTACCCACTTTGGACGCCCCCGCAGATGCCGATGCCTCGGTGCGACGGACGGGTCAAGCGCCACTGCGCATTCGCTGGCAAGGCGAACGTCGGGAGCGGCCCGGCAACGTCTCAAAGCGGAAAGGGGCAGCAGCCACGAGCTCAAATGCAAAACAGTCGGCTACAGCTGTCACTGAAATAATCCGGTTTGATGCACAAGGGATCCCACTCCGCTTCAACACTTGGACAGACCCAGGCCCACATGGCAACAGGCAGGTGGCAGGCCGTAGAAATGGCTTTGTCACCTTCCACAATCCTTCTGTTCAGCCGTGGCTTGCGCCGCTGAGCCCTCAAGTCCGCATGCTGTTCTCGCATTGTACGCCAGGCCCCTTCTACTTTTTGCTGCTCGTATTTTCTTCTTGGAAGAGTGATTTATGCTGACGTGCTTCCTCAGTTTCCTCAGCCGTGGCCCCCGTCATGGTAGTCCTCGACCGCGTGTCCAACGGCTACCGTGACTTCATCCTGCCCATGGCGTGCGAGGACGAGGTCCTGCGACGGGCGGTCGAGGTCGTGGCGGCGCAGCACCTATGCCACGAGAAGCGCCCCGACCTCCAAGCGGCCGCGGAGGCCGGTCGCGCCGCCGTCATCTCGAGACTGCGCCGGGACGCGCTGCAGGCGCCCCCAGAACGCGTCTTTAACGTGTACACGTGGGCCACGCTCATCGTGCTCCTGGTTGGGGAGACAGTGACAGGAAGCTCGGAATACGGCTACTTGGTTCAGATGCTCATGTGCCTCTCCAGGAATAGCAACGCTGGCCCGGGACATAGTGCGCAGCTGGGTGACTTTCTCAAGCAGCAAACACACATGTAAGCTGCATGGTCGTCCTAGCCTGGCTCGATAAAGGCTCACCTTTTCAACAGGTTCGAATTCCTCGCCCAACCACTCCTCGGTGAGGCCGCAGCAACCAGTATGATTGCCGACCCCCTCCAATATCTGGACTGGCTCTCGTACGAGCTTCCTTCGGGATCGGAGGTCGAGGTTGCCATCTCCAACACACGAGAAGCTTTCCTCGAAGCCTCCAAGCTCTACTTCAATAGGATGCGATCGGAAGAGGACGTTCAAGAGTCGCTTCGGAACCTTCGCCGCCTCTTGGCAAAGATACCTCACGACGCACCCTGCGCTCATGCTCTCGTCTGGGTGTGCTTCCTCGGCGCGGTGGAGAGCACCGACGAGGAGAGCAGAATCGACTTCACGGACCGCATGGCCCGCGTCTACTCCAAGACAGGCTTCCGCAACATTCCCGCCGCCATCCAGTCCCTAGAGCAGATATGGGCACGCAAAGATTCCAGCGGTCGGGTGACAGGCTTGCCGGAAGCGTCGCCTGTGCTTGTTATGTGAGGAGAAGGGCATGGTGTTCGTCTACCAAAGGCATTGGCTCGTTCCGTCGCGAAAGCCGGCCAAGTGCACTCAACCGAAAGGTTGTTCTGCTGATTGGTAGAGACTGTTCAGTCTCACACCATGCAAAATTGACGACGAGGAACCAACGTCGATTGATGCCCGAGAAGGAACTGGCGCACTGATGCTCTACTCTGCGAAACACAATCATCATTGCGGGCGCCATCGCCAGCTCGATACGTGTTCTTCTCAACTTCATCCACGATGGGAATTCCCGTCACACGCTCTTCATTGTACGGCCGTTGCAGTTGCCATCGTCGTCGGCTGTACAAGTCCGAGCTGATCAGCTATCCTATTTTTGGAGATGGATGAGTAAGGAAAACCACAGGCGGGGCTTAGGGTAACGGTCGCAAAGACGTATACGGACAGAAAGGTGAGCGGTGAGGGCGAGAACAAGCCGTGAGGCCGTGCAGAAAGGATTCGCGCGATATGCGGGAAAATCCCTTCGTCGATGGCTCGGAGGCGCCGGTGGAGCGGCAGTCACGCAACAGTGGGCTGGTAGACTCAGGGCCGTTGATTGGGTCACTCTGAGGGCTCGCCGTTGCCGCGCACTGAGCACAGGGAAGCGCCGCAACTCTGCGCACGGGTGTCCCTGGCAAATCGAAGGAAGGGGAGCTGACTCGATTCCCTGCTCTGACGAAATCAAAGTGATAGGTGGAGAAAACAGGCAGATTTTTGGGTCGCCTTTGCCGGCGGGGCGGCTTGGCCAGCGTTGGAACGGGCTGCGCGTGGGCCTGAAGAAGCAAGGCGATAGCGTTTAGCATTCTGGAGATGACAGAGCGGAGAGGTGACGGAGAGAGCCGCGGATATATATTAATGCTGTGGATGATGGTGTCTTGGCGCGACTTCCCCAGTACGACATAGGCGTCGTCATAGGCCCTTCTCGTCAGAATTGCATGTCTGAGTCGATGGAAGTACTGTGATGTTCATAGGCACCTCGTGTTTTAGACATGTTGCCCGATTGGGATAACGGTGAGGTGCCACGACCCGTATTCTCGGAATGAGCACACGCAGTAGTGGCAGGGTGCCGTGCGGGTGGCAGCCGACTAGCTCTGCCGAACGCGCATATCCGTGTTGCATGCGACTTGCGCAACGCGGTGGGTCGGGGCTGCACGGGGCAGGGGAGGGTGGTTTCAGCAGCTGTGATTCACAGCGCGCGTCCCTTGAGTGCTCCGTAGGCGGTGCCGGGGGTTGCTCCGGACGGCAGAGTACGTAAGGACCTAGGAAGGGGACGATCAAGGGGATGAGCAGAGAATAGGGTGCCAGGTGCGAAACGGGCGGCATTGGGCAGGCGCGCGTGCTCGCCCGATCGGCGCACGCAGCCCTTGGCGCGACTCGTGTGCGATGAGTGATGGCGGAGATCTGGAGGGGCGGCGCGGGGATACGCGTGAGCCAGCGCGAAAGCTTATCGTTTTCCTTGCCGTGTGAGTTCGTTGGTGGTAAAGGATAAAAAGTGGCGCGGCATGCGGGCGGCGGGCGGCGGGCGAGACGTGGAGGCTGAGAGGCTCTTGCCTCAGCAGGCGAGCGAGACAATATGGGAAAGGGCAAGGGCAAGGCCTTGGCAACGGCCCGCCTCTCCCTTCGGCACCTGCACCAAAGCCGCAACTCCTCCTCGTCTGCCGTCCAGCTATGCCGCCGCCTGTCCCGTGATGGCTGCCAGCCCTGGCCAAACCCAATCCTTCGCCGCAAAAGTGCCGCCTGGCCGCGGCCTGCTGGCTGCCGTCTGCTGCGCAATCTTGACCCGGCAGCCGTGCAGCTTATACTTTTCACCCTCATGACTCCGGACCATGCCCAGCGTCGACGGCGCCGTCCTTGCACCGCCAGCGGGATGAAAGAAACCCATGGGCTCCAGCCGCAGCCTCGCTCACCTTGCCGGTCCGGGCACGGCTGGCCGCCCTGCGCCGTGGCCCAATGCCCCGTTTCACGCTTGCGATCCCCGGCCCGGATTTGTGCGCTCAAGCCTAGCCTGCTTCCTGCTGCAGCTAAAACGCACATGCTCTCATCTCCGCCTCCTAGCTATTCGCTTGTCCTTGGCAGTGATCGCAATATAGCTCTACATAGGCCCTCCGCCGGCCATGTTCTCTGTCCTTTTGCGTGCTGCTACTCACCATGGTTGCCATTCCTGGCCAGCTGCTCAGCTCGCTGGTGACGCGCGACTCCGCCAGCTCTGAATCCGCATATGTGCCCATAATCAACAGGAAAGAAACCATCTTGGCCGTCAGCATCTCTTTTCAAGTGAGTGGAACGAGCACCCCGCCCCATGGCCCAGAAGCTGACCTTCAGTGCAGATCGTGGCCTGGGCTGCTGTACTTTTCAGACTCTATGCCCGAATCAAGCTCACACGGGCGTCCGGTTGGGACGATCTGATCGTAGTACTCGCCGTCGTAAGTGCCCTCCACCACGCCTCGCCGCCTCCAGCTAACTCTCGATGCAGGTTTCAGCGACCATTGGCACATCGTTTGTCTTCTTGAGTGAGTTGGACACGCCCATCCGCTCAAGTCAAACCACAGAGCTGATGCGAAAACAGTGCTTGACAATGGCCTCGGACAACACGTTCTGTCCATGACGCTGGCCTCTTACCAGACGTATATACACGTAAATCCACCTCCATCTCCAAACCTCCTCGGCTTCTGACCTGCTTCTCTAGTGGTTTTGGGCTGGGACCATTTCGTACTTTTGGGCCACCACACTCATCAAGGTCTCCTTGTTGCTGCAGTACCTCCGCTTGTTCGAAAAGCGTTCAAGAACTTACTTTATCATCATCGGTCTGATCGTCCTGATTTCTCTCTGGGGCTTTACATACAGCTCTTTGCTTGCCTTCGCCTGCTCTCCTGTCAACAAGTTCTGGGAATACACCAGACCTGGCAAGTGCTTCGGATTTGGAGCTGGAGCCAACGATCCCAAGACTTTTTTCACCGCGTTTGCGACACACTCTGCAACGAACATGGCCTTCGACATCATCGTATTTGCTTTCCCCATATTTTCCTTGTCCGCCATGGACCTGGAGGGCAAGCGAAAGTATGCCATTGCTGGCCTGGCGGCGCTGGGTGCCGTGTAAGTATTCAGATTCCTTCCGAGGTCTTTGCACAACGCTAACATGGTGCAAAGAGTCGTGGCTATCAGTGTCGCCCGCTTGGCAAGCATCACCGAGACGCGTGCCGGAACGTATCCCGTTACCGATCCAACCTGGCTGGCAACAACATCCATCGTACTGTCCTGTCTCGAAGTCAATATCGCAGTCCTTTGCGCGAGTATTCCGATTTTCTGGCCCCTCATTTCCGCCCTGACCTCGGGCAAGATCTTTGTCGTGGATGAAGTCATTGTGCACACCGAGGAGCGTGAGCAGCAACGTCCGGACACACCGGGATCTGAGACGGAGCTTCGGACATACCACAGCAGGACAAGCGGCAGACATACGCCGGACGCCTCCAAGCACTACAAGGACCCGTTCGTCGTGGATCACGTGCGTCCGATCGGGACAGAAATTATGGGAAACGCCTCACACACTGTGAATGTGGAGCATACGACAGTCCCGTTGGGTCAGATTGAGCGACTGATGCAATGAAGGAATGATTTGTACCGTCTTGACGATCCAAGTGCCTGCTGTCTGAATCACCATTGCACCTCCAACAAAGCTGGCACGCTAGACGTCCTTCTGGAATCCCGGTGCATACGCAGGGCCACCGATGGCGGCAAGTGCGCACCGTTGGACGGCGTCCCGAAGCATCCCCGCGAAGCATCCAAGCGAATGCGTTTCCCCTTTTAGTTCACTGGGATTGAGCGGGTATGAGTGCGAGACAGGGCCACCATGCCGTTTGCAAGGATCACATATTGCAGTCCAAGGTTATTCCCTGGTTGCCATGGAGCCTAGACGCGCGGCAGCTGCGAGAAAGCGATTTGCACGAGGCACGATGGAAACGCACGCGTTTTGCTGCAAACGCGCTTGCCGCTAACCGTGCCGGCCCGTTAATAGCGTGACCAATGCCGGCTTATCGCCCCAGCAGATGCAATCGGACCCTTTCGGCCTGGGTCGGGAACGCCGATGCTAGCGGCAGTTGACCCGAGAGCGTTTGCTGGTTGTTGGTTGCCGGTTGATGGCCCTTTCGAAAGCCTGCTGAGACCTCTCTCGGAGAGTTCACTTCATCCCGTCGGGCATTTTCCCGACTTTCCTCATTAACAGTCGACACAGGGCCCGCCAAGCCCCACTTCCCGCGCGTGAAGGATGCAGAGACGCATGGTCGAACCATGGAGGACGACATGGGAGCAGGAGAGGGTGAGGCGAGCCAACGTATGTTTAGCAGTCATGAAAAATCGACCACAGCTCTGTAATGATCAGGATTCGTTGACAAGATGTTCCAATCTGTGCAGTCCACAATCAAGCTTTCGCAATGGGACCATGTGGCTTCGCCTTGAATACCGCCGAAGAGCACGGATTCGCGGGACGTCGCCAGTCTCTGGTTAGCGTGTCGGATGGATTGGAGAAGTCCAGATGTGTCGGTCTCGAAATCCAGTGGGTCCGCATCCGGACAGCCGTGCGAAAAATGCCAATATCCAGCTGACGAAGGACTCAAGCAAGCTGAGAGGCTACGCAAGTCATTGCGCGGACGCGAGTAATGTAAGGCCAAGCCACACAATCCCACCCGGATTATGCCAGGGACCCCTCCGGGCCCACGGGCCACCCGGGCAGCGCCGCTGCTGGGGGCCCTGTGGCTTGTGGCCTCTCATCCCCCGTTGCCCAATCCGGCCAACGGGCGCAGCCACCCACCACCCATCCCACCCCATCCCACCCAATCCTCCCGCGCCACAGTGCCATCGCGCAGCAATCCTGACAGGACTCTAGCGCATCTTTCCGCGAAATGAAGTCCCTTCGATTCGCTCATCGCCCTGCGCTTGGCGCAGCATGCTTTTGAGATGCAGACGCAACCTCCGGCTAGAGCTAAGGCCCCCCGGCAGGTTCCATTCTCCCCCCAATGCGCAAACGCGGAGGAGGTTGCAGTAGTCGTAGTAGGTAGTCCATCCTGCGCTTCTCACCTGTTTGCCACCCACCCGCTCGGACTCGCCGATCAAGCTTGACACACGCTACAACAAAAACGAACAGGCCGGAGTGTTGAACATGCATAAGGGGGGGCTGAGCTGAGCCGACGTGCTTGCAAGCACGTGGATCCCCGAGCGGCAAAGTCCAGTGACGCAGCGCGCAGTAAAAGTGAACAGGGTGCACCAGTGCCACATCGTAAAACGGCCAGCGGCTTTTTTTTCCGTCGCCGTTTGACTCGGTATTATGTCCATCAGGCCGTCGCGCGGTCGATATATCGTCGTCATAGACGCTCCCCTGATCCTCCTTTGCTCCCCTCTTTTTGAGTCACGGAAGGCATAACGGGTTGGAAATATATTCTTAACAAAAGGACCGCTATAGTAAAGCATGTATATATATATATATATATCTATATGTATATACGAAAATGCCAATCACGCTAAAAGCCAAGAGCATTATAGTCCGGCATGTCGCAAGCGCACGTAGCAGCATCAGTCCCGAAGCACGACCTCGCCCGAAAAAGGAAAGAGAGAAAGGGGAAATGAAGAGCAAAGCACGAATGAGAGCACGCCTATCATTTCCCCAATCAAAGAGCAAAAGGGTCAGGAGCAAAAAGGAAAAGAAAAAAAAAAAGGGTCCGCCGTAAATCCTTACATCAAAGATCTGCGAATCATCAACCACCCCACCCTTGTCAATCCCGTCCGTCGATCCGTTGGGAACTGACCAGCACCACCACACAGCAAAATCCGCGCAATGTCCACCTCTATGCAACACCCGATTTCCGTGATTAGTATACGTGTCACGCGCCCGGCATCTTCCTTCATGCAAGGGCCCGTCCTTTTTGCGAAGCGTACTAGGGACGAACGGCGGGGTTTGTTGGGAGCCAAGGATTCTCTCCTTGCATACACGCGCGTTTGCTCCTTCTCGGTTCGCTTCTTCGAGCATGCGGGGACCCCCTGATGATGTGTGCATGCATACAGAGTTGCGGGTTGGGGGCCAACTTTGTTTGGACGACGGCCTTTCACAGTCATGCCAGAAGACGCCTCCTGCCGCGGCATTCAATGGCTGCGAGAACTCATAACGGAGAAGCAAACTTTTGTGGTGGTTCAAAGCCATTGGCATTTGGTACGATTAGGTATATCCTCATCTTGCTGGCCTCTTTGGACAGCTGTAGGTAACCAAAAATAAATAAAAACGCACGAGCTGTGGGGTGTATACGCGGCAAAACCTCAAAGAACAACAAGGAAAATGCAGCTGAGACTGAGTGAGAGAAAGAGCAAGGAAATGAGTAGACACTAGAGATGGTGAGGGTCTTTGAACCTTGGCAACAGGCCAAGGAGTAGAACCGTGAAGAGTTGGGAAAGGAAAAGTATGTACGCGTGCTGTACTTGTGCCATGACTGAAAGGAAAAGTGAAACCAGAGGAAACCAGATACCCGCCCTACCTCGTCCTTTTAGCAACCTCTCGCGCCCTCAGAGTCGCGAGACCCTTATAATCCCGCCCGAGCCCAAGGAATTACTTTTTCTATGTCCTTCCTTCGTCTCTCCCGTGGTATTTTCGGTGCCCAAAACAGCAAAAGAAATTTTTTAACGCCGGGTATTCTCCGTGTGACTGATGCTTTGACCTTGCATCTAATGGAAAATAACCAAAAAAAAAAAAAAAAACAGAGAGGTATGGAAACTGTGGAAGCCAAGCTGACCACTGGAATCAAGATCAAAGACAAATCTCAAAAACCAAACATGGGAAATTGGAGAAATGAAACGAAACGAAAGCGTCCATCTCAGGTTGCCCTGCAACTGAACTCTGTGGGGAATCTATGCAGAACCAGCCTGCCGGTGGGAAATACGAACGTTGAAATCCCGTTGAAAGAAGATGCCGTAGCATTCGCTGTGCCACGGCTTGTACGGGTTGACAACCTCGATGTCATACCGCCTGAGCATCTCGACGAAGAGCTTGTTCAAGTTCATCAAAGCGATGGGGACGCCGAGACATCTCGTCGTTCCCCAGCCGAAGATCAACTCGTGAATCTGCGTCATCTGCTTCAAGCGCTCTTCGTCATCGATGAGCCAGCGTTCCGGCCTGAAAACCTCGGGATCGTCACCGTAGACGGGATGACATTGGATGGTCCAGGAATTGATGCCGATGAAGGTGCCGCCCGGGATGAATTTGCCGTCAAAGGTGTCGCCTTGCGGGGGCACCACTCTTTCACGAAGCTGAGTGATGGGCGAGAAGCGGCGAAGTCCCTCCTTGATCACGGCCTGGAGGTAAGGAAGGTTCCTGGCTTCGCTGTCGCGAATGGGTGAAGAGACCTTCCCGGCGGCGATTGCGTCATCGATCTCGCGAGTCAAGCGTGAGTATACACGGGGATTGGAAATGATGGCAAGGAGACTTGCGCGCATGGCAGTGGCTGTGGTGTCGGATCCGGCAATTCTGAGAGCAAGGGTTAGCGACGACCGGAAGAGGAAATCTCGCTAATGCAGGAGCGTACAGGGATATCGAAATTTCCGTCTCGACCTCGTCTGGGGTAAGGCCGCGTTTGAGGAACGAGCCAAGCATGTCCTTTTTTTGTTCCGCGCCCGGGGAAAGTCGTTCGTTGATCACCTCACGGGAAATCTAGTCGGCGTCAGAACAGCTGCGTCCAAATCCGGGAGAGCGAAGGAATGTCTTACCGCCATGATCGGGCCAATTCCGATCTTGTCCCCGGCCGAGGGCACAATGACTCTTCTAATGAACGGAATGCTGGACAGGATGGTGTATAGGTGGCTCAGTTCGATAATGACGGAAAACAGGCCGACGATGGGCATCTGCCACTCGACCGTGGCCTGGAATTTGAACGAGTCGTCGTCTGCCTCGACGAAGCCCAGGCTCCTGCCAAAGCACAGCTGGCTGATCATGTCCAGGGTGAAGAACTGGATGCGGCGGGCGATGTCGAAGACCTTGGAGTCGCCGGGCTTGGAGATCCAGCGGTTTTCGATGGTGTCGATGAAGTGCATCAGGCGCTCGTCGACGGCGGCTTCGACGCCCTCAATGTCCTTGCCGGCATAGCCGGCGGACATCTGGTAGCGCAGCTTGTGGTGCTTGGCGACACCGCGCTCCGAGACGATGTTGGGCACATGGGGATCGATTCGCATCGAGTCGTACCAGGGCCCGCGGGTGTAGCGCGAGTGGGCGGAGAGGATGCGGCGCACAAAGTCGGGGTCGGTGGTGAGGAGGTGGTTGGGGCCTATGCGGGCCATGGGGCCGTACTTTTTGCTGACATCGACGAAGGTGTAGGGCGACGAGCCCGAGTTGACCACGCGGACGAGCCACCAGCGCGAATGCGCGGCCCACCGAGGCCCCGGGAACTGGGCCAGCTGGCGGAAGCGCTTGGAGAAGGCGTGGGCGACGAAGTACAGGCCGAGGGCGGCGAGGGCAAGGGAAAGAACGGTGGCTGGGCGCGCCATGGTGCCGGGAGAGGCGAGGCTGTGGTGGAGTCCGCGCTGGAGGCAGATGGAAGGTCCAGCAGCATGGAGCGCGCTCGAAGAGTTGTCGGCGGCTCGCATGAGGCCTACACAGCCCCCATCAGACATGTCGCGGGCTCGGCTCACAGGGCAGGCGCGGGCGCGCGGGAGGATCTGAGAGTGGAAGGTATGAGACCTTGTCCGGGATCGGCTCGGGTCTTTGAGGACGCAGCGATCGACAAGCACTTACGTGAGCTTGCTGCGTAGGGCTGGCGAAATAGGGGGACTATTTGTAGCAGAGTTTGACGTGCATGGCCATTGGTTGCCGCATGCTTCCGCGCAGAAGGAGGGCTAGGGGCGATCGTGGGCTCTTATACGCCGTACCAGTGGCTGGAAAGGGGCAATTTGACGTCAACCTATAAATGGGACCTGCTAGGTTCAGCCGGCCGCGGCACGATAGGCAAGAGGCGCGCCTGCTAGCTGCTGCAGTGGCGGTTCGCGTGCGCCGTGGTTGGCGGAGATAGCGCTGCTTCTGGACGGCAGCCGCCAAGTACCGAGCGAGCGCGAGCCATTTTCGCTGGCAACCGCGTCGACGCCGCCAGCGCGCAGCCAGAGCAGCGCCCAAGCCCTCGCCCACGCCCAAGCCGCGCGCTCCGCAGGAACAGCCGCGTCACGTGCAAGCCGCCGGCTGCGGCGTTCGCCGGCGGCAGTTGCCATGCGCCGAGCGCGCGCCCCGGCGTGCCAGGGCCTGCCAGGGCCGGCCAGGGCCTGCGACACCCGCGCGCCCGAAACAAAGCGCGCTGCTGAAACGGGCGGCCGCGCTCCTCGTACGGCCGTCTGCTGATTGTCGCCGGCGATCGTCATTGCAGCGATAAGTAGGTGCTGCGCGCAGCGCTGCTCCGCCGCGACGCCGCTCCCCTGGCGCAAGCGAGCAGCCGCAAGCATTGGCGGGCGCTGCTACTGTTGCACCAGCGCCCTGCCGTGCCGCCGCCCTGGCAGGTGGCAGCGCCCTGGCAGCGCCGTGCCCCGGCAGCTCTGCCGTTAGCATCTCGCGTGCGCCCTTCTAGAATTTTAGCACCTTTTACTATTAGCACCACGGCACCAGGGGGCCTGCCCGCGCACGGCCCCCCCGCCCTCGCCGGCCAATCGCGCGCCCGCCGTTGCGCTGCTGCGCCGTCTCGCGTGCGCGGTCGCACATGTGCACGGCGGGCGGCGGCGGCGGGCGGCGGGCGGCGTGTCTCGTCCAGATAATCGCAGCGCCGCGTCGCCGCGTTGGCGCACCGGCGTTTGGATGGCTAACGGAAGGCGCAAACGCGAGGGCGGATGGCAGCTGCGGGCTGCAGGGCGCCTTTCGCACGAAAGAGCGAAAGAGCGAACGAGCGGGCGCCGTGGGCAGCTCGGAAAGCCGCAACGGGAACGGCGTGCTGGGACCGCCTGGCTTAAATACCCGCGACGCCACCCCCTGCCGCGGAGAAGCCAGCCACGCCGCCCTCCGTGCCCTCTTAGTCACCAGCCCGCCAGCCCACCAGCCCACCGCCGATCCGCCGCCCAGCTCCGCCGCCTGCGCTTTCCCGTCACCGCCCACCGCCCACGCTGACCACGTCGCACGTCGGATTCGCTGTGGAGACCCCGCACGCAGCCTGGCCGCCAGCTCAGCTGCACAGACGGCCATGCCTGCAAGTGCGGGGACGCCCCCGTTCCCCGGACCGCTGCAGCACTCGCCCGACTCCAACCACGGGCGGCGGAGGCGGATAAGGATAGTCGCGATCGAGGGCCAATCCAGCTGCCCAGCGGAGCTCCCTTTCCCAATCTCTGGCTTGCAACAGCTGCCTGGCCCGCCCTCGGTACCACTCCGCATCGAGCTTCCCCGCAATTTAGCCTGTCCTCCACGGCACCCTCTCCACGCCTCCAGTGCCACCTGCGCACCCCCACGATCCGCCGCCCGCGCAGCAGATGCGCCCGCCGCCATGCTCTGCGCTCCGCAGCGAGCGGAAAAGCACGCGGCGGGAAAAGATGCGCCCGGCACCGCGGCGATGGAGGATTCGGGGTGACCATGGACTCGGCTGTCGCCGCTGCTGCCCGCACTTCTGATTCGCTGCAAGTGCCGGCGGCGCAGGGAATCTGGGGAAGCATGGTGCGAACCACGCCTGCTGGCCAATCTTGTTTGTGGGCTTCGACGGTGACTTCACCCCATCTGGACGCCCGTCAGAAGGGACTGTCGGAACTGGCGATTTGCAGCATCTATAACATGTCGGGGCTGTTCATCTGCAGCTCGACCCTTGGAGTCCTGTCCAGTTCCACAGTCCCCGCTGCATCACTCCTCCGTCTCAGGCTTGCCATCAGCACCAGACATGACTGACAAGAAGCGAGCCGACGGAGTTGAAGCCACCATGATCGACGACCTCAAGGACCCTGATTTCGACCGGCAGAAGGAAACCCTGGCACACCAGAGCTTCAGGGGGAAAAGCGACGAGGAGATAGCCGCTCTGAAGAAGGGGTTGCTGCGGAAGGTGGACTTCAGAGTAATGCCGATGCTCATCCTCCTCTTCCTGCTGAAGTGCGTGTTCCTTGGGCGCGTCCGGATCGAGTCCAAACTGACCGGTTCCGTAGTATTTTGGACCGCAACAACTTCACCAACGCCCGCCTGGGTGGTCTCGAGGACGACCTGAGACTATCGGATCATCAGTACAACACTTGCCTGATGATCATGTACGTCGGCTATCTGCTGTTCCAGTTTCCCAGCAATGTGATACTGTCCAACTTCCCTCGGCCTGGGGTATACCTTTCAGTTGCTGCCGTCCTATGGGGTGCCATCTCTACCTGCATGGCTGCCACACGTAACTTCAGACAGGCTCTAGTAGTCCGATTTTTTCTGGGATTTGCCGAGGCACCCTTCTTGTGAGTTATCCAGCTGTACGAATCTGAGCTTAGTGCAGACACTGATCCTCAGGATAGTCCAGGTGCTCTGCTGATGCTGTCATCTTGGTATCAAAAGGATGAGCTTCCTTTCAGGATTGCCATCCTATACGCTGGCAACACTATCTCGAACTGCTTTGGTGGGCTCATCGCCGCAGGTGTCCTCGGCGGCATGAACGACGCTGCTGGTATCCACTCTTGGCGGTGGCTCTTCATCCTCGAGGGCTGCTTCACTATTTTCATTGCAATCATCGCTGCCTTCGTGCTGCCAAGCTATCCGAAAGGTATTTCTCCCACATTTTGACGTTCAGCCGAGGCTCACTGACATGTAATAGATGTCAAGTGGCTGACCGAGGAGGAGAGAGAGTACTCCATCTGGCGTCTGTCGGTTGAGGTTGCTGGTCAAGACGACGGGGAAGACGGCAGCAAGTCCGTCTGGGATGGCGGCCTTCAAGCGTTGAAAGACCCTAAGGTCTACATGCTCATCCTGATTCAGTTCTCTCTGAACACCGGAATGGCCTACGTAAGTGCTGTCGCATTGAGCTTCCGTCGTGCAAAGCTAACAGGTATTGACAGACCTACTTTTTCCCCTCCATTGTCCAGACTCTCGGTTACAACAAAATCGTCACCTTGCTTCTCACTGCACCTCCCTATGCTCTCGCGTTCTTTGGATCGCTTGGAAACTCGATCCACGCCGGCAAAACCAACGAGCGAGCCTTCCACGTCGCCGTCCCGATGGCAATCAGCATGATTGGAAACATCCTGTGCATCACTATTACAGGCACGGGTGGAAGATATTTCGCAATGTTCCTGGTAACATTCTCTAGTCGAGTCCGTCCAAGCCGATACTGATCAGGCGGCTCTAGATGACCTTTGGTGTTTATTCTGCGTTCAACGTCACATATTCGTGGGTATCTGCCACGGTGAGCATTCCCTGCATACTTTTCAATGGCCTTGATTCGATCTCTGACACACGGGACCAGATACCTCGCCCCAGGTCCAAGCGCGCCGCTGCGCTTGCGATGGTAAATATCCTCGGCAATAGTACACACCTTTTTACGTCGTACCTGTACCCCGACTCGGACGAACCCCGCTACGCTCGGGCTGGAATCACATTGGCGCTTTTCTGCGGCCTCGGAGGTGTCGGTTCAATCGCGCTACGGTACTGGTTGAGACATGAGAACAAGAAACTGGACCGGCTTGAGGGCACGGTTGGCGAGGACGCAGAGAACGGTGGCCAGCGCAAGGGATTCAGATATGTTCTGTAGGGAAGGATGGGTTGAGGTGGGTGGAAGGACACGGAGTAACGCTGTCTACGAGCGGAGAGGACGAACAAATCCGCCAGCCACGTGGCATGGAGCGGATACGAAGTGCGACAAAGCAGCACTGCGCCACATCTACGTGTGTTTTGGGTCTTTACTTCCCCCCTTAAGGCTGACCGCAAGGCCAGCCGCGACAACGTGTCTCGGAAGCCACGCGCCTCACATTCTGTCGTGCGACTTACCCGTTGCGGCCTAGGACTTCTGCACGGATACAAAGCAAAAACTCAAATCAAACCAGGCACCGAATCGTTGCGGCGGCGGCCAGCACCGGAGTGCTGACGGCGACGAGGCTTTCCGTTCACGGATCCCCGCACGGGCAGACCCCGCAATCTTTGTGATGAAATGACCAAGCCATCGCACCAATCCGCCCGGACGACGGAGCCAGTCGGCTGGCTAAATGCTCACGTGGGCGTTAGTGTCAACTGCTTTGGCCGCGTCGTCCCCCACGTACCCGGCTAAGTATCTCGACTGCGCAGAACGACGGCCCGGCGGACCGCCCATTGGTGGACGTCGCGCTTCCTTTGCAGTCTTCACGACAGACTCGCTCGGGCTAAGATGGGCGCGAGCTGCCGCAGCAATGCTTGCCCGAGCCCGCTCTTTCTGTCTGGCTTTGATCATTACTTAGTGGGGAGAGCATGCAGCGGCTCTCTCTGTTTCTGTCTTGACCCGACCGTCATCATCCTTTCCAGATCTCCAATCTCACCCGCCAAGCCGAGCGTTGCGCATACACACCGCACGGGAATTGAAGTGGCTCCCCCCCTGGTCGCAAACCCGTACCAATACATACTTTGATCGCCACGATGCAGCTTATCACTAGCCCGTCGTCAATCGCGTGGACTGCCTTCTCCGCGGCCGCGGTAGTGGCGGCGCTGCCTCCTGGCCATGGGGCCAGCCACGCCGCCCGTGCCGCTGGCCTTATCACCACTGCCACGCCGACGGTGTACCTAGCGGGCGACTCTACCATGGCGGAGCAAGGAGGCAAGAACGGCACTGAAGGTAAATAGAAAGAAAGAAAGAAAGAAAGTGACTCCTCGTGACTCTTTGACTTTTACCCCACAAACTCTGTAACTGATTTTCCGACGAGCACGAATAGGCTGGGGCCACTACCTGCAGTACTCGCTATCCGTCCCGGTCGTAAACAAGGCTTTCGCCGGCCGTAGCGCGCGCTCCTTCACCGACCAGGGCCGCTTCGCAGCCATCGAGGCGGCCGTGGTGGCTGGTGATTTCGGTAAGTGCCTTTGTACCCGCTCGCCTGCACTTGACCATTTCAACTTCCAAGAATCTGCCTGAAAGGAGAGGGAAAGAAAGGGAAGAAAGCCCAGACGAGCGGGATCAAACTAGAAGAAAGAACAACAACAATAACAACAACACGACGTGCTGACGCTCACAAAAAAAAAAAGTCGTCATCGAATTCGGCCACAACGACGGCGGCGGCGAGCAGCTAGGCACGGCCAACTACACGGACAACGGGCGGCCCGCGTGCCCGGGCCAGGGCGACGAGACCTGCCTCTCGGCCTACAACGGCACCGAGGTCGTGGTGCACACGTACAACTGGTACATGCTCCGCGCCGCACGGTCGTTCCTGGCCAAGGGCGCGAGCGTCGTCATCAGCACCATGACGCCGACGAACCCGTGGGAGTCGGGCAACTTCAGCTACACGCCGCCCGTCTTCGTCGGGTACGCGGAGAACGTGGCGAAGGCGCTGCTGGAAGGGGAGGCGGGCGGCAGGGCGGCGTTTGTCAACCATGGGGCATACGAGGCGGATGCGTTTGGGAGATTGGGGAAGGAGGCGGTGGATGGGTTTTTCCTGATGGATCACACGCACACGCAGCCCGAGGGCGCGGACGTGGCGGCGAAGGCGTTCGTGAAGGGGTTGAAGTGTGGGGGTAGCGAGCTGAGCGGGTTCGTGGTGAACGCGACGGAGAAGATTCCGGGCGTGTGTCTGTGAGTGGTGTCACAACAGCGGTCGAGGCCTGTGTAGATAAAGGACGTAGCGGAGGTCCTGCATTCAACGACGGCGGGAGTCAGCTGGTGGCATGGTTGCAGCGAAGGTTGAAATTAGGGTGTCGATCGGTGCCGGGAATAAGGCTCACGAAGCGCCGGCCAATGCGCGCTATTGCTGCATCGAAAGGACGGCGCATGTGATGGAAACGTTTGCGGAAAGATCCGGAGCAGGGTCCGCATGGGCTGCCAGAGCTAACAGTAAATGGTGGCAAGCTCCTAAGGAGTGAGGAGGCGCATCAAATAGGCTCGGCCGAGCGTGTGAGATGATTGCACAGGAAGACTCCTCCTCATCATCTCAATGAGGAAATGCCCACTGCCCCCTTCTTCCTATCAGCGAACAAAATCCGAACATGCAGTCTTAGCCGGGCATTATCTGGTCCCTGGTAGTGTACGGCAGAAGCAGAGGACAGTGGCTCCTTGCACCGAGTTATTGCGGGCCTTGCCAACCTCGTTCTTGAGAATCCAGACAAAGGCAGCACTGGCGCCGGGGCTCCTCACTGGGAAGCAGCTGTGAGGAAGAAGTCAGGGAGCTGATGAAAGCCAAGCGCTGTTTGCCACCAACCATTGCGTCATAGGGTCTTCAGCCCTGCCAGGTGCCAGATCCTTCGAGCTCAGCTCCGAGTGCACTGCGGTAGAGAGACGATGCATACGCATTCTCAGTCGCAACAGATGTTCGGAAAGCAGCGTCTCGGGCGTGCAGAGTGACGGCGAAGGCGACGAGGCTGCGGGGAGGTGGTGGGCCGCGGAAAGGCGAGTGGTGGGCGAGTCTCCGGGTTGGTTTGCGGCGGAGCGACCGTCGGATCGGGTCGTGGCCGCGGGCGTCGGCTGCTGCACTCCAGCACAACTCCCCCATCTCCCCATCTCCCCGTCTCCATCACGACACCTTCTCCACCCCATCGGCTTTTCCGAGTCTCTCGACGAATCTGCAGCTCCCAAGCAGCGTCAACGCGCCCGGGGCCTCGGCCGAGCTCTGTGGGCGAGCTGTCGAGACAGTGTGCTAAGTGCTTCTCCACAGAGCATGCCCCAACCAGCAACAAGCACGCGCACGGAGCAATCTGTGACGTTCGAATTGCCCTGTACGGGAGCCCGCTAGCTGCTTCTTCCCCTGTCCAGGCATCGACCCACTCTGTGGTCTTTGCCGCCACCCAACCCCGACTTCTCTCGAGAGTGTGGTCTTATGTTCAACGGATCATGGCCCGCTTGACAGGGGGCCATCCCGACACCGCATTGGACGATCCCCTCCCTGCTGGAGATCGCGCCGCGTCCGAGCATCCAAGACCAAGAGAGCGAAGCTTTTCACCGCTCGGGCCAATCCCGCCCCAGGAGCCTCGAGACCCGTGCCTTACTGAACACCTCTCGTGATTACGTCAATCAGTCCCCGCTGGAGGCCACCTAACCCCTCTACCTGCCTCGTACGAGCCCGCGAACGTAGACAGCGAGCAGCGAGACATCAAGATGTAGAGGCATGAGACACCACTTCATCCGAGAGCCCCATTGTGTAACCCGAGCATATATACAATGCCCTTGGACGACCCTCTCGGAGCATCCACAACACACTTCCCAGAAACTCCCTCAGAGCCTCAGGAATTCTCTTCAGCTACCAAGAACAAACAGCCGCCAGCATGCTTGGGAAAATCGCCCTTGAGGAAGCCTACGAGATGACTGGCATGGAGGCCAAGTCGATGCGTGAGGCCAAGCTGTACATCCACCCCAACGACCGCGAACGCTACATGCGCCAGATCTCCGACATCAACGACGAACGCGTCCGCCTGGCCGACGCCCACGGCATTGGCTACACCATCTGCTCTCTGACCGTGCCCGCCATCCAGGGCATCCCCGACAGGACCGAGGCCGAGCGCAGGGCCACCGAGGTCAACAACTGGGTCGCCGAGAAGGTCAAGGCCAACCCCAAGAAGCTGGGCGCCTTCGCCTGCCTGTCCATGCACGACCCCGTCCAGGCCGGCCAGGAGCTGCGCCGCTGCGTCCGGGAGCTCGGCTTTCACGGCGCCCTGGTCTGCGACTTCCAGCACGCCGGCCCCGACGGCGAGACCTACCTCTTCTACGACGCGCCCGAGTACGACGCCTTCTGGAAGGTGTGCCAGGAGCTCGACGTGCCGCTGTACATCCACCCGGCCGCCCCGTCCGGCGTCGTCTACGACAAGCTGTACGCCCAGCGCAGGTTCCTCGTCGGCCCGCCGCTGTCCTTCGCCAACGGCGTCAACCTGCACCTGATGGGCCTCATCGTCAACGGCGTCTTCGACCGCAACCCCGACCTCAAGATCATCGTCGGCCACATGGGCGAGCACCTGCCCTTCGACTTCTGGCGCATCAACCACTGGCTCGAGGACGTCGAGCGCCCGCTGGCCGAGGAGCAGGGCTACGACCGCATCTGCCAGCAGACCATCTACCACTACTTCAAGAACAACATCTGGGTCACCACCAGCGGCCACTTTTCCACCCACACGCTCGAGTACGTCGTGCGCGAGATCGGCGCCGACCGCGTGCTCTTCAGCGTCGACTACCCCTACGAGACCATCGAGAACTGCTGCGCCTGGTGGGACGGCAAGGCTAACGAGGTCATCGAAGCCTGCGGCGGTCTGGAGAACTACAAGAAGATTGGCCGCGAGAATGCCAAGAAGCTGCTCCGCCTGACCGACTACCACGATGCCGATGCCCCCGTGAACTGAACGGTGGAAGATGACTTCATTTCCTCGTCTGTAAAATATTCACTCCTGTAAATAACGCTACAAATTGAACGATTCAAACATCTCGGCCGTACCATCCTCATCCGTGTTGTCCAAATAGTCTAGATGATACTGGCGGCATGTGAATCATCTCTGGCGCGAAAGGAGTTGCAGGCTCAAAACGAAGCCGTTGGACTTAGTGTAACGAAGCGACGTCTGTGGCTCTCCGCATCACTATTTTAGTAGAGAGTAGAGGAAGGCCAAACAGCGAACAGATAAACATGCTTGTGTTCTACTTCTGCCAAGCTCGGTGTTTCTGTCAGTCGTCCTGGCAAGATCGATCTTCTCGTTGAAGAGTGAATCTTGTTAGTGGCAGTTTCAGCTCTCAGCTCTTGCCAAGGCTTGTGTACACCACTTGTTTTCATCCTTCCGCGATGATCCGGGCTTTAAGCCACAGACCGCTTGAATCTTTCCACTGTGTTTTCCCGTTCGCGAAGGAGACGTCATATACCCGCAAAGAGCTGCAGCTTTCAAGCAAGGAAGCAAGCAAACTAGCGATGTTGCACAGCTTTCCGTCAACATAGTGTTCAGACAAACCTCTTGGCGTGCGTCCTGTAGCACAGGGTTCGCATAGGGGGCTCGGCATGTCGGTGGTCCCTCCCCCCGATGCTGTCGTCGCATCTATAACGACAATATAGAAAGCTTGGCACAGACCTGAATTTGGAATAGTGCGGAAGCAAACAGAGGCCTTTGTAAGGGTACAGACACGTTCTTAGTGGTAAGTTGGCGTTTTATATCCTTTTTATCAAGAGATGCCGGGGAATTAAGAAGTACACACATACCAAAGCCTGTCAGCAATTTGTGGTTGAGATGAGACAAGCCTCCGGTGAAGTAAAACCACAGCCCACGCGTGGTAGGCTCAGAGAATTCAGACTTATTTTGTCTTTGAAGCCTGATGATGTTACAGTCTGTACCTGATGACATCAACGCGGCCCAGAGTGGCCCAAACAGCGCAGGAAGAGGCAATAAAACCGAGAACCGCGCGACCCAAGTTGGCTGTGGCCCACTTGTCGACCAGAGCGTGGGTCGTCTCCTCCTTCGCAATTCCAGCCTCAGCAGCAGTATCGGCGATGCTTGCAGAAGCAAAAGACTCGGCCTTGGCCTGCAGGGCTTTATCGGTAGGGTGGAGGAAGAGGAAGCTGTAGGGAATCTTGGCGAAGTAGAGGAGGGAGGCGGCCGTGTATAGCTTGCGCGGGGTGCTGTCCGGGGATTCTGTCAAGGCAGCTTTAGCCTGGGTCATGGGTATGGTTGGTGGCGAAGGGCGTACCCCGTGAAGCCAGCCAGGCGAACAGAGCAACGGAGCCGGCGACAGAGGGCAGGTTGATCGTCATGGAGATGTTGCGAGCTTTGAGCCACTGTCGTGCGAGCAGCGGGGCGGGGGCTTCAAGCAAGCTGGGAGTCAGCAGGATGGAGGCAGCAGCGGTCTGGCCTGCCCAGAAGATTAGCAGGCTCATCCTGGGTGCGGAGGAGGCGGCTGCGCATGCCACACAAGAAGGCTGAGGCGGTGATGCCCACGGCCTGAGCCAGGCGAATGGTGACCGGGACGGGCTCGAGGAAGGCGGGGACGGGGGGCGTCATGGTGGGCGATGTGGTGGGCGCAGGGCAGCGTAGGTTGTTTGTGATGCGGCACAGGCAGAGTGGAGAGGCAGCAGCTTCCTTGCTTCCTTGCAGCATCGGCGGGCCCCGGGCATGCGACGCGTGACACTCGGCAGGCACCGGCTCTTGGGCGTCGCTGCCACACTGCCGTTGCACGCAGCCCTCCATGACGCCTTCCCAAGCTGCTGTTGAAATGGTAGGTAGGGTGATGCGCAGGCAGCTGCAGCTGGAGCTCCCCCGCCGACCCGCCGAAGCTGCTCCGCTCTCTCCGCTCTCGCCGCTCTCGCCGCTCTCGCCCAACGCTGGGACGCCTCGGCCTCCTCATCAATTAATTAGCCTTGTCCTACGCCGTACCTAAGCTACCCGCCATCGACCCCGCCTTGCCATTTCATGGCCGCTGCCTTCGCCATGCCATCTGACTCCATCGTGCCAGGCGCGTGGGCCATGTCCATCTTGAATCGAAATGCTGGTCGCAATCTTTTATTTGCTCGCACTGTGTGCCCGCGTTTCGCAATCATCACCACCGGACGATTGCTCCGCCAATGCTACCTATCTCGAACTGAGTGACCCGCCCTACGAGAACTACTTCTACTCCGACTGCAACACCAGCACTCAAGTCGTCGTCACAAGCCCGCTTCCGGACAGCAACCTCACCTTCATTGGCCCGCGCTTACTGGTCCATCCACCAGCCCTCACTGCTTAGCTTGCGTTGACATTGCCCCAGGTAGCTTGGCCGGCGGGCAACAGCGGCGCCGCCGCTTTCTTTTCGCCCGCTGACCGAGTCAATGGTTCGCTCGCCATAGCTTTGCAGAATTTGACCGACAGACAGCGCGCCCTCGACCCCATCTATGGCTCCCATTCTGCCAACCGGAGCTTCCCTCGGGTCGGCGTAACTGGCCTTCTGTCGCTCAACACCAGTGCGCGCCTGGATATTGCCATTCTCGGCAGCATTCGGACCATCCGTGACTTCACCGAGGGCCCCAGCATTCTTTCTCCCATCATCCAAAGTGCAAATCGAATTGCCCACGATGGTACGGGCCGTGTTTCAATCAGCAGGCTTTGGCTCGACAACGTAACCACCACTACTCTTACCTTTCAACCCCATACTGCAGATGCAGAAGTCGTCGTGGACAACACTACTGTACGCTTCGAAGCCGGAAGATACATGTTCAGTGCCTACCTTGATTACCCGCAGTTGAAGCAGCTGAGCCCGCAACAAGTCCTGAACAACGCGTCCCAATCTCTAGCCACGACCAATTCCGACCAACTCGGCTCTCTTGCTTTCCTCTCCTACACTGACAAGCTCTTGGCCGGAGCCTGGCGGTTCTTGGCATATTTCGGCCGTGACACCATGATCTCTCTGCTCCTCATGCAGCCCATCCTCAGCGAGGGGGATGGCGGAGCGGTCGAAGCAGTCATTGGTGCCGTACTTGAGCGCATCAACCGCACCGATGGGAGTGTGTGCCATGAAGAGACCATTGGCGACTATGCCACCTATCTCAACTTGCAGCAAAACGTCACGAGCACAGCGCCGCAGTACGACTACAAGATGATTGACACTGACTTCTACCTCCCGGTGGTGTTGAACGAGTATTTTGTCAAACGTCCCGCCGGTCAACAACGAAAAGATGCATTCCTCGCAACAGAGGCAACAGTCGATCCAGCCAATCAAAGCCTCAATTACGGTGATCTTGCTGTTATAACTGCTGAAAGGATCATGAATTTGTCAGCTGCGTTCGCATCTGAGGGCGGTCAAACAACGGGAAACCTAATTCATCTGAAAGAAGGGCAGGTGGTGGGACAGTGGCGGGACAGCACGTACGGTATCGGAGGCGGGCGGATTCCATACGACGTGAACACTGCGTTGGTCCCGGCTGCACTGAGAGCTATCTCATCTCTGTCTGCTGAGGGTTTTTTTCCTACCCACGTTGACTGGAGAGATAGGGCCCGCCAGTATGCGCAGGTCTGGGAAGACGAAACTCTGCACTTCTTCCAAGTAAGCCCCTTTCGTGCTTCGGGATGTTGGCACAGCTGATGATGCTCCAGATCGATATTGCGGCCGAGGAAGCACGGAGTCTGGTCCAGTCGTATGTTAACGAGTCTGGTTTTGAAGGCCCTGGAAACCTGGATAAAATAACGTCCAACGTTCGCTTTCATGGTCTAGCTCTGGACGGCAACAATAACCAATCAAGCGTCAGGGTCATGAACACCGACGACTGCTTCAGGTTGTTCCTTGTCAACTCCACCAATCAGGAACAGCTGACTGCATTCCTAAACCAGGCCGCGGAGCACATAATCCAACCCTTCCCTGTCGGTCTCTCGACACCTGTCGGTGTGTTGGTAGCGAATCCAGCATATGGAGGCGATCCTGTCTATACGAATAATTTTACCAACAATGCCTACCACGGCACGGTTGTTTGGAGCTGGCAGCTTTCTATGCTCGCCGCAGGCCTCGCTCGCCAACTTGACCGCTGCAGATCCGCCCACATCCCTGACTTTTGCAATGACACAATCGTGCATGGGAACGTACGTCAGGCGTATAACCATCTATGGGATCTGATTGATGCGAACCGAGCCTATCTGAGTAGCGAGGTTTGGAGCTGGGTGTACAAGGCCGGGGACTTTCTCTATACGCCGCTAGGAGCACTTCCTCCGCCTGCCGGCCAAAGTCCGACTGGTGAGTTTCTGTCTCGGTTCTCATTAATTTCCTCCTTTATCTCCGTTCGTGTAGTAGGGTTGACGATGTTTTACAGAGAGTAATATCCGACAGCTCTGGAGCTTAACCTTTCTGGCAATTAGGAGCGATGAGGCGCTGCGTTGAACCCGATTGTTCTCCGCAAAGGGGCCATCATACACCAAACGAAGCTGATCAGATGGAGGCAGGAATAATGTCTCCAGTTATGCATGTTTCAGAGGAAAACCCAGACTCCAATGTGCACAAAACGTGCCATATCTACTCTGCGTGGCCGGAGAAATACATTCCTTGTCCGTGCCCCACAAATTTCTTTGAATGAATGGTAAATCATGAAGTGACTGTGAGCCTTCAGGGGGTTACAATAGGAGAAGGGGATCAAACACAATACACGACGGGGCCGGATTTGACGTACAGGACTCGTCCACCTTCCAGAACTACTGAAGCCGGCAGGTCGCTACGCTAACGCCATCGTCCAAGCGAGAGTGTTTTGCGATGCACAACGGTCAGATCGATGGTTGTCCCCGTGTCTATATAGGTGGTTGCCTCACAAGTTGACCAATCGGCTCGCGGGTGAGGTAGAACGGGACGGGCTTTTTAATACACCCAGGCCCACCCAGCCACTCTCCTTGAAACATCAAGCTTCATTACGCCAAGAACGTGAATTGGCCCCGGCCTGGCTTAAGTATTATTTCGAACCGCACGGGCTGAGCCCGACATGGCACCTTGCGCTCCGCTACCACCGGCGAGACACCACACCATGCCGTCTTGGCGTTTGAGAGATGCACGGAAACGCTCCACCGCTGTGACCTATAGTGCGCCACCCATCACCCACAACGTGTTTCCGACTCCAGACCACCCCAGAGAACCTGCTCGGCAATCTCGACGCACGGAGAACATGCATATCCTGCTGCACGAGATTGGACCACACGCTCGCCCTCGACGACTTACTTCTACGACTGGTCCCCCGACGGCGTCACCTCCTTCCTCATGCTGGCCGGAAGCGCCATGAGGTCACCGACTTCGACGCTTGGATGGCGAGGGATTGGCGGAGGCACATCAAGTCGAGGTTCGACTTGTAAATGTGATGTATGTATGCAGTCGAGGGATAAAGGAACTCATGTAGATATAACGTGTCGCCGCTTCCTACTGCCTGTGCTGCTTGGGACACTTTCAAGTAAATACGTGTATTATCCAAGGGAACAAATATCACCATTCAGTTAGGGGAGAGAGAGAGAGAAACATGCGCTTGACAGCGTGAAACAATGGAACGTGCAAGCGAACGATGGCCCCGTGGCCCCGCCTGATTGCCTAAAACGGTAACATGACCTGACATTAGCCCGAATAAGCAATCCCTATCAGATCTAGGTCTGACGTTGACTAGTCGCCCGCATGCTATCAAACATGTTATGATAACATTTACTGAACTCGGCGGACAGAAATCGCCTTGTGTCGTTTCAGTCTAGGGTTGGTCCGACGATGCGCGCCCAGGGGGATGATGCATTCTCTCCCGTTTACCTTCTTTGACCAAGTGCCACCACCCATACACATGCAGTTTATCACCATCACACACAATGTACAGCACAAACCATCAGACGCATTTTCGCGAGCTTCATCTACGAGGCTTCCTAATCCAGACATTTCCGATACTCCAAGCCGACGCCCTGCCTCCAGAATCCAGACCCACATCGTATCTTCCGCCTAGGGCTTTTCGTGTCAAAGAGAAAAGAGAAGGGGAGAGAAAAGGAAGCAAACAAACACACACATGATCCTTTCCGAACGCCCTTGTGGAGACCTTGCGGAACAACACTCTTATTTTTGGGTTTCCAAGATTGGGAATTTCATTTGAAGCGCTTTCGTGAAGCAGGGTGAACGGGGAGGTTCACTTTATGAAAAGTAAGATGGGGGTATGAGCGAGAAAAAAAATCTGAAACAATGTTTGGGTATTTTGAATAGCGGTAGAGCCAATGCCAGTAAGATAGGCAGAAAACAAGAGCAGAAATAAGCTGAGCTGAGGAAGGCCCCCATCGTCACCAAGAGCTGGAGCATTGCGCAGACAATCATAAGGCGGTTCTAGTGCATCGTAGAAACTCATTTGAACGGCAAAAACTTTGGTATGCGCTCAGGAGGGTGGAGAGGGACTTTTCGTCCGGGTCGTCCAAGGGAACCATACAGCAGAATTGGCAGCGGAAGAGGTTGAAAGCGGATGGTAATCCCCGTGGTCGCGATCCGAGTGCGGCTGCTTAGTGTTTTCGTGATGCTCCTCGTTAGCGCCTAAAGCATTAAAAGCATGGCAACTCCTGTTATTGGAAGGTTCATTGGCGAACAGCTTTCCGCGTAACTCGGTTGATCCGTTCAAACTCCTGCGGAGCGGTGACTGCTGTGACGCTGCAAACGCTGAGATGGCACCAGCCGAAGACGGAGGACCGTCGGTTTCGGGGAAAGTCGTTGGGATCGAAGTCCGGTTTGCCCTAACTGTATTGGCGGATGTGCGATGACCCAATGGTGCGCTGTCTCTGTTGTCAGGAGTGGCACACCTGAGCTTTTCAGGGTCGAAATCATCTTGTGATTCAAGATCAAGATCGAAATCCTCAATTTGAGGAGGTAAATGTTCCGGAGGAAAGGAAAGTCCTCGAAGATCGGCATCCATGTCATACTCGCCAAATCCAGAATCTTGGTGAAGAGGAGCGCTAAAGCGGTCCCGTGGAAATATATCGTCGTTCCTGTTCTCATAAAGCTCCTGAACTTCCTGATCTAATCCCGCCAATACATCGTCATGTGAATTTCGTTGCTGCATGCGATCGTGGAAAGAAGCGCGAGGGTTACGGAAACCGTCTGCAGATAGAAACGGCAAGGTTGGCGGCGACAGGTCGCGGTCATACCCTCCCATGCCAGCGAGCTCTGGTGGGTGTGCTTCGTGCCTGGGTTCCGGCCGGTCAATGTGCAATGGATCGTTTTGTTCAGTCTTGGGAGTTGGTATGCAGACTGTGGGTTGTTCGTGAGTGGGGAACTCTTGCTCCTCCATTCCAAGTGAGCCCCCGCGGTTGACAAGCCGTGTGTCACCGTCTATGTAGACTTGTTCCCATCTTTCGGTTTGGCCAGATAGGGACGTCATGTCATTCTCCGGCTCACTGTCGTCAAGTGAGACATTGGAGGACGCGCGTACATAAGGAGAATATTCTGGCGTTGGCTTTGCATCCGAGGCGGCCTCATGGCGCTGTGGTACAACATACGATCCAGAACTGTGAGCATCATACTCAGTGGGAGAGATAACATCTGTGAGGTTCGCGCTCGATGGGTTGACACTCAAGGTTGGGTTGGCGCGCTCTGGAGAGGGTTTGTGTTTGTCGATGTCGTCACGGCCGACGGCAGTGCGGGGATCGATATACTCCTTATCCGAGCGATGGGTGCACAGACTGTGTCTGGAGGTGGTTGCGGGCCTCGAGGCCTCAAGGTCGATTTCGGGATATCTGGAGAGCAGATCCCTCGCAGAAGGCCTGCCGCGTGGTTCTTCCCACAAGCACGCTTCTACAAGCTCCTTGAAGTACTTGGGGACGTCATCGCTGGCCGGTGTCCACATGAGAGGGCGTTCCTCACGCTCTGGCTCGTCCTTCTGTTCAGCCAGCGCCCACAGGACCATGCCCAGCTGGAACAAATCAGACTTGACGCCGATGTAGATGCTAATCTTCTGGCCAGCTTCAATGAGTCTCGCCAGCTCAGGTGGTTCCCATCCCACGGGACATCCTCTCCTGTTGATATCGATGATCTTGGCATCATCATCGGCATCGATGACAATGTTCGAAAGGGTGAAGTCTCCTTGGACGAAGCCGCTCTCGTGGATCTCAGACAGACCCTGGACAATCTGCTTAGCCCATCTTTCCCGTCTGGGCCAGATCATCTCGGCGGAATTCTTCCAGTCGTAGAGCAGGTCCACAAGCGCGCCCTTTTCGGCAAAATCGATGAGGAGCCCAGTGACGAGCTGCCGTTTGTCATCGACAATGACTCCTGCAAATTGTATGACACTGTGGGCGCCGCGCACTCGACTGAGACAGTTCGTTTCGTACAGGAACTCTTCGACAGACTCAGGACCGGGTATCTCTTTTTTGATGTAGACCTGGCCATGGGCGGAAACTCTATAAACGAAGCCAGACAGGTGGGACTCAAAGTTGACATCACTCTCGCGGAACACGGGGCAATCCAGGTGGGCAATGGCAGACAAGGGCGGGTAGGGGATAATCTCATTCATGTCCTCAGTGACGTGAACGTGGAGCCGGCCTTCACGGGTTTCCAGCTTCAAGTTGGTGACAGTCTCGTAGAACTGTATGTCTGGCAGGGAATCCCGGATGCTTTCGTAGATGCGGGCGCTTTTGTCCCGCTGGTAGTGCAAGCTCTTGAGGTCAGCCTCCAGGGATTCCGGTTCAGCATCACGGAAATCGATAGACACGGTCACTCTCCTCCACCTGTTGGGCTGCTCAGCGTAGGTTACGAAGAACTTCTCCCGGTCAGACATGTCTCTGAAATGCATGCTGAGGTTCAGAATCCACTTCGCATCCAGTTCCTGCTGTATGACGAGCTCGTCGACGCCGTCCGTCGAGCCGTCATGATCTGACTGCTGTCCGGCCGCCGAGAGCGGAGGCGGATATCTCCAGCGGCTCTGAGACGCCATGGATCCGGTGTCTTCGTCGTCGGGACGATCATTGTTCTTGTGCGGGGTACGCTCCTGCCGCAGGGATGACTCATGCGCTTCGGAAGCGAAGGGACTGAGGGAGTCGGGCGCTGACGAGCGAAGGTGGAACTTGGGCGGAGGAGAAGCGCCGCGCCTGGACGTTCCCACGCTCTGGCGATCAACCGAATGGGCTCTCGGCTCAGACGAAATGGTCCTGCGCTCGTTGTGGCCTGGTTCGTAGGGCACCAGCCGCTCTCGTCGCTCGGACTCTTGTCGTCTGAAGGTGGCGGGACGCGGCAGGCCGGGCACCACCTTGCGGGACGAGCGCCTGGTCAACAGGCCGGACTTTCCCTGCTGCTTCTCGTTATCAGGCTCCTGCTGGACGGCCTCCGGCTCGCCGTCTGGCGGCGGGGCTCCAGCTCCAGCCCCAGCCTCGTCTTTCTTCAACCAGCCGCCCAGCTTGTTCAACGAAAGCCGGTCCCACATCCTGGATCTGCGGAGGTTGGGGTCCGGGTTCATGGCCGGGAATTGTGCGTGTGTGGTGATGGGGTGTAGCGCGGCAGCCAGGCTGAGGATGGTGTGGCCTTCAGCCGGCAATGCGAAGGGAGGCTCCGGCTGCAGGTGGCCAGGCACTGGGTCACGGCTGGGTGAGCATGCGAAAGGGGGCTACTCTACAGCGACAGGGAATTCATGCTGCGAAGGCACCGTGTGCGACGTCGATCTGCGGGCACCCATGGGGTTCATGCGGTGGAAAGCACGGCAGCGGCCATAGGGACGGAGGAGCGGGCGGAGGGTGGTGGCGGCGCGGAGGAGGGACAGTGTCTCAGCAGGAGAATAGGAAGGCGGCGGGCGGCTTGGGCGGCGGGTGTTGTGCTTATTACTCGGTGGAGCGACGTCGGGCGCTGCGGGCGGAGGGCGTGGAGGCGCAGGGCGGGCTGGTGCGGGCTGGGGCGGGCCCAACAAGCGCCGGCGTCTAGTGGGCTGCCACTGCTGCGTGCGCACCTCCGCAAGCCGCGACAAATGAGTCGATGTGACAAGGTGAGAGACATCACATCTGTGCCACCCCTCCGGCCTGTGAACGGCCGCCCTCGCCGAGTTGAGGTGGCACCGCGCAACGACGCCTCACCGGCGGCCAAAGCAACCGACTCTTTCTTCAACCCGGCAGCCGCTGCATGCGCAATGCGCAGCCCACGCGAGCCGGGGCGGCTTGGGCACCAACGGAGCGCGATTGCGATTGCGACGGTGCGATTTGCAGCAGCCTGGCAGCCTGGCCTTGCGTCGCGGCGGATGCGCTGGCACGCACGCATACGCCGTCGACACGTTTCCGGCGCATGCTGCAGCTCAGCCCGGCCACTCGCAGACACTCGCATCCTCGCTCGCGCGTCGCCCTCGTTGCCAGGCGACATTACCTAGGTATTGCTGCCGTTGGCGCTACTGCACCGCGCTGCATCCCTGCCGTCCGCCGTCCGCCGTCCGCGCCTGCGCACGGCACGCTCTCCTACCTGCTCTCCAACGCTCACGATACGTCTGGGTCCGGCTCGGTCCGTGCCAATGGCTCGTCAGCTCGGCCGTTCGCGTCGTCTGCAACGGTCGCCCGGCCCTGGCCCGGCCTGGATACTAGTTAGCCGCCTCTCGCCCCAGGTTGCAGCTCTGGCCCAGTGGCACTCCATCTTGCATCAGCAGCCACTAGCCTGCCCAGTGTTCTACAATGTCGCGGCCACACGCCGGGCTGGACGTCCTTCTCCCTCCGCCTTTGGTCCGCATCCGTCGCGGCCGAGGCAAGACACCAGCAACACGAATGCCCAGCAATCCTGCTGCCGGATCGCCGTCCAGAATAAAACGATCGACTGTCCACCAGAAACCTTTCTGCCGCTATCTCCGGGCCTGATTGTGCACACGGTCTGTGCTGAGCATCCGTCACAGCGGCCACCCACAGTCTGGCGGTGGCGCTGGCCTGCATCTTCGCTGCGGGAATGGATGCTGGAGGCGCTTCGGTGCTCGCCAGCCTCATGCTCGAAGGGCACTCCTCGCGAGGCAATTGGCGAGCAGGAATGGCCAGGGCTGACTAAGGCTGGATCTGGGCAGTGTAGATCCTCACGTGTAGCAGATTAAGCCCTAACGCTTGGACGCTCTCAGGAGGCTCCTGATGCATCACAACTCCCCAACTTGGTAAGCCTCTCATCCCTATTCGAGCGTGGGTGCGAGGAGCCGAGCGCAAATCCTGGTTTTGCCTCCGCAACCATCATAGGGCTCTCGCGGATTGAGAAGCGACCGGAGCCGCTGCACTTCGGTCTGACTCGGTGATCTGCTGCGCCGGATATATCAACCTGAGATGTCCGTTATATAGCGGCCCTATCCTGCATCCTCTCTCTTCGCGTCGCTCCTTCGTCTCCTTCTTTCCTTTCCCGCCATGGGTCTTTTGAATCTCGTGCTCATCGGCACAGCCGCCACCGTGAGCACGCCAGCCCCGTCTCCACCGGTCAAAACAGCAGGCTGACGCCAACACAGGTTGCATACGTCATCATCGCTGGCGTCTACAACGTCTACTTCCATCCTCTCCGCAAATTCCCAGGGCCTTGGCTCAGCGCAGCGACGTCGCTGCCCCGCATCCTCGGCCGTGTAAGAGGCATTGAGCCGTATCATCTCCAGTGGCTGCACGACACCTACGGCGATGTCGTGCGCGTCAGCCCTAATGAATTGAGTTACACGACGGCCAAGGCCTGGAAGGATATCCACGGACACGGCGCCCCTGTCACGAAAGACCTGGATCACTATGGCCCGCCATCGACGGGCACCAAGGGCCTCTTCCTGGCCGACGAGGGCGACCATGGCCGCCAACGCCGCATCTTTTCGCACGCCTTTTCGGACCGCGCGCTCAAGGACCAGGAGCCCCTCTTCCGTGGCTACGTCGAGCTGCTGACGGCCAAGCTGCTCGAGTTGGGCACGGGCGAGCCGGACGCCAAGGTCAACATGGTCGACATGTACAACTTCACCACCTTCGACATCATGGCCGACCTGACTTTCGGCGAGTCGCTCAAGCTGCTCGAAGGCTCGGCCTACAACGCGTGGGTGCACGGCATCTTCGCCGCCGTCAAGTTCTTCGGCCTGTCAACCACGCTGCGCTTCTACTTCCCCAAGATCAATGATATGCTGCCCTACGTGCTGCCCGTGCTGCAGAAGAAGCAGAAGGAGCACCAGCAGTACGCCTTCGACCGCGTCGACCGGCGGCTGGCCACGACCACGGACCGGCCGGACATCTGGTCGTACGTGCTCAAGGAGAAGGGCGACGGCCAGGGCGCGCAGCTGACAGTGCCCGAGATGCACTCCAATGCCACCACCTTCATGATCGCCGGCACCGAGACCACCGCCACGCTGTTGTCCGGCGTCACCTACCACCTGCTGCGCAACCCGGACAAGATGGCTCGCCTCGTCGCAGAGATCCGCGGCACCTTCACCACTCCGCAGGACATGACGCTGCAGAACCTTCCCCAGATGCCCTACCTCAACGCCTGCCTGGAGGAGGCCCTGCGCATCTACCCGCCCGTCCCCGGCGGCCTGCCGCGCCTCACGCCTCCCGGTGGTACCATCATCGAGGGCGAGCACGTTCCCGGAAATGTAAGGGATGATTTCCTGCCTTCACTTCCCCTTACAAAGCGAGACTGACAAGATGAAAAAATCACTCAGGTCACCGTCTTCGTCACCAACTGGGCTGCGTACCACTCGGCGCGCCACTTCGCGCTACCGGAGCAGTTCATCCCGGAGCGCTGGCTGACGGGCGACGAGGCGGACCCGCGCTTCGCTGACGACGACCGGGCGATCCTGCAGCCCTTTTCTCACGGCCCCCGCAACTGCATCGGCAAGAACCTCGCTTGGCACGAGATGCGCCTGATCCTGTCGTACACGCTGTGGCACTTCGACCTCGAGCTGTGCGAAGAAAGCGCGCACTGGACCGACCAGCGTGTGTACGCGCTGTGGGAAAAGCATCCGTTGATGGCGAGGCTGAAGCCGGTGCAGAGGCAGTAGGACGCAGGCCTCTCGAGGTTCTCTGTTGGGACCTGCTGATGGCTGGCTGGCTGGCTGGCTAGGACAAGAGGGATGCTCTTCCTGAGCTCCGTTTCTTTGGTCTTCTCAAAACATGCTTTTCATTCCTCCTTTTTGCGATACCACCTTGTCGGACACTTATTTATTTTCTTCACAGTCTAGACAGATCATTTGCTCAAACAAATCACTTTGAGGAATGGGGCCAGACTCCTACAGCCCAGAGAAATAGCACCTTTGCATGTTCGTCCGGGTCTCCCACCTTTCAAACAGAGAGGCATCCCCCATTCTTGGATCGTGATGCGTACAGTGTACTACGTAGATGGAGGCCCGCCCACTTCCGGTGGTGAGTGGAGCGTCGAGCCGCGCCTCCCCAGAGCAGATAAGCGAGACGTCATATCTAAAGAGCTTCCCCGCCATGTTTCCCGCGACCAGCACAGCTCGTCTCCGAGTCCTATTCTACTCTTCCCGAATCCCCAATTCGCCGTCTCGGCCGCCTTCTGCCATGGCCTCGGACCTCCACGGCAAAGTCGTCTTCATCACCGGCGCCGGCAGCGGCATTGGGTAAGGTAACAATCAAACAAACCCACCCCACTTCCGAATCAACAGCACTCGATCAGCTAACGCCACGGCCCGTTTCTCACTACTAGCCGCGCCACCGCCCTCAAGCTCCACAGCCTCGGCGCCCGCCTCGCCCTGACCGACGTCAACGCCGACGGCGTGCGCGAAACCCACCGCCTCTGCAGCGGCGGCAGCGGCGGCAGCAGCAGCGACGATAACAACGTCCCCGCGCACTACGTCGCCCAGCTCGACGTGTCCAACAGCGCCGACGTCGAAGCCTGCGTCGCCGCGGCGCACGCGCACTTCTCGGGCCGCCTCGACCACGTCTTCAACTGCGCGGGCGTGAACCCGACGTCGTACGCGCTGGCGGACACGACGGACGCGTACTGGGCGCTGCTGGTGGACGTCAACCTCAAGGGCACGTACCTCGTGACGCGGGCGGCGGCGCCGCGGCTGACGTCCCCCGGCGGCTCCGTCGTCAACGTCTCGTCCATCTGCGGCCTGCACCCCGTCGCCAACCAGGCCATCTACTGCGCCACCAAGTTCGGCGTCGTCGGCTTCAGCAAGAGCGTGGCGCTCGAGCTGGGGCCCCGGGGCGTCCGCTGCAACGTCGTGGCCCCCGGCTACATCGACACGCCGACGAATGCGGGCGTGGTCAAGGGCCCCGAGTACGTGAGGCGGATGGAGGCCGGCAACAGTCTGGGGAGGCTGGGCACGCCCGAGGAGGTCGCCGACGTGGTGGCGTTTCTCATGAGTGCCGAGGCGAGGTATATGAATGGGAGCGTGGTGGAGATTGATGGGGGTCTGAAGGCTTAAGCAGCTGGAGTCTAGTGTCGATTGATCCGGTTTCGAGAATGCAATAGCCTAATCGCCCATCCGTGTCCGGCTTCTTGCTTCGACTGCCCCGCCGAGAAAGAGGTTCACCCCCTTTTTCTTTTGTCATGACGTGAATTCGTGTGATAGTGTCCAGTGAGGCTCCGGGTGGCTTGTATGTGGATGGGCGATCACCCGTCGCACCACCGCTCTCCTTTCGCGGACGATGCTCTGAACTGGCGTTTGAAACTGTCGCAGGTTCTTCCCGTGGCAGTCGGCTTTGGGTATGCCGAGACGGAACGGGTACGCCACGCCATTAGGATGTCAAAGTGTCTGCTGAGCTGTGTGACGCAGACCCAGGCCCCCGGGCCCAGGCAGCTAGGTGCTGCACCGGCGGGAAGCAATGATGGTCCGTTTCGGCATGCAGTCTACCTGTCCAATCAAAAGTATCAGCAACGACACGGTGGGTGTAGAAGCGGACTGGCCCACCTACATTTATCCCACATAGGGAGTAGGATCCTATATCTGGATACAATTGTACAGACTGTCATAGCACTTGCATCTACGTCCGGATATCTGCTCCACCTCCTAATGGAGAAAGGTTGTTTGAACCTACGGTTTACGTCGGGATATCTGTTTCGACTGCCCACCCAAGCATCGCCGTAGGTCAACACATGCAGCTCGCCGAAAGACGCAGAGAAAGCAAACAAAAGCCCGTGTCAAAGAGTTCCTGAGATTTGTACTAAGCGATGATAGACCACCTATCATTCGCGGCGTGACCTATGAGCAAATGTGTAATCAACAGGCTCGAACAGCAGACTAGTCAAAATTCCCACACTTCCGCATGGACCGCATTAGAAGTAGCCAAGCAGGTTCCCAGAAGCCATTTTCCGTGTATTTGCAAGAAACCTTTCCCGTCCTACGGCTCCAAATCGCTACTCAAAGCTTCACTCTGTCGGCGCTTGGCTCAGCATTCCTTCACCTTTTTCCTTTTGAACTTGTTCAATGCTAAGTGCTGCCTGGCTGAGCGCAGCTGTAGGCCATTCACGGGTACTCCTTGATTCAGCCGTCGTTTTTCTCCTGGATGTTCTGCTCCTTGTCATCAATAGCTTTCTGGCGGACGTCAATCTTCTTTGCGTCTTTGACTCCCTCCTGGAAAGCCTTCGCATCCTTGGCCTTAGCACCTCTGCGACGAGTTTTAAGCTTCATACCCTTTGCCTTAAGGTACTCGTCCGCGGCCTTGGCCGCCGTCTCTCTGAATACCGTGAGTTGCATCGGGGACTTCCACTGAACATCCGGCTCTGGACTTTCCTTTGGGAAAGTCGTGGTGGGCTCTGGTGACGGAGAAGTGGGCTGCGGCCAAGCCTCCACTGCAGGTGTATTCTTAATAATGTCATCAATCGCCTTATCAGTGTCACCAGATTGCTGCTGGTCCTCATTGTCCTCGTCATCATTGACGAAATCCGGCTCGTCGTCATCACTTTCGTTTTCGTCTTCGTCGTTGTTGGTCGGAGATCGTATATCGTCGTTGGTGGTTGAGTTTCCATTGTTCGGAAGTGCACTGCCAAAGTCAAAGCTGTCTTCCGAATCCGCTTCCAGCTTTGGACTACTCATGTCAGCGCCTGGTGTTCCTTCAAAGCCCCCAATTTCAGCGGTCTGAGAGTTCGGTTCGGGCTTCGGTTCGGGCTTCGGTTCAAGCTCTTCTTCTACCGTCGGCTGAAGACGCTGCAACTCCTTCTCGCGCTGTGACTGTTCCTCTTGCTCTCTGATGGCCAGCTGTGCAGCTTCACTTTTCTTCGCTTCCTCCATTTCCTCGGCCTTCTCTTTCTTGGCGTCTTTACGCAGCTGAGCAGCGATGCCAAGGCAGTAACTGTTGGTTACGGCAATCCCTTTCTTGAACCGAGCCCAGTCCAGGATAAGGTTGTATATCTTTTCGAAGGCCAACGCCGCGGAAGCAGTGTTTTGAGCGATTCCATAAAAGACCCACCTCACCAGAAAACGGCTCTTAGGAGTGCTCGAATATGTCTTGACGTCGAAGAAGATGCCCATGGCACCTGCCAGATCCGACACCCATTGCCTTATGGGTATTGGAGTCGTAGCTCCATCTCGACGGTAGATAACAACCTCGCTAGATCCCGTGGATTGTTGCAGCTCTTCGGGCGTCTTGTATTGCATGACCTCGGCCTTGTCCACATTGTATTGACGCATCAGTTTCCCAGCGAGGAACATGGCGGCTCTAGCCTCGGCCTCGGATGCATTCTCGTGCTCTGCACGTTCAAAGCACTTCCTGAGCTTGGCGAGGACGCTGTCATCGATGTCCAAGCCCCCGGGGATTTCGCTGGTTCCTTTCGCTCTTTCCGCAGTAGCTTTGTAGAGAGGCGGCGGAGGCTCCTTCTTTGCTCGGCCTCTCTTCCTTGGCGGTGGTTTCTCGTCTTCTGCATCCTCTTCAGATGCGTGGCTTGCAGAACGCTTGATCCCATGCACAATGTCCACGCCCGACGCCTGGGCTGGCCAGGTGGTGTCTGATTCTTCTTCGGGGTCGGGCTTGATCTCCGGCTCTGCAAGATCGGGTCTGGTTCCTTGAATGCCAGTAATGTCTCCAGATGGATACGGCGTTTCGGGGTCTCGGGTGCTTTCTGACTTGATGGTGATGACGGGCGATGCGTGTCCGCGTCGCTGAGTAGGGAAGGAACTACTAGATATAGCTCCCCCCTCACCTTCGCCATCAGATGCGGTCAGGCCAAGGACAGCGCGGTCTCGGCGGTCGGCGCGGAGCTTGGATGCGATATCTCGAAGCTTTGAAGGTTCGATGCTGGCGTCTGTGTCTTGGCCTATGGAGTCAGATGTGGAGCCACAGTCTCGATCGAAAGGTGAGCTGTGAGCGTTTGCATCCTTGGATGCACGTCCGTCGAAGGCTTGACGCGTACCAGATTGCTCATGGTTACTCGGTTCTGGAGTCTTAGTTTCGTCTGGATCACGACCCGGGACGGGCACGTCAAGGAGGAATGGATGAGCCATGGTTGTCCAGACTTGAACAAGGTGAGTGACGGACGCGACCTCTTCGTTGGGGGCTGTGGTAGAAACAACAAAATGGAGGCCAAAACACCAGATGAGGAGATTGGTGCGACTAAGCCCGATTTGGAACGAAGAGGAACCGTCGCGGAAGGAGCGACTCTGTTTACTTCCTGCCGGGGAGCAACGCGTCGTTCTGAGGGACACGCCGGCAGCGCGTGCAATCGGAAACGCGTCGTTCAAGTCGAGACAACGCGTCAAACGCAGATGATTTCAGCAGCACCTTTCCAGCAGCACAACAGACTCCCAGTCCTATCGCGGTTGGCGTATGCAGGCACCTTGCCGTCGCGCTGAAGGGGGTGAGCCAGGACCGGTGGGTAGCTCGCAGGCGGGTGCATATCTTGATGCGACGGTCGCGCCACTGCTCGCCGGCCAAACGCACCTTCTTTGGCGGTCTGGAAGTCTGTGCCATGTCCAATGGACGATGATTGACGCAGGATATAGACGGAGAGACCCCGCAGAACTGCTTCTCTGGCATGCGGGTGCCGATGAATTCGATGGAGAAGCTGCCACTGATTGACAGGTTTATGCATTTTGGGTCTCGGAATCATCTTCAAGTTCGCCGGCATTGGATCCGTCTCTGGAAGGAAAGGGAAAACCGTCGAGTTCTTCGGTCCCGAAACCGAGACCTTGGGCGCTACCGCCATGGCCAAAGAAGCTATCTCATGTCATGGTTGGAAGCTGCACGAATTCTTCGTGGGAGGATTTGAGATGGCATATGGAAAAATCCAAGCGGACGAGACGGTGGATATTTTGGGCGTCGAGGACATTGTGCCTGGCAAGCAGCTAACGATGGTGGTGAGAGGGAAGGGATATGGGGACGCTTGGGAGACGAAGTTGAATCACACGTGTCATGAGGGCCCGATGCCGTGGTTGAAGTGATCGAGGGTCGACGTTGAATAATATCAAGTCGCAAAGGGCGTAGACGGCGACTGTAAAGGGACCAGAACATAAATCTGGCGGTAGCAATGATGTCCAATTAGCTACCCTCTTCTCACTCTACGATTCTTTGGAGTCGTTCTGTCTTGACACCACGTCGTTTGTGGTTGAGGATCCCGCCGAAAACACAACCGCAGCAATGGTCAAAGCATACCAGCGGAGACCGGAGACACACCGCTCAGCACGCCTGCCGCACTACCACTTCCGGTGTGCAATGAATCCGCAACACACCATCGGCCCCTGTCTGCCGGCGAAGCCCATAATATCCACCCCAGTCCAGCCCGCATCCAAAACACCTACTAGTTCGTGCACGACATGGCCCCTCCCCCACAGTGTAACGGCGGGTAGCTGATGCAGCTAACCGCGGCTTCCCGTACCTTATCTGCCGGCTCTATCTGTACTGTTTCGTGAGCGTTGCGCCACACACGACGACACTTCGTGACCCGCATCCCGAAGCGTTGTACGAGATCAGGCGCCCAACGCCCTCGCCAACCCCTCCCCGTTACTTCGGCAACACCGACGCATAGTCGGAACATCTTATAGGCACACATCGTGTCGGGTTGCCTGAAACCATGCTCTCGATCAAACGTCAAGCAACGACGTCAAATCGAAAGGGACAGCAAGGAAAGAGCGAAAGAAACACCATGACGGCCGGCCTGCGCGATCGAGATCATCCCCCACTGCCGAGGAGACGGGCGTGCGCGCGTGTATACATATGTAGCGGTGATTTCCCCGGGCGGGAATACTGGGAGTCAGTTAACTTTCAAGAGACCATATATCGGCAACCGGCACACCAACAGAGAGCGTCTGTTCATATCCAGCGGTGGCGACTCTCATCACAGACGCAAAAGACGCATATGGAGCGTCGCCGTGCGCGCAGTGCATGCGCGCGGAAAACGGGAAGACACCACCCGCCTGCACAATCGTGCAATCGGCACACCCACGCCCCTGAGATTGCGCTCTATTTTTGTGGGGAAGAAGGCGGAAAGGGAAAGGTGAGAGAGTCGTCGAGGCGATCAGGTAGGTACTTGGGACTTCTGGCGCGCACCACGACGGCCAGGAACAGGGACGCACGTGCATGGCGTGATGGATCAGGAGCCGTGGCTGGAGAATGGCCCTCCCCAGCGAGAGATTGGCAGCCGCAGACAGGCAGGAAGGGAGATTTGCCCGCCAAGCGTTCGATTGCGACGACACCGGCGCCGGCGGAGCCCGCGGACGCACGCACACACGCACACACACGCACACACTCATGCCCCCCCACGGAGATTGGCATAAGAGATTGACACTCCGTCGAATCGCGTTCTCGAACAAGTGATGTGCGCGGGTGTGTGTCCGTGATGGAGTTTCAATAGTCTCGTTTGCCGCTGCTCATCGGCGCCTGATGGCTCGTACCTGCCGGGACGCCTTGAGGATTGATGCTTCGGCCTGGTCGAGTAGTGGTGAAGCAGCCGCGCCGGCGGCTCAGGGGGCGCGGCAACCCGCGGCGAATTCTGCAAAAGCCAAACCGGTCAGACGGGAGGAGCCAACCGGCCACCAAGCAACACCAGAGCCGGATTGCGTGCATGCGGCGGCGCGCGGGGTTTAAGATGAAGACAACGTCGCCCGGTGATGAAGCATTGCGTGTCACAGGAAAAGCTTTTCGGCGCCGTCTTCCGCATGCGACCATGGTCGGCCAAGATGGAAGGGCGATGCTTCGATAGGCAAAAGCGTCGGGGCCCGAAGGGGGCAGATGTGCCTGGTGTGGATAAGGGAGATTATTGTGTGGCCTCGCCTTCTTTTTTGGGCTGGGGCACGGATCGGCATAGGGGGGCTCGTGGGGTCGAACTTTGCCCACGGCGCTGTTCGTGATGCGCCTCCTGCTGGGCCGGTCAGCGGGGTCGTAAGCGACGAGCGGTAAACGCAAAGACGTGAGCAGCACAAGCGGAGGGAAGAAGGGGCGGCCGGGTGACCGAGCCACGAACGCGGAGGATGCGACCACCAAGATCTCCTGATCATCCATCCGCAAAGTAACGAGAGGTGATGTGCGCGCCGCATCGTCTCTTTGGCAAATGTACGTACATACAAAATCGGTGTTTCATTCTCGCTGCTGAGACTGCTACGGTTCGTTGAAGTGGTATCCATTATATTTACACAGAAGTCGAAAGCAAGAAACCCGGGGGGTCTCTTTCTTTTGAGAGCAACCAGTAAGAGCCGGCTTATTGGATAAGTTGAATAGACAATAAACAGACACTGGTATCGTAAACGCAAAGCGTCCAAAAGTCGAAATATCTAGGAAACCATCAGGCGCCGATGCTGCTGCTTCTTTCCTCGCGTCCAAAAACGTGCTGCGCCGAAGATCCCAATGGCCGACATCCCGCGACTTGGAGCTCCAATAAAAATGATTATAAACAAGGCCCTCCTCTACCCTCCTATTTCCGCTTCATTACAAGAATTTCTGGGAAAGAAGACGTCATGATTTAGTTGAGGATGGTCTTGACCGTGGCGGAGCTGCCCATGTTGCCGCAGCCGCCGGTGGGGGCGCCGTCGAAGGTGCCGTAGGTAGCGCCCTCCTGCGAGCCGTTCTCGCAGTTGAGGAGCTCGTACTCCAGCCAGCACGACTCGGCGCCGTCCTTGCACTGGAAGACGCAGGTCTCCATGTCGGAAACGCAGTTGCCCGTGTCGATGGACATGTTGTGGCCCTTCATGTTGACCTCGCGGGAGACGTCGACGCAGCCCCACTCGCCGAAGGTGTACTCGCCCCACGTCTCCGAGATCTGACCGTTGACGAGCGTGGTGTCCTCGTAGATGGCGGCCCAGGCACCGCTGGCGCCGTTGGCGAAAGAGAGGGTCTTGTTGGTGCCGGCGGGGAGGGACAGGGTGATGAGCGGGTCCTGGGTGTTGACCCAAGAGGCAGCGGGGCCCCAGACGACAAGGACGATGTCCTCGTCAGACTGGTTGCTGTACTCGTTGGTGTAGTCACCGTCATCGCCAACCCAGACCTGGGCATCGGCCGAGTCAAGGGCGTTCTTGCCAATGGCGATCAGGCCGAGAGCGAGCAGCTTGGCCTCGTGGATGGCGTCCAGAAGCAGGCCACGGTCGTCGCTGCAATGGTCAGCACAGGGATCCTCGGCACGCGATTGGAGCCGGCACTTACACGCTGCGGGCCTCGTGCTCGCGGTGAAGACGGGCGTGGGAGCGGCTGCTGGCCATGGTGCCGGTGGCGGCGAGAGCGCCGAGAGCCATCGAAGTGAAACGCATGTTGAAGGATTGGTTGGTGGTTGTCGGGAGGGATCCGAAAGAGTGGCTGGACGACTGGTGTCGAGAGAGTGACTGGAATGACGCAAAAAGAGTGATGCGATTATTCCTCTGCGAAGTGAAGCGGGCAGTGAGACAGAAAGACACGACAGTCGGGGCCTGGGGATAGTGATAATAAAGAGGACCCAGCCTCGGTGGTAATTAAGGAGACATGGGTGGGCGGGAAAGACCGCGGCGCCGGAAGAGCGTATGATAGGAGGATGACGACTGCTATGCCGGTGGGGGTATAGCAACACACGCGGCTCGACTAATGGGCGCGCCGGGTTCAGCGCGCAGGACGGGCAACTGGGCGAAAAAGGAGGCGAGGGCTGCTTGGACAACACGGCGGCCAGTGTGGGCGCATACGGGAGGAGCAGGCGGCCGGCGTGGCTGAGGCCTACGCCAAAAACGACTAGCCATGGCTGATCCGCAACAGGCTGCGAATCGCCGGCCAGGCACCGCTGCCAGACGCCAGCCCACGACTCCTGCTCCTATTCTGCGCGCGCGCGCTGGGCTGCTGACCGCCTGCTGCTGCGCTTGCTCGGCGCCTGCGAAGCGCGGGCGGAGCGCTGATGCGGGGAGGGCGCGCAGGCTGACACGTCCGCTCTGGCGCGCGCGCTCTGCCAGCTGACGGCGGCTGCACGCCCCGGCGGCGCAGTGGAGCCAGCACGACTCGCCGCTCGCCGCCCGCCGTGCCATTGCTGCGTATGCGGCCGCGTCGGCGGCGACGGCGAAGCAGCGCGGTTGGCAGCAGTCTGTCCCGAGGTGCATCGGAGACGGAGGGTGCCAGACTGCCAACGGCGCGCAGGGCTGCAGCGGCAGAGGCGGGCGGGCTGCCGGTTGGCAGCACACCGGCACCGCCCAGGTACCGCCGACCAACCGCAGGCCGACCGCAGGCTAACCTCACAGGCTAGACCGCCGTCACGTGCAGCAAAGCGGGCCGGGCTAAATCGCGCGTTCCTGAGGATCCCCAAGAGCGTGAAACACACGGTCGGCTGGAAGCCCCGGCGCGGCGGCGTCCAGAACATCGGCACGGCGCTGTCGGAGCCTCGGGCGCCGTTGCCAAGCGGCTCAGCAGTCGTCCCACGGGCTGCAAAGCTTTGATGGGCGGATGTTCCGCTTGGCGGCTGCACGCCACGTGGGTCCCAGCGAAACCACGGCGCTGACGGTGGGGTAGCCGACAAGTTTTGCAGGTGTGCTGGCTCCGTTCGCTGGGCCCTAAGAGCGGTGCCTGGCAGCTCCCGCCTGGGAACGCTGCAGGAACACGCGCCCAAGTGCGGGAAGACCCAAGTGCCAACCAACGCAAACACTGTCGCTCGCAACCCCGCACCACCCGCTGTCGCAGGGCTGCAGTGCGATACGCTGGTGGTGGGCTAATTTCCCAGCTCAACAACCGCCATCCTGTCGTCGTCGCTGCCGCAACTGGCGTGCGCTCGGCACCTGCAGCCACCTGTCCTTCTGCCGCTGAAAACTCTGTCGGCCAGCCTCAGAGTCGAATGGCTGTCGCTGTTGCTCCCGATGCGATGCACGCTGACGTCGATTGGGATGCCTAAATCGCGCAGGACAAACCCAATGTTCAACTGCCTTTCGGAGATCCCTTATCCGGCTTCTAGCCCTCGATAAAGCGGGACCGTGGCTCTAGAAGCTGGCTAGGTACACATCGGCCTTGGTTTTTCCTGGGATCCGTGGGGCCGCGCCGATCGTGGAGAACGGCTGAGGTCATGTTCGCTGTCTCGCGGCAAGCTCCTCCGTGCATTGAGACAAAAGAAAGAAAAAAAAGTCAGTTATCGGGCACGACCTGTCAGGCCTTCTTCCTGCACTAGGTTAGTAATCGCTCTGGTCAGGGTGATGAGTGGGAAGCACTCAGCTTGGACTGCACACTCACTTCTTGTTCAGCCGACCAGCCGTCAGTCACGGCTGCAAGTCCGTTTGTAGGCGAAGCTGCTTCGCCAAACCGAAATAGGACCGTGCAGCACGGCAGAGAAGAGTGTTCCGCGCCGTCAGGACATGCCCACCTTCCCCGATGGATAGCGGCAGACGGAGCTAGCGCAGATGGGAGCAAGAAAGTATGTGTAATAGTGAGGACAGACAGCCAGGCCCGACATGTGAATTGGAATAGCCGAGGGGAACATGGCAGTAGACCTTGTCCACAGCCCATCGATGCGGGCGATGCCAAGCTTGCGAGAATGACGAGCAATGATGGAGGCGAGAGACGAGAGGCGTCGAGGCGTCGAGTGCAGACGGGACGGGAGGCCGGGACGGGAGGCCAGGCAGTGGGGCAGCACAGATGCAGTTCGGCTTGTTGGGCGGGCGCCTCCAGCTGAGTCCTGCTCCAGCTGGGTGCTGCTCCAGCTGAGTTCAGGACAGTGAAGCAGCCCTCAGGCGTCGCCAACACGCTTGCTCGAGAGGGTCTGGCGTGAGCTGCAGGCTGGAGCTCTTGCGGGCAGCGGTGCCTCGGCGGTGGAACCACAGGTACACGGCGCCCAAGGCACCAGGCGCAGAGGCAGCGAGGCAGCAGAGGCAGCAGCAGCGGTGGGTTGGAGAGCGAGACAGGCGTGATGAGGGCGGGCCTTGTGATACTTGGGTGTCTCTGGAGACGGCCTCGTGACGCATGCAGGCGTAGGGGCGGAGGTCGTGGCCGGCCGTGGTACAGAGCAGCTGCCGAACGCGCTACTGCCCCGCCGCCGCTGCCGCCCAGAAACACTCGAAACACCCGAAACACCACCACCATGAGGTCATCCAACACTCGTGCCTCTGGAGTCGCAGGGCAATCTTGACGAAACGCTCGGCTGCACGCTCCAGCCTTCCTGGTTCCCGGGGCGCCGCCGGCGCCGGCACCCGGCCTGGCTCACGACTCGATCACCACCAAGCTCCAAAAGAGAAGGTGGTATGTCTATGGCCGGTCCGGATCCTTCTCCCGCACCGTCGTTCCCCGCAATGGACACGCGGCTCGAAGCGCAATATGGATCCAACCACTCATCTTCCGCGCGCGCTCCTCTGCTATGCTCTCGCTCCATGCGACCCGTTCTTCGTCAGCGAAGCCCTAGTTACTACACGTGCCCCTAGCTCAGCTGGCCGACCACCAGTCAGTCTCCCATGCCAGGGCCGGTACTGGCCTGTGATTTGCTGCTTTCAACAATAAACTTGTCATCAATCCTCTACTCAGCTCATGTGCACCTGCATATACCTCACTCTGCTTTCCTCTTTCGGCCAGGGCCTCATTTCGTTAAAGCCACCGCGACAAATGCTCCTCTTTTGTCCCTTCATCCCATCCTCTGCATCGGACCATGTCCATTTCTTTTCACGGTCCCTTGCATGGCGGGCGTCGGCACACGGCAAGCCACTTCCACCGCCCCGTCCATGACATTGACAGCTGTCAGCCGAACAGGGGCAAGGCACTCGACTTCGCCATCTATGATGCATGGGCGCTCCTAGGCGCCCACCCGCTAGCCTTGCCAGTGCCAGTGTATCAAGGAAGGCCCCTCGTGGCGTTGGTAGTGCAAAGACGAGCCCTGTACCGATTGCCGGGTAGGGAGCCATGTCGTTGCGCGTGGAGTATTCCACGCATATGGAAAGACTTTCATCTATCCACGGGACCCGGCTGCCAGGTACTTCATCTCTCGGCCAGCATCATCCGGACGGATTCCATTGGCTGTTCGTACATAAGGCCAAATGTTAGACCACCACTCACATGTCACGTCAGCCCTACGACTGGCCCCTTCTTGCAAAGCACCGGCACGCTCACCGACCTCGCCGCTTCGCGCCTTTGCACGAAACGGGTATGCTCCGGTAAGCGTTGCACATGGCTTCTGGGCACCGCCTTTTCTTCCGCCGTACAACAGGGATGACCACCTGCCGCGTGGCTGCTCAGCTTGTTCTGGCTTTCCATTCTCCACACGTCGCGGCGGGAGGATGATATAAAGGCGCGCGATCGCTGATCTGCTTCCGCTTCAGCTTGTGGCCTTTACCTTTGACGTTCCCTGACTTCTTTCGCCAAAACTCTTTCGTATACTCGGTCACACTGCTGGCCAGTCGTAGTTGCACTTGCACTACTTGACCGAAGTTCGAACCATTCTTGTCAATATGCTTCGCTACGCCGTGCCAAGTTTGCTGCTTGCCGCCGGCGCCACTGCCCTGCCGGCCCTTCAAGATGACGACAGTCTTGACTACACGAACACCACGGCGGGATTCACCCCGGTCAATGTAACCACCGGCTACATGGACCTTCAAGTGGGGGACAATACCACCTTCGGCACCACCAGCATCAAAGCTGCAGCTGCGTATGACCTTGCCGCTAGTTACACCTCCTCCAACTGGTTCGACAGCTTCACGGTGCAGGCTCTTGGAGTACGTAGACAGCTCCGGCCAAATGAACATCTCTGACTGTTTCCAGACCGCCGATCCAACTGGTGGTTACGTCAACTACCTTTCCCTAGCTGATGCTCAATCCCGAGGCTTGTACCAGATCAAAGGCGATCAGGTCTACATCGGCGTTGACAGCACTACAGTGCTGGACCCCAGTGGATCGGGTCGCCCCAGTGTGAGGATACAATCAAACACTGCCTTCACCCATGGACTCTTCATCCTTGACCTTGCCCACATGCCCGGTAAGCGAAGGTTAACTGTTCTCTTGTTTGTTTCGCATTAACAGGTTCCAGGAAGCATTTGCGGGAGCTGGCCGGCATACTGGATGTATGGTAAGTTGTGCTTGGAAATAGTCTTCTTTGGGGCCCCACGCTGATACAAAGAAGGTCCTGACTGGCCCAACAGCGGCGAGATCGATATGATCGAGGTGAGCCGCCACTGATTCATCGATAATGAGCAAGAACTAACCACGACTAAAGGGAGTGAACAACCAACAAGTGAACCAGATGACGTTGCACACCGCTGCTGGCTGTACCGTCACCGTCGGAGAGGGAGGCCAATCCGGAACATCTGGAAACACCGACTGCAATGCCAATACCGCCTATGATGGTACACCGCTTACCCCCGCGCGATATTTATGCTCAATGCTTCGTTGCTAATGCATCACAGGCTGTGGGGTCACCAGCACCACCGCCAACTCTTACGGCACCCCCTTCAATAACGCCGGAGGTGGTGTGTATGCCACGTTCTGGAACGAGGGCAGCATCCAGATTTGGTACTTCCCGCGCAGCTCTGTCCCTTCCGACATCTCATCCGGCACTCCCAACCCTTCAAACTGGGGCCAGCCGATGACCCACTTCTCCGGCTGCTCCTTTGACAGCTTTATCAAGAATAACAACATTGTAAGTCTATTTGAAAGCACGTTGTGGCATCCGAGTTGCGACCAGAACAAAATACTCACGTTGCACGCAGGTCTTCGATGTCACGTTCTGCGGTCAGTGGGCCGGCAACGTCTGGTCCACAGGCACCTGCGCCTCTCAGACCGGCAATGGCAACTGCATCAACTATGTCGCCAACAACCCGGGAGTCTTCTCCGAGTCGTACTGGCTCATCAACTCGCTCAAGGTCTACACCGTTCCTACCTGAGCAGTTGGTGCAGAGTTACGGCCGTCGCTACGTTCCCACAACATACCCATTTTTATCTGTAAATTTCTCAAGTCGCTGTCCCCGGCCTGTTCATAGCTTTTACGGGGACGATTCATTTCTCATTGTCGCAACCGTCGTTACGGAGAACTGTCTTTCCAACTGCACATACAATTTCACTACATCTTCAAAGTAAATATCTTTGTACCCAACACATACATAAAAGGAGATAGAACATTCTGCAGAAATCGTCATCAGTCTCACTATTGTGCTCATGCTTGCATCGCAGGGGGGGCTTCGCCACGCGATCTGTGACAGGGGACCCCCCAGTCAAACATCAGTGGGCTCAAGGTGTTGCACACGCGACCACTGCCACCAAACCATTCCCAAGTAGCATATGACCGGCGAACTGGTCACGAACGAAGGCACAGCCCTCAGTAGCTCGAGTCTTGGGTGAATATACATTCACATCATCATGAAATGTATGTACATCCCTGATTCCAACATCCACTCTCAAAGAAAGAGAGAAGGGAAAACAAATCCACGCACAAACAAACGACCAAATATACATACAATTGAGAGTGGAGAGCTATGACATCCCTTTTCTTTTCCATCTCCCCCATTCAATCCATCGCAAAGGGGAGAGATGTGCTTTTGCACAAAATGCAGCACCCGCGCCCTGCATCCAAACCTTTCCTCACCCGAAACCTCCCACTGTCTTGGGGGAAAACAAACATCCTTCGTCTTCCACCCACATACATCCACAAATCATACAAAAGAACACCTACCGTACACGATCCCCGCGGAAATATTTGACTCTAGAACGCCAACTCTAGATGCGAGTGATAAATCCCTCGTTCTTTTTTCCCTCTCGTCTCTTTCGGCCACGAGAAAAGGAAAAGAAGAAAAGAGGAGAGGTAGACTATCCCCACTCGAGCGACTCGCTCGAAGGAGAGTGGAGCGGAAAAAAAAAAGCGTCAGTGAAGGAACGATTCCGTGTCGAGATGTTTTCAGTCGTCGTCTTCGTCCTTCTCCTTCCTCCTGTCGTCCTTCTTTTTCAACTCCTCCTTCCACAGCTGATTCGCCTTCTTCTTGTTCACGTCCTTGAACACGATGTCGAAGACCTCCGAGTACCAGCTGACAGGCTTGCCCTGGATGCCCTCTTTGATGTTCTGTTGTCAAGTATAAAAACGTCAGCAATCGAAAGCAGGAGCGAGTGAGGGATCGGGAAAAGTGAAAAAAAAAAATAAGAAACTGACCTCGGGCAATTCCAACCAATCGCTCAAGTTGTCCTCCGGGAAAATAATCATCTTCGCGCCAGCCCTCCTCGCCGCGACCGTCTTCTCCCTCAACCCGCCGATCCTCAGCACCTTGCCCGTCACCGTCAGCTCGCCCGTCATGGCGATGGTCGGGTCGAGCCGGTGGTCGAGCGCCAGGCTGAGCAGGCTCGTGGCCATGGTGATGCCCGCCGAGGGCCCGTCCTTCTGCACCGCGCCCTCGGGGCAGTGCATGTGGATCTTGGCGTGCTCGAAGAAGCGGTTGTCCTGGAAGCGCCGCGCCATGACCGACTTGGCGAACGAGTACGCGATGACCGTCGACTCCTTCATCACCGTCTTGAGGTTGCCCGTCCGCTCGAAGCCCGGCCGCGACGCCCCCGTCAGCGCGTTCTCCAGGATCGACTCGACGTACAGCGCCGCGCCGCCCATCTGCGTCCACGCCAGACCCATGGCCACGCCCGGAGGCGTCGTGTCGTAGAGGCGGTCCGCGGTGAAGATGGGCGGGCCGACGTAGTCCTTGAGGTTGTCGGGCGTGATGCGCACGTGGACGCTGTCCGGAACCTTCAGTGCGACGCGGGGCTGCTCCGTGGTCTCGTTCTCGATGTTCTCCGGCGTGTCCTTGACGTCGGTTTTGTCCTTGCTGGCTTCCTCCTGCGCTTGCTTGCCCTCTTCTGTGAGCGCCTTGTCCTCGGACAACACATCCTCTCCAAGATCCGTGATGATCTTGAGCGCAGACTTTCTGTATACCTTCTCAATCTGCTTCTTCAGGTTGCGTACTCCGCTCTCGCGGCAGTATTTGTTGATGAGTGCAGCAATTGCTTCCTTCTCTAACTGAACGTCCACGTCTTTAAGACCACTCAGTTCCTTGGCAGCCGGTGCGAGGTAGCGTTCCGCGATGGCCATCTTCTCATCAGCAACGTAGCCAGAGAGCTCGATCATTTCCATACGGTCAAGCAGAGGCCGGGGGATCGTATCGGTCATGTTCGCCGTGCAGACGAATAGAACCTTGGAAAGATCGACAGGAACGTCCATGTAATGATCCAAGAAAGAGCTGTTCTGCTCGGGATCGAGCAGCTCAAGCAGCGCCGACGACGGATCGCCCTGGTGACCGCGACCGATCTTGTCTACTTCGTCGATCAACACCAGCGGGTTTTCCGTCTGACACTTCTTGAGCGCTTGAATGATCCGTCCGGGAAGAGCACCGACGTAGGTTCTCCTGTGACCCTTGATCTCTGCGACATCGGTGAGACCGCCGACACTGAACCGGTAGTACTGCCTGTTCAAGGCCCGTGCGATGGACTTGCCGATGCTCGTCTTTCCGACACCGGGCGGGCCAACCATACAGAGAATCTTGCCTTCAACAGTGCCACGCAACTTGCCAACAGCAATGAACTCCAAAATGCGGTCCTTGACATCCTTCAGTCCGTGGTGATCCTCGTCCAAGACCTTCATGGCGTTCTGGATGCCGAAGTTCTCAGCGCTGCGTTGGCCCCAAGGAATTTGAGTAAGCCAATCCAGGTAGTTTCGGGTGACGTTGAATTCGGATGCGGCAGGTTCGAGGTGTGCGAGCTTGTTAATCTCCTCATCAAAGACCTTCTTGACAGCTTCAGGCATGGCCAGCTTGTTTGCCTTCTCCTTGAACTTTTCCACAAGCTTATCCTTACCGTCCGTCTCGAGGCCGAGTTCCCTGCGAATGCCGCGCATCTGCTCCATCAGCCAATATTCTCTCTGCTTCTTGGAAATCTTCTTCTCGACATCCTTCAGTATCTTGTCCTGCAGCTTCGCGTTCATGTACTCCTTCTTCAACACCAACAGAGCCTTGTGTAACCGGTCCTCAATGTTCATTGATGCGAGAGCAGCCTGCAGTTCGTGCGATTCGCCCTGAGCAACTGCTGCAGCAAAATCAGCCAGCTTTGCGGGATCATCGCCGACGTTGCCGGCACCCTGGCTCATGGAGAAGGTCGAGATCTGATCTCGGAAAAGAGAGTTGATCGCTGCGACTTCCTTGAAGGTGTTTACCATCTCGCCAACAAGGGCGCGGATGTTCTCGTTCTTCTTGTCAAAAGGCTCCTCGGTCAGGTTGTCGACATTGACCAGGCTGACCTCGTATTTCTTCAGGAAAGAGGTCGGCTCGTATTGCGCAACTTGCTTGGCCTGGTCCGGTGTGCTCTCCTCGAAGCTGGCCACAACATCACCTTTCTTGTCCTGCGTGGGCGGGTCTTTCGCCGGCTGCTCTCCCTCGGTTTCTTCCACGGGAGTCGTCCCAGCCTTGGCAGCGGTCTCGCCCGCTGCCCGGTTTGGGGGGATCAGAGAAGTCATCTTGATGCGGCGGTGGGGGTACAGGACGGCAGTCATGCTGGGCTCCTCTCCCTGCACGGGGAACGCGCTAGTGATTTGGCAGAAGGTTCCGACCTCGTGCACGTCATCCGCGCTCTCAATCACGTCCTTATCGGCGTCATCGTCCTTCAGCAAAAAAGCGCCGATGTACGGCTGGCCCCTCTGGACCATGTCGTGTATCGCAGCGGCAACCTGCTGGTTCCTGATTGTAATGGCCTTGTAGAAGCCGGGGAAGAGCGGGCGCTTGCCAATTGGGATGGCCATGACCTGCGGGTAGACCTCCGGCACCGAGGGCTTCTGCAAAGAACGCTCCGACTTGCGCTTCTTGCCTCCACCCTCGCCGCTGGACGGCGGAGACTCGCCGCCCTGCCCTCCAGCCCCAGCTGCTGCGCCTTGCTCATTCTTGTTCGAAGGTAACGGGTCCGGAGTCTTGGATTTTGCGTCTGCTCCGGTTTCGGACTCGGCCACCTTCTCCTGATCCTTCTTCTTGTCCTCGTCCTCCTTCTGTTTGGCTTTCTCCTCGGCGGGTGGAGGCGGCGGTTTCTCCTTCCGCCGTGCAGGGGTAGTTGCAAAGTGGCGTGAGGAGGGCGAAGCAATGGGGCGTTGTCGCGAGGGCAGTGGCGTTCCGCGGACTAGCGTGGCATGGTAGGAGCGGGAGGCGGCAGAGAGACCAGGTGATGAGATCCGCATGAGGCTGCTAGGCTGGCGCGAAGCCTGGCGCAGAGCTGCCCGCCATGGTAGATTCTGGCTGTAAAGCATGTCGTGGCGGGCAGGCGGGATGCACGGTGATGGAGGTTAGACGGTCGTGGTGGGAGCGCAGCGATTGCGCAGCGGGGAAACAAAAGAACGAGAAGGCTACGGCAGGAGACGACGCGCGCGCCTCACAGATGGGGATGTAGGGGCGGCGGCGGTGCGGCGATGGAGAGAGAGGGTCGTCTGCTTGCCTCCAGCGTTGATTACCGATGCGATTCTATGACGATCGAGAGCTCCAGCTCCGCCGCGGTTCTGCCGAGCGCGACTCCCGCTCCGATAACTCCGCCGATTCCTCACGGCCTACCGCCCACGTGATGATTACCCAAGACGGACAAGACCTTGTCCAGATCAGTGCTCTGGCACCGTGTGCAGTTGTTCAGGCATGAATGCACGCAAATTGGCAGCAAGGGGGAACATGACCCATAACCATCCTGAGGACATCTGATTTCTCCATGCTACGGTTCCACAATTGAAATTGAGCTATTCGCCTGCGATACATGCTTGTTTTCCCGTGTCGCTTCGTCCATGTACATGCGTCAAATAGCCTTGCGGTTGGTGCTGTTCGAGAGGCCGCGCGAATACTGACCACTCCATGCGCAAGGCCGCTCGGGTGAAAACACCAGCACAAGCCGGCGAGTGCACTGCAACATGGCAGTTTAGCCGGTGAACAGCAGTGTGGGCCTTGGTGGCTTTGGTACCCCCACACTCCCACAGCCGTCAAGGGACATACGAGATGCGCCAAGTCGGACGGGGCAGCCACTCTGACAGCACAAATGCATGCAAGAAATACGAAGTGTGGCCGCCAATCAATGATTAAGGATAAAGAATCGTCCCTCCTACGCCGAGCGACCCCCCCGTGAATCGCGCTGATGCAATGATATTCCTTCAGGGCTTGTCCTTTCTCTCCATGCCGCCACTCAGATCTCACCACCGAAGAAACCGACAACGCTCTTGCCCGCCTTAGCGAGCGGGTTCGCACTCTTCTTCTCAGCTGCCACCTCCTCGTCAACGTGATCGATGTAGAAACGCCTGCCTGCATCGAGGTCAACTTTGGAGAGGTCCTGCCACCAGGGTCCACGGTTGTAGATGCGAGCCCCCAGGTAGAGGACGATAATGACGAGGACGGAGACGTAGTTCGCGAAGAAGTTCTCGGCGCTAGGCGTGCCGCCGAGCGGGGAGACGGCGAGGTAGAACTCGACGATGATGAGGATGATGCACCAGGACAGACCCCACCACGCCGCGTAAGGGAAGGTCCATGACTTCCAGGGCAGGTCGGCGGGGGAGCGTCCTTGGATGGCCCAAGCGCGGCGGAAGCGGATGTGGGAGAAGCAGATGCTGCCCCAGCCGAAAAGCGTGAACAATGACGTCAGATTGGAGAACCAGGTGAAGACCTCCGCGCCAGTTTCGCTGACGTTGATGTACGCGAGAGCGCCGCCAAGGCCAAGTGTGCAGATGAGACCAGCCCATGGGCGGCCTGTCTTGTCCGCTCGGGTGAAAATCTATGCCGTAGGCTTCAGCTTGTGTCACACGCATACATCACATGGCATTTGGTGTAACAAACCTTAGGAGCCATTCCCAGCTGGCCAAGACCCATTGTAGTACGGGAGCCGCCGTATCCGGAAATTGATCCAGTCGAAATGACGGAAAGAAAGATGACAGCGTTCATGATGTGGGCCATAGGTTGTAGGCCAGCGTCGCGGTAGGCAATGACGAAGGGTGAGGCATTGGTGCCGGAGCCACCAAACAGGTCAGGGTTCTCGGGAGAAACCGTGATGGTAATCATCAAGGAACCCATTAGGTAGAAGAGTGCCAGGCGAACCCAGATGGAGCTGACGGCATGCGGGACGGCCTTCTTCGGGTTCTTCATCTCGGACGCGACAAGACCAGAGTTCTCACCACCGGACATTGCGAAAATACAGGTAGGCATAACAGCCAACCAGCCCTTGAAGCCATTTGTGAATGGCTCCGAGTTCCAATACCGGAAACCGACAGCATCGTGGTTGGGCGCGCCGCCAGCAGATATCACTAAGCCAACAATTAATTCTTTCCTTTTTTGTTTGCCGACCTCTTCGACTTGGAGACTTACCAATGAAAGAGATGATGACGACAAAGATCCATCCGAACTTGATGGTCGATGCAACAACCTCGACCTCTCCAAAAAGTGTGACAGCGCCGACGTTGACCGCGACGAGGACGACCCAAAAGATGGTAATCCATCCGGCAATGGGAACCTTCTCAGTCCAGAAGCTCAGAACGGTATTGGCGGCCTGCACAAGACCAGTGGTTAGCGTGAATCTCTCCACCGGGCTTCCTTTCACTTACAGCAAGTTCGTTGGCGATGGTAATCACGTACGAGAACCAGTACGACCAGCCAAGCGCGAAAGCAGCGGACGGGCAGATGAACTTGGAAGTCCACTGCACGTAGGCAGACGGCAGAGGGTACATAATGGCCATCTCCCCAATCGAGTGCGAGACGGACCAGATCATGGATCCAGCGAGAATGTAACCAATGAAAATACCAGCAGGGCCACCGTTGACGAGAGACGTGCCGCTGCCGAGCCATAGGCCCATGCCAATGGACGAGCCAAGCGCGATCATCGTCAAGTGGCGGGTCCCAAGCATGCGGCGGAGCTCGGATTCAGCGCCATGGTCATGGCTGAGCGAATGGACATCGGCCTCGACGATGCTGCCGCGCTTGTCGTCGTCGGGCGTGGTGACCTTCTCCTTGGAGCTCTCCATTGTAGATGGACGAAGAAGTAGGGTGGCAAGGGGGAGAAATAGACAGAGCTGAACCGAGCGGGACGGGTGCAAGGGGAGTGTCTTATATGGGCACACGGCAGGCGACACAGGCATAAGCGATCGATGCTATTATCGGACCATCATGGCCGCGGCGAGGCTGCCGGCGGTGCGTCCCACGTCCAGCGCTGAGACGGGGGAGCAGCCGGGCAGCCGGGCAGCTGGGTTGCAGCGTGCGGCAAGGTTCACTGATAGAGGCGCGTAGCATCGGCCAACGGCCGAGCCGACGCAGCGCGGTGATCAGGTCCATTTCCCGGGGCTTGATTGGACGGGGAGTGCAAACAAGGCCGGGGAAATGCGACGGGTTGGGATGCTGCAATGCTTCGATGCAACTTGGCGACAAGAGATAAGAAGGGTGGGCAGGGTTAAGCTGATACAAGAGATAAAGGATGGGGGGCGGCGCGTCTTGCCATCTCGGCTGAGCCACGCAAGAGGAAGCTTCGGCAGCTTAGAGGCGGCGAGCCAAGGACCAAGGCCTCGGGCTCACCGCTGCAGAAACACCTTCCACATGCGTAACTCTGTACCACCAGATCTCACACAGCTGCAGTCGTTCTTCCAGACGGGCTTCGCTGGGTCCGAGGGGCACGTGACGGGCTCCGCCCCCGCACTGGCGCTGAATCAGGACCGGGGCTGCTGATAGGGGATGTCCGAAACGGGTGTTGAGGAACGCATCTTCTGCGCCTCGCGGGCCCCGTTGCTCGTCCGCCAGTGACACAGGAACGGAAGCGATCGCACCTGCCTTCGCACGGTTGCTTGCAGCAAGGCAGAAGCCGAGACTTTGGAGAAGGATGGAATCCTGGCAGGTTGCATTATTACTTCTGCACAGCGCCAGCCCCGTGTCAGCAAGGCATGCCAGCCGCGGGAATGTTCGCCCGACCTACCTATGTCATGGCCGCGAGGCTGCGATGGTGTCTAATTCCAACCTAATCTCGAATCCCGGGCTCTTCACTGGCTCTTCAGGTACTTCTCGACCGTTTCGACAATGATCTGGTGGTCCCACTCCTGCTTCAGCCCGCTTACGACAATGACGCCGACGATGCCCTCGACGCCCTTGACGCGCACCGGAAAGCCGCCTCCATGGATGGCGAATTGGCCCGCGCGCTCACCCAGCATGTACTTGGCGGCGAATCTTGCCTCATCACCCCCGAGCTTGTTATGCATGTACCACGAGGAAACGCCCCAGCGCAAGACGGTAGCTCGCTTGCGGGCGACCCAGCTGTCGTTGTCGGGCAGAGTGCCGGAGCGAGTGACGGTGTGGAAGAGCAGCTGGTCGCTGTTGGCGAGGGTGATGTTGATGACGGCAGGAGTCGGGAAGTCAAGCAGGCGGAAGCGAAGAGCGTTGCCCAGCTCCCAGGCCGTGTTGGCCGTGAAGGAAGGGAACACGAGCGATTGCTCAACGGCGGCGATCGACTCGACGTCGCGCGGAGGATCGGGGAGGGTTGCGCCGGCGGACGACATGGCGATGGATCGTGGACGGGATCACGCTCGAGTCGATGGATTAAGCGCGTTGAAATAGAATCACGTCGTCGAGCAGGTGCGGTAGATTGAAGGGTTGGCGTTTGTCATCATTGTCATCATGGCGCCCCGCGTGGAAGGTCCAGGCGGGGCAGCAGCAGACCCGCCCCTGCCGAAACCTCTCGACACCAAAAAGCACAGAGCAGTGCTTAGAGGCCAATGCCTGCAGATGAGACGGAGGGCATCGTCAACAATGCTTGCACGGCACTGCAGGCAGCGGGGCTAGCGACTGGCGACCGGCGACCGGCGACTGGCGACTGGCGACTGGTACGCGCCAAACGGTCGGCTTCAGCGGCAGGGCGTGCGCCCCGCGGCGGCAGGACCCTTTATCTAGCGGCCTTGCCCTTCCACCCTTCGCGCCCGTTACGCTAGCGTCGACTCTACTGCTGCCATGCCTCATTCGACCGACTCAGCTACTCCACAATCTGCATGAGGACCACGCTAGGTATTGCTATTGCACTGTTGGCTACTCACCTGTTTTCTCAGCGTCAGCACCTCCGCCGCTTTTGCAGGCGACAGCGCACCTACGAGCCGATGTCATGGCCTCCACCACCAGTGGCTCCATTGAGCGTTTTCCACGACTCAGAGGACAGATCCGGGATGAGGCTGTCCCGCCGTTGCATGTTTTGTTTTTCCCCGGGCGTTTCCATCACGCTGTCGTGTCACCCCGGTGATTTTCAACCACGCGGAACCCCCCAAGCGAGCGCCGCGGCGCAGAGCCGTGCCCGGCGCCTGGGCCGTGTTCCCCGCCCCGAATACAGCTGCCAGCCCTTGTTTGGTCTTTGTTTGGCGTGGGTCCTACTACTAGTATATCTAAGGTGATGGTCTACCCGCCGTTCCTCACCCAGCCCGCAATCTTCCCCACAGTCTTACGCCCGCGGCTCCTCCTGCTTCTGCACGCGACACTACCTGCTCTGCAATCCCGCATTCTCCGAACCATGGCTGCCGCTCAGGTTCGTGGCGTTCATCTGGTCGGCAGCGTCTGCCTCCCTTCTGCCGAGGATGTGTTCCGCAAGAGCGTCGAGCTGCTTCCCGGCAGACTGCGGAGCATCCCTGACGGTGAGACGCAGCACCGTGCAAACTTCACTTTTTGGCAGTGTGGCGTCTTCAAGGCCGCCCCTCAAGTCCTCCGCGAATATGACGCAACCTTCAACACGGTTCCCATGACTTCGGTTCCCTCAGACGAGGAAATCCAGCGTGTCGTGAAGAGTCTTCCCGAGCTTCACACCGGCTACGACCTAGTCGCCATCGAGTCATACGAGCTCTTTTCCAAGCTCCGGAAGGAGGGCGCTATTCCCAAAGGTGTCAAATTCCAGGTTTCTCTCCCCACACCGCCCAATGCTTTGGTCCTCATCGCGGAACCCTACCAACCCGCCATCGAGCCGCTGTACGAAGCTGCTCTTGTGCGCGACCTAAGGAAGATCGAGCAGGCTATCCCGCCCGAGGATCTCCTCATCCAGTGGGACGCTGCTGCGGAATTCGCCATGCTGGAAGGCGCCATTTGGCCCCACTTCAAGCCGTGGTTCTCGCCCGTTCGTGAGCACCTCGAACAACAGCTCGCACGCCTAACGAATGCGGTCAGCCCACAGGTTGAAATGGGCGTCCACCTATGCTATGGCGACTTGGGTCATCGCCACTTTTTTGAGCCCAAGGACGTGGGGCTTCTCGTTGATGTGGCGAACACTCTCATAAAAAACACCCAAAGGCCCATATCCTATTTCCACATGCCCGTTCCCAAGGAAAGAGACGACACTGAATATGTCGCCCCTCTCAAGAATCTTAGGCTAGGTCCAACCGAATTGTACTTGGGAGTCGTCCACGCTGGTGATGAGGAGGGAACGCGCCGCAGAATCGCGACTGCTTCGCAAGTGGTCAAAGAGTTCTCCGTAGCAACTGAGTGCGGTCTGGGAAGGACGCCCCCAGAGGACTTTGCGTCTATCATGTCCATCGCCGCTGCAGTTTCCGCCCCGCTTCCTAGCTTGGATCCAAATGGTTCCCTGAATGGGTCGGCGAATGGTTCCTCGAGGAATTGAAGCCCAGGCCAGGAGTAGGCAAACAGTCAAAAATCTCGGAAGGGCCATTGACGCTATTTTCAGATTAGTTGCGGTAAATATTGACCCACCATCCCATCAAATGACACTGCTTCTTTTCTCTTTACCTTGACGACGGACCATGCGCTACTACAACACTGAATGATGAATGTCTTTAATCTTTGTCCTTGTAGAGATTTTCACGCAAGTCATTGTTGCGTTATCTCAGAGTGGCTGATCAACTCGAAGTTTCTCTGTGGCGTGTCATAATTCATTGGTTTTGCAACCTTCTTACAACCTGTCCTTCAAGAGTCATAGCAACACTGATGCATCCGGTACCCTATGTCCTGGGATTATTTTATGGACCTTGGACCGCAACTATCCGCACTATGCTATTTTTTTCCTTGCGACATCGTTCCTTGGCGACCGTTCCTGCTTCTGCCTGCCTTCGGGCGCCACTGAGGGCCCAGGGGACGACACTGTTGCAGCGGTTCGTAGTTCCTGGGTCATACCAAACTGGGACGTGCGAAAGAGGGCCATTCCGGCCAGTACACACATCCGGTCCGCACAGCGGGGTCTGCACAGGGTCATCTAGCCCTGAATCAAGTAGCGGTACTGGCCCGTTCCCACATTTCAGTCTTTGGTTGCTGCGCACGTCCCCCTTCAACCAGTGGCGCAACCCTTTGGATCAGGTATCAACGACTTAACAGCGGTTACATGGAGAAAATTTCTTCGCAAATCCAGGGTTAGACCGGCAAGCCACCTATTTCGAAATATAAATTGCAGTCTCTTCCTCACCTACCCTTTTTTTTCTTCAGTTCTCTCCTTCACCATCTACCTTCACCATCTACCTTCACCATCTACCTTCACCATCTACCTTCACCATCTACTCTCGCCATCTACCTTCACCATCTACTCTCGCCATCTACCTTCACCATCTACTCTCACCATCTACCTTCACCATCTACTCTCGCAATCTACCTTCACCATCTACCTTCGCCATTTACCTTCGCCATCTATCCTTGTTATCTACTGTTATCATCTGCTTTACCCTCGTCATCTACCCTCGTCATCTACTTTCGTCATCTACCCTCGTCATTTACTTTCGTCATCTACTTTCGTCATATACCCTCGTCATCTACTTTCGTTATCTGCTTTCGTTATCTGCTTTACCCTCGTCATCTACCCTATCATCTACCTTTACTATCTATATTTACCATCTACCTTCGCCATTTACCTTTACCATCTACCTTTACCATCTATCCCTGTTATCTACTCCTTGTTATTTGCTTTACCCTCGTTATCTACCCTATTATCTACCCTATTATCTACTCTTACTATCTACTCTTATCATCTTTCTTTAATCTTCTCTTATAATTTACTGCCATATATGGGTGCCATTTAAGGGTGTACGTGGAGGGAGCCGGACGCGGGCTTGCACCTTCACGTGGTGTCCGGTGTGAGTACCACTCCCGCGAGGAGTTGGGAAACCAAGACAAGCCCTTACATAGAATCAATGAATGCATTGTAACCTTTGTAACAAAACATGCCCTTTGCTTCACGTGATATCTGTGCAGTGACAAAGTGTCCCGATGGCGGTCATCATGTGGAAAAAAAAAAAGGAGCGGAGACGGCATCAGTATTGTTGAGCAGCGATATACTCCACACCTCTCCAACAACAGTCGTGTGTGTCCTACATACTTACAGCATCGCCATCAGGCACATTTAGAAGGAAAAAAAAAAAAGAAAGGGCTCGTCTCCTGCTCTTTCACGCCGCCAACCTCGCCTCGATCGCCCCAAACAGCGTACCGGGAGTCCTGTAAAAGCGCTCCACGCGCAGGCCAGCCTGGGCCAGCAGCTCCTGCCACTGCTTCTCGGTGCGTTCGCCGCCAGTCATGGTCATCATGATCATGTCGATCATGGCGCTCTCGGCGGGCACGTTCTTGGTGGGCAGGATCTGCTCGGCGATGACGACACGCGACGAGTCGGTCATGGCGGCGGCGAGGTGGCGCAGGATAGTGACCGAAGACGGGTCAGCCCAGTCGTGCAGGATGCGGCGGAGGTAGTAAATGCGCGCGCCTGTTTCAGTTGCGTCAGTTGCCACATGGCAGGGCGTTGAAATTAAAGGGGGCGCAGCGAGGGTTTAGCAATCAGTGAAAAGGCGATTTACCTTTGACGGGTTGCGGTGCGAAGAAGTCATGCGCCATGGTCACGACGCCCTCGACGCTCGGCGCGTCCTTGACCACCTCGGCAAGGTCCTGCAGCACAACGCGGCCTTTGACGCCGGCGCACAGCTCTCGGATCGTTTTCGACGTATGGCCGGCGCCGCCGCCTACGTCCACGACGAGTGGCGTGTGGTCGTCGTCGGCCGGCGACGATAGTTCCGCCAATTTCTGGGCGAACGGGTACAGGCCGACGGACCAGACGGCGTCGAATGACTGGGCTTTCATTGCGCGGTTCGAGTTGCTCTGGCGATCGGGGAACTGGGCGAGGTGGGACCACATCTCCTTGCCGCCGGTGCGGTGGGCGAAGGTGTATGGAGTGTTAGTCGGGTCGGTGGGTTGCTGCCAGTGGTTGGCGCTGAAGTACTGGGTCATGAAGGCGAGAGACGGCCAGGCCTCGTCCATGATGTGCCTGAAGGTGGCAATGAGATCCGGGTTGGTGAGCAAGGTAGAGGAAGGCGTCTGGGCATATGTCTCCTCGTCGACTTCGGCCAGGGGCCCGGTAGTGGTGACATTGCGCAGAAGACGGACTTTTGGTAAGTGATTGCTGTTAGTTGTGGGATGATTCCTGGAGTTGGCGCGCCGACTGGCTCACCAAGCAGCGCCCGGTCGACGGGGACTTCCAATCTCTGCATCAAATCATCCGCCGTCATGGGCGTGCCATCTTTGGGGAGTGCATTGAAGACGCCAATCTCCAGCAGGGCCCTGATGGCAGCGGTTTGGCAGCCCTGTGAGGCATGGTCAGTACACACTTGGCGGCACGAAGAAACGCACCAGGCCACATACGGTTTGGACTAGGTCCATGATGCCGCCGATTGGGCCTTGGACTTGGAGCAGCAGCTTCTTGGCCTCCAGGGCAAGAGCATGCTGGGCAGCAGTAGTCTCCGCGGCGGAAGATGGGCTGCCAATGGCGGAGCGAGAAATGTCGGCATACGACTCGGCAGCGGAGCTAACGCGGGCAATGGCGCCTTGAACCGAGGCAGCGCGCGCGGCAACGGATTCTGCAGTGGCGGGAGGAGCTGACATTGTGAGGCGCGGTGCTGGCCACAGGCACAATGCCAGCGGCTGCTGGGTTTAAATGCTCCCTTGCCATGGCAGCTTCGGGGCGGTCGAAGGAGCGGGCGGATTGTGTTGCTGCTGCCTGCCCGCGCAGGGCGAGAGGGCAGTCAGGGCGAGAGATGAATGCGGCATGGTTTACAGCATGACGAGAGCGAGACGGGGGAGAGTGAGAGAGTGAGAGAGCGAGAGAGTCGGGCCGCTAACCAGGGCGGGAACGGGAGTCGGGAACGACGGGCATCCGAACGAACTCGCATGTCCTCTCTCCACTCCGCACCACTTCTGCCCTCGCTTTCTCGCTTTCCCCGCGTCGTCTTCATGCCCGGCTCTCTGCCTGCCCCCGCCGTTGCCGTGTGTCAGGCACAACTGCGAAGGATGCTGGCCGCATGACCCTGGATTCTCCATTTATGAGCGTGCGCCCGAGCGACGACTATTCTGCAGCTGCCTTCGATCTGTACTCACCCCCCGGCTTCAGTCTTACCTGCCGCTGCAGTTGTACCTGCCGCTGACCCCGCCGAGTCCCGTCCAATCGCTGCTGCCTCCGCCCGCCGCTTCCGCCCGCCGCAAACCATTCCGCTTCGGGCGCATAGTAACCGGCCAGTAACCAGCCATGGTGCCGCCTGCCGCCGCCGACTCGCGCTCTGCCCTGCCGTCTCCGTCGGCTTCCATCGACCAGCATCAACACCAACACCAACACCACCAGCCCGAATCGCGAAACAGAAAACGCCCGCATCCACCCACCGACTACCACCCGCCCAGCCCCAGCCAGACCCCGGCAACTGTGAAGGAATACCCCGACGCCGACGCCGACGCCGACGCCGACGCCGACGAAACCGCCGCGGCTGAGCGCACGGCCAAAGCCCATCTGGCCGCTCTGCTGCGCGGTTATTGCACCTACGCCAGCGCCCACCAGTGGCGCACCTGGAGCGAGATTTTCGCCGAGGATGCCGTCCTGACTTTCGAGTACTTCGGCCAGCTGCGTGGCCGCAGAGAAATCTTCTGCGGCGTCGCTGGCATGTCCCATTTCTGGTACGACTCTACCTTCTTCTCCGACGTCCATCTGGACCTCGATCCCCGCCGACCCGACCAACGCGCCACGGGCACTGCCAATCTGTGGTATCGACGGCCAAAGATGTCCCCAAACGCGCCCGAAACCCCGCTGAGCCCCGTGCCCGTGGAAGATGACCAGGACGAAGACACCACCGCCGATTGCGACTACTGCGGGCCCTATGAGTTTGAGTTCGTCAAGGCCGGCCGAGAGTGGAAGATCAAGACCATGTCATTGAAAGTCCTGAGCGATCACAGGGAAGATGTGGACAGGTTCTGCACGAGGTGTGACTGCATTCCATTGTCGACATGCGGCACGCCATGTCATATTTGACACGAGCATCGCGATGCCGCTGCCGTGTTTTCAAGAGACGACCTTATTTGGCTTTGCACCGAGACAATGCGATCGGAGGTGGCCTAAAAGTGACTTTTCCTAAGGATACCCTGAAGCTTGAATTACTGTTTCTTTGGTTGCTATTGTTACAAGTTGACTGTGGCACTTCGGTCCCCGGTTTCTTTTTTTCTCTTTTTTTTCTCTTTTACCGCGACTTTAAACATCATGTGCTTTTAACCATCACGCGCGAGTCCTCATACTGAAACACCATGCTTCTGCGCCCACTCGCCCGGCAGGTTCTTGTAATCCTCGGGGCCGTAAGGCTCGGTGATTTCCGCAAATCTGCTCCTCTTCCTGTGACCGTCCAGACCGACGTCACGCAAGAGCATGTCTATGTACGGTACAGTATCGAAGACGAAGTCGGGTAACCTTGCGCCGTAGCCCAGAGGGTACCTCCACTTGCCAAATTGGGAGTGCAGCATGGTTTCCCAGCTTGCCTTCTTCTCCGAGGGCTGGCGATCCAGCTTCCCATCAAAGTACGCCGAGATCCACAGAGCATGCGCCTGCGAGGTGACTGAAGTGGAGATGGTCATGACCATGCCAGCAAAGGCGGTGTTCCTTTTTTGGAGCGTCGAGAGTGGAGCGATGAAGCGATACAGGCGGAACGGCTGGTTCGGCTTCTCGCCCTCTCTTTCGCTCCGCTCAGATTTGCTGATGTTTGGCTGGTCCTTCAGACGCGGGAACCTCTGTAGGATGGCGGCATCCGCTTTCTGGGCCATATCGTCCGGGCCCGGGGAGTAATGCGGCAGACCAAGCTCGGCAGCAGATCCGGGAAGCAGGAAGTTGATCGGCGGTCGGGGCTTCCAGCCCGTTGCACAAAGGAGAGCGTCAGCCTTGAGTTCCTCCCCATTGGACAGATGGATTGTCTGGTGAGACAAGCGCGTCACATCTGCCAGATGCACGCGGATTGTGCCGTCGCGGACGAATTCGAAGAAGTCAGTCGGAAAGTTCAGGATGCTGAGGCCGCTGCCGATCCAGAAAGCATCGTGCCATGGCTTCAGCTTCCTGACCTCAGCGTGTTTGTCAAAGCCGACGAGCGTGATGACATCGTTTCCGAGAATGCCCCAGAAGGTGTCGACAATCTTGCGGCCAAACCAGGTGCCGTGCAGGAAGCCTCTGACGCCGCCGTAGCCATCCTCGTCACCCCAGACGCAAGGGCTGAACCAGGTCAGGAAACGAGTGTGGACGAGCTTCTCGAGCCACTTCTTCAGCGGCGTCACGTACGGAGGCGCCATCCAGACGGGCCCGCGGCCGCTGCTGCGGATGATCATGTCCACGGAAACGCCAGCCGCAGCGTATGCATAGGCTGCATCCCATGCAGACTTGGCACCTCCCAACACGGCCACGCTGCGAGCAGTCTTCAGCGTGTCAGCCTGGTCTGCGAAGTCCCTCGCGTGGAAGACTAGGCTTTTGAAGTCCTCCTGGCCAACGAATGTCGGGATGTTCGGCTCAGAAGTCATGCCCGTAGCGACAACCAGCTTCCTTGTCTTCAACGCCGCCTTCTCGCCCGTGGAAACGTCTACCACGTTCAGGACCCAGTCGTCACCCGAATCGCTGCTGCTGCTGCTGCTGCCCTCTTGGGCAGATTCGACTCGTGTGTTGAAGCGGATGCGCTTATAGACGTCAAAGTGCTCGGCGTAGGCGACCAGGTATCTGTGAAGGACTGTACCCGGGATGTGCTCGCCTGGCTTGACGCCGAAGGTGGCCGTGTCCATGGGGAAGTCGCTGTACTCGAAGGTGCCGAGCATATTGTTGGACTTCAGCCCCGGGTACAGCCGCTCGTGGCACCAGACGCCCCCAACGCTGGACGCGCTATCCACGAGGAGAACGTTCTCATCCGGGTGCAGCTCGATGTACGTCTTGGCCGCGGCCAGACCGTACCAGCCTGGAGGGGAATGTCAGCGAACAGAGGTACGCAGCTTGCTGAGCATGAGAACGATTCATGTCGCGATCTCGACGGAACAAGCTTTGCGCTGAGATCGAGAAGTTGTCGATGCATCCCTGCTGGGCCGAGAAGGGTCCAGTGGGGCGCTAAACAGCGGCGGGACTTACCAGCTCCAATGACGATCAGATCGTGCTCTTCCATGGTTTTTTCTTGCTTCTCCGAGGATCGGTGCAGAGGGCAATTGACAGGACACGGAGCTTTATTTCTTTCCTGAAGAGAAGAGAAGCGAAGAGAAGAGAGAAAAGGGTGGGATGTCAGCGGCATCACGGCACCACCCAGGTTTAGGGCCCGTGTTCCAGCCGGATGCAGCCGTCAGCTTGGGGGCCAATTTCCTGATTGGGACAAGATTAGCCGTTGCGGCACCGCGAATCCAGGGTCTCGCGGTCCAGCGGCACGCTTCCCCGTCCATTGCCTCCATCTTCTTGGCTAGAGCATGTTCTTTGTCGAGCAAACCGAATAGCCCTTGCAGCGCATCCGACGCCCGATGGCTATCGGACAGCTCTGCACACGTCTTTGTCCACCCACGAACGCCTATCTCTGCATTTGATCCATCTCCACGATCGGCCATAACGCGGTCGAGCTATACGGCGCGAAGGAGTGCCATAGTACGCGTCTATGTGTAAGCGAGGGCCTGGGAGCCCGCCACCACGGCGCCTTAATCGGATCTACGCCCCGCCTTCCACGATTCCCGAGCCGCCATCTCCACGGACCAGAAAGCTGCTCCAACTCCAGGAAACGCCGCAGCAAGCCTCAGAACCTCCTGCAATCCCGAAAGGTACTTGCCGTGAAGAATGGTCGGGGGCGTTCTGCCGATCGCCCGCTGACAGTCTCGGCTTTCATGCACTTGAGCCTCTTTGCAGATCAATACTCGGGGCTCTCTTCTTCACCATTGCTTTTTCTTAAGAGCAGTGGAGAACTATCGACTCTGGAATGCTCCTCCCCTGTCTCCACCTCGCTTGTTTACAGTGGCGGCCGTTATCTGTCACCCCTTTTCCACCAAGTCCGCGGTCGGTTGGTCTAGAGTGCAAGGGGAGTCATGTCCGCAATAAGCTGAAGCCGCCATGTGTTGCTTAGTGCGAAGCCGCAAATCCTTACCACTCTGTACAGAGCCTCGCCACGTGGAAGGGCCCTTCAATCGAGTAGCGCCGCCTTCGCGGGGGCATTTCGAACCCTAATCACCCTCGGTCTCAAGACAGCGGCGAGAACAAGTGGTGCTCGGTCCTGGGGATAGACAACGGAAGGGCCCGGTAGAGGTGGCGACAGCCCTGTGCATCACAGACCTTTCGGATGTAGCTATAATGGCTGGTCCCTTCTGTCCGGCGTGTTGCAAAAACAAAAAGAATTCTTCCTTTTGTCTCCCATTTGATGTCATCTCGTCACCGTTGCAGAATCTCGCACCGCTCTGCCGCGGAATTGGCTCATCCTTGACAGCAGTGTACGACAGACAACAGCAGATAGCCGCAAGGAGACGACGATGGCAAGCTCTTTCACAACCGAGGCTTTCTCGCTGCTTGGTGTTGGGATCGTAGTCATTGCGCTGAGAGTCATTGCGCGCACCACATCGGTGGGCGTGAGGAACCTTCAGTTCGATGACTACCTCATGTGCGGTGCCGCTGTAAGTTTCTTCCCCCTATTCCCCATGGACGGCAATCCCCTCTTCCGCTCTATTGCTTTTATGAAAGTCATTGGGCTAAGCTCTGGGTCTATATCCAGGTCGTATATTCCCTCGAAACCGCAACGGCCTACACCGTTGGCGCCTGGTGGTTTGGCATGGCGAACAACGGCATGACGGATGAGCAACGCCGAACATTGGATCCAAACTCGCACGAGTATCACCTGCGCGTCGGCGGCTCCAAGACGCAGCTGGTCGGCTGGAGCCTGTACACGCTGTTGCTATGGGTACTGAAGCTGTGCATGTGCCATTTCTACTCGCGGTTGACGTAAGTCATGGTCCCTACCATCATCTCTGGTAATTTCATTGCTGACTGGCAGCCTCACGCACACAGATTGGGCATCCACCACCTGGAGGTACGCGTGAAGATCGGCTACGTCCTTATAGCCGTCACCTACCTTGCGACCGAGATGTCCGTCTTACTGGGCTGCCGGCCGTTCAGCGCCAATTGGCAGATTTATCCTGATCCTGGCAGTACGTTACTTCACGCCGCAAGCCTTGATCGAACGCAATACCTTGCATCTTTTACTGAAACCGTCTCCTTTTCGTACTCTTTCCAGATCACTGCCAGCCCGCCGTCTCGAAAATCGACCTCTACGTTACTGTCATTCTCAACGTCGTAACGGACGCATACCTAATGTCCATCCCGATGCCCATGCTCTGGAAAGCGAACCTGGAGATCAAACGGAAGCTATCGCTGATCATGGTCTTTGGCGGCGGCATCTTCGTCATGATGGCCGGCATCCTGCGGTGCGCGTTAATCATCAAGGTCAGTAACTTTTTTTCACTCTTCTCCTTCCTTTCGACCCCCTCCCCTCTCCCCCCACCCAAAAAAAAACCACCCTACCAACACAGTACCAACCAGGACCCCATCAACGGCGCCCAAGCCGCGGGCAGCTGGGCCTGCCGCGAGACCTTCGTCGCCGTCGTCATCGGCAACGTCCCCATGATCTACCCGCTCTTCCGCCGCGGCGTCGAGAAGGTGTACTCGTACTCGTCGTCCGGCCTGTCGCGCTACGGCGCCGCCTCGTCGCATCGCAACACGGACCACTCGGTCCCGCTGAGGAGCAGCCTGTCGAAGCCGGCGAGGCGGGGCAAGCTGCGCAGCGTCAACGCGCTGCCGACGACGTACCATGACAACGATGTTGAGGGGGGAGGAGGAGGTGTGATGGGCGATGGGTGGGATAGTAAGGAGAGGATGTTTGCGACTGTTGTCGAGGTTGGTGGTGGTGGTGGTGGTGGTGGTGGTGAGGCGGCGTCGGCTTCGAGCTCGGTGACGGATGCCGTTGTCAAGACGTCTACTACCACCACCATCACTACCACTAACGTTGTGGAAGTGGAAGAGGAAGAAGATGTGTATGAGGATGAACGAGAGCGGGTCGACGATGTCGAGCGCGCCGCCGCCGCCAGTCGGTTGCTGAAGAGCGTGAAGGGCAGCGCTGCCGGCAGGAGGAGGAGCGACAGCGAGACGTTGGGCGGGATCAAGGTCACCAAAGAGGCGACGGTGAGTTCGGAGGAGCGGGTCGATTACGATGGTGGTAGAGGAGGAGGAGGAGGAGGAGTAGGGAGAAGACTGTCTTATACTCCCGATGGCGTCGGACTTGCCGCCATGCACCAAGGCATCGCCAGGTCGCCGAGCCCGCCGCACGCCGGTCGAATCAGCTTCTCTCACAACAGCCGCGTGGATGCCAATTTTGGGGCCATGGAAATGACTGTGACGAGCGTGAGCATGTTCGAGAGGGAGGAGAGGAGCACCGAGTACACGGCACATGTTGGGAGGGGTTGATGAGAGAGGGTCAAGGTCTTCTGTTTGCTTTTCATTTGTGTATATGATATACTGGCTTGGGTGGCGGGAAGATACCCCTAAAAGTTCGAGCGCTGGGGTGGGGTGGGGTTGGGGTGGGATGGGGTGTGACGATACAATTCGGAATCAAGTGGTGCCTGAACTTGCATGTGCGCCGGTGTCGTGAGGGAATTAAGCTCAACGTATTCCTTCTTTCTATCCATCGCATTCCATACCGAACATCTACTTCAGCTACTTGTGAAGAGAGGCTGTTTGAACCTACATCTACGTCGGCGTACTTGCTTCGACTGCCCACAAATAACATGGCTGTAAATCGATTTCTTTCGTCACCCCACTGAGTTAATGGAGAGTTAAAATAACCAGAGTGCAAATCTTGACGTCACCAATGGTGGGAAAGGAAACGTGTCCTGTATACCAGTTTATTTAAATTCCACTGAAGGGAAAGAATCAAATGTGTGTGGGTCACACACGCATCATGGTGGTGGTGGTAGACCTGCTAGCTATATAATCAAGGTAAACATATATGTCCCAGCGCTTCGCTGTTCGTTCTACGAGATAAAAGACGAAGCGCAGCCCGACGGTAATGCCGTGAGGAAAGGTCCGTCGACCGGTTGGAGAAGACGAAGTGAATACTTTCCGGGTGGCGGGCATGCGAAGAAAGAGATGAAGAGTGGTCGTGAACCATCAAAATGCGGGCCCAGCTCAGCTATCGGCATGCAAACAAAAGAAAGGAAGAACCCCGTCGCTATGACCGTCATAAAGGACGCGAGAAGAAGATGTTGAACCGAAGGAGTCAGTGAGGGAGAGAGCAAAAACAAAACAAAAAAAAAGGCAGTAAACCAACAGTGAAGACCAACAAAGGTTTTCCAGTGAGTGACGCCTTCTTACCAACGCGCCATCATCCAGAACGCTCCCAAACACCGTATCCAATGTTACCGTATCCTGAGCCCCAACGAAAATGGCTAACCAATAGAATGAAAGTTCGCGTCGCGTACCGGCCGGTTTGTTCATCAACACGTGTGCGCCAATGCTTGCGCATCCCGGCACGTTTACATCACCGTGCAACCACCCGGACCGCTGCGGGCCCTTCTCCTCCTACCGATTCCCATGCCCGCTCCACCTCCTTCCTCGTCCTCGTGTAGCGCCTGTGCCTCACGCGCTCTCCTTCTGCGTCGCCTCCCACCAGCGCCGTTAGCCCCAGCCTCCTCGTTCATCATCATCCAGTCCGCCCACTTGCGTTCGAGTCTCGCAGCCGCCTGGAAATCACCCCGCAGAACGCGTTTCGTATGCTCTTCCACTGTGGGTTGCCAGTTGTAGAAGCATTTGATCTGGATGATCTCGCTCGGGTAGGTGGGCCCAGAAGACGTGGCGCCACGTGCGGGCGTCGTGATCTCGGCGTTGCGGCTGAGCACTTCGCGCACGCCCGTCCACGTCACGTTGGCGCAGTCGTAGGCGACAAGGCGCAGACCAACAGTCGGGCGCTCTGAGCCAGTCAGCGGCCGCGCTGCCTTGTTCCGTGTCCGGATCATTGCGGCAGCCTCGATAAGAACGAGGTCGGACACGCGCGTGTTGTCCATGTCCAAGCTCTGGAGTTTGGTGCATGACTTGAGTACTGGTAGCATGCCTGCATCGCCGAGAAGCTCACAGTAACTGATGCTCAGGTGAGCGAGATGGGCGTGGCATGGCGAAGAAGCGAGGACCTGCAGGGTCGGGTTTGTGAGCTCGTCGAGTTCCTCGAGATCAAGGTGTGTGAGTTTAGGGAAGGTTGGCAAAATAGTTTGCAGCACATTGTCGCCGATGCTTGAACATTTGGAGAGCTGGAGGCCTTCAAGGTCGGGAAGATTGAACGCGAGCTTTTCGATACCCGTGTCTGTAAGTCCGCGGCATCTGGTAAGATCCAGGTGCTTCAGCTTCCGAGGCGGGACGGTTACTCGGCCGGTCAGAAGGTCTACTTCGCTGTCGATGCCCTCAACGAGTGCGCTCAGGGAGTCGTCGTTGACGCTATCGCAGTTGGTGAGGATCAACCGCTCCAACGTGTTTCGCTTGAACAGCTCGTGCATGAAATCGACGTCGTCGAAACCACGAACTTCGCCAGCGCGGAGGTCGCGTAAGTTTGGGCAACCCTCTACAACCTTGCGGATGCCGCGAGTGTCGATGTTGTTGCACCACGATATGTTAAGGTGTTCGACCTTCGGACAGTGCTCTGCGAGGGTTCTCATGGCCGAGTTGGTCGCGGCCGCCAGTCCAGAGAGGTTGACGTGGACCAGGCGGTTGTTCTGCAGCAGGAAGCAATGGATCGAACTCCGGTCGATGCGGCAGCCCTCGAGCGAAAAGTTTTCCAGATTCCGGCAAGCATCAGCAAGACCCTTGACGTTCCATTGATCACGCAGCTGGACACAGCCGCGAAGGTTCAGGTCTCGCACAAAAGGGCCAGCGGAAGTGATGATGTTGACCAGAGCATCGGCCGGGATATCCCGGTAGAATTCCGATACGTCGAGACGGGCCCATAGCTGGCCATCAAAGCACATCTTGTGCCATTGCTTAGAGACAGAAGAGGAGCGGACGATTTCCTTGGGCTTCAAGTAGCTGAGGATTTCAGTGCGAAGCTCCTGGGGCATGTCGCCCCAGAAGCTGAAGTTGGGACGGCGCTGGGGCTTCTTGAGCTGCTGCACCGGGCGTGAGAAATAGTCTTCATCGACGCCGGGGAGCGGCGTTCCCAGCCGAGAGCCTGACTTGAGGTCTGCGGGCAATGGGACCGAGGCGGGGGTGCTCTGGCCATCCAGACGCCTGATGCGGGCTTTGTCCAAATACTGTGCGTCGGGGGCGGGAGTGCTGGAGACGGAGGTGGGGGCGGTAGAGTAGCCGTTGGAGAGCTCGGAGGACCACGAGCTGCCATAGGAATGGCTATACGGCGAGCCAGCCGACGACAGCGAGACGCATGACATGGAGGCCTTGCCGCCTCGGTATCCCGACGAGGTCCTGCCCATCTTGGCCAGTGAAGGCGACGAGCCTATGCGCTGCAGCCCAAAGAGCAGGCGCTGGCGGCCCTTGAGCTTGGGACGCTCAATGGTGATGGCGTCGGTCGGAGGGCGGACGAGGGCGGCGGCGGTGGGGGCGCCCGTCGTGCGAACGACGGCATCAATCGAGTCGGGGTGGGCCATTGTGAGTCGGGCAGGGGAGCTGGGGCTGTGATGGTCGGAATGGCCGGGGTAGGGCGGGCAGGGCGGGCAGGACGGTGGCGGAAGCCAGCCGCTGATGAGCTGGAAAGCGAAGGTATGGGGTGGGATGCTGAAGAGATTCGGGGAGCGGGCCTGCGCGGAGGAAGAAGAGGGGGCTACGGGCTCATGAGGGCGAAAAAGACGTGGTAGCGCGATGGATGGTCGGGTTGCCGGCGCGGGCTTCGGGGCTGGCGTGGATCAGCGGAGCGGGGTGTCGGCTGAACCCAGGTCAGCCTTAGGGCTGGGAGAAGCTCAACGGGGCGGCAACAGGCAGCATCCAAAGGCCGACGGTTCCTGGCACCATGCGGAGCAGCGCAGAACAGAGAGCTTGGTGGCGGCGCAGGCAGGAGCAGAGCGGAGCTGTATGTAGGCGCTGGACAAGGTCGAGGGCGCGTCTTATCGCGCAATCGATTGCAGGCGCGCTGGCCGTCGACGGCCACGTGCGGGCCTATCAGCGCAGCGGCCCCGGCACGCGATCATCCTCCAAGGTCACTCGCAAACACGGCCAGACGGCCGTTTCACTCGCCCAGCCCAACGAATTGCCGCCCGCCTCATAATCGCCGCCATTGCGCTGAACAGCCGCCGTTGCGCCGGCACCGCTTCCACCAGTTCCACCAGCACTGCCCCGCTGCAGAAAAATCCCGCCGCCTCTCGCTGCGCTAGAAGCCTTCTGGAAGTCTGACTGGCTGCCTCCAGCCGCGTCCAGCCCGGGTGCCTCTGCGCCGGAAGAAGACCCTGCATATCCCCCTATACCTGCCGTCCATGCTGTGCCTCCATCTCTGTTCCTGCTGCTGCAGCGTCGCCGCATCGCCGCGCCCGCCTCCCCGGTGCCGTCCTCGGTGCCGTCCCCCGGTCTTGTCCGGCCCAGCCCTGGCGGCAATCCTCTGCTTGATAGCGAACGAGTCAGCTGGTTGCACTGCCCTAGCCCGCTTATCGTGTGGAGACGGATGCCTTAGCCGCATTCTGCGACATCATCTGCCCTATCGCGTCAAATGCTATCTTCTCGCCCCCGTGTGACGTCCGAGCGTGGAGCTGGACCCTTGATCTTGCCGCCGTCCATGTCAAGCGGCGTGCGGCCATGCCGTGTGACACGGCTGCCAGGGCCCTTCTTTGGCCGGTAGTATTCCCCGCTACTCTGGTTCGAAGGGTGGGAACTAATGGGTACGATTGACAATTCTCCACTTCCAAGTGCAGTTAAGCGTTCCAACATGGCTGCTTGAATCCCTTGTGCTCTCAGCGGCCCCGAATCTCGTGCGGCACCCAAGGGTATCTCCAACACGCTCGCTGGCTCATTCCCTGCAATTTTCCTCAATGTCCACTCTCGCCCAAGCTGGTGTCTACTTCCGACCCTCGACCATCAGGATGTGGTATCCCTCGCTGGTCTTGACCTCGCCGTACTTGGGATTGCCCGTAGTGCTGGGCTCGAGCTCGTAAGCGACCTTCTCGAAATCGGCCATGAGGCTTCCTCGCGTCTTCCAGCCGAGGGAGCCGCCTGTTACAATCTTGTCAGCAGCCTGGTCCTAGACGAGAGTTACGTCGGTCCCTCACCTTGCCTCGCCTTGTCTTCGGAGAACTCGCGGGCGACTTCGTCGAACTTGGCACCATCGCGCAGCTTGGCGAGCGCCTCCTCCTTCTTGGAGTGCTTTTCGCAGAGGATGTGGCGGACGTTGATGCTGGTGGCGGGCTTGAGCTTTCCGGAGCCTTTGTCGGCCTTGTCGCCGGAGTCCTTGCCGCCGGTTTTGCCTTTGCCCTTGGGCGCCATTGCGATGCTTGTGGACGGTGGTGAGGTGGAGGTGGGGGGAAAATTGGATGGCGGGGCAGCCGGAGCGCCGACTTTGTTGGTGCGGGGAGCTCGATGGAGCTTGTGCGACTGCGTCACCTCTGACACAACACGCACCTTTTGCACTATGCTTGCATCCACCCATGGCTCACGCTCGCCGGCAAAGCTGCTGCACCGATTTGCGATACTAGCGATACGCTAACCAGAGTGCCAGCCTTCAGCATGGCGGCCTGGGTTGGGCCCGGCCCGCTGGCTGCTGCGCGCATCCCAGCTCTGCCGAACTCCATGTTCTACATTCCAAACTACATCACCCCTTATGAGGAAGAGCAGATTCTCACCAAAGTATACGACTTTCAATGCATTCAAGCTGTTCCGACTGACACACCTACAGCTCCCGCCCAACCGCTGGACTGTCCTCGCACATCGCCGCCTCCAAGCCCACCCTTCCACTCTGACCGCCAACAACACTCTGCTCGCCGCGCCTCTACCGCCCTATCTGACCACCTCGCCTGCACCCATCGTCGAGCATTTCGAAAAGCTCGGCATATTCCGAGACACCCCACACGGCGCACCCAATCACTGCCTAGTCAATGAATACAGAAGAGGCGAGGGTATCATGCCACATGAAGACGGAGACGCGTATGCGCCCGTCGTCGCCACGGTTAGCCTGGGCGGTACAGTGGTCCTAGAAGTGACACCAAAACCGGGTTGGCCGGAAGGAGAAGGAAAGGACAAAGCAGATGAGCCATCTGCGGAGAAGAGCGGAGGTCCGACCCAATGGCGTATCATTTGCGAACCTCGCTCCTTGTTAATCACTACCCAATCCGCCTACACCACCACACTCCACGGCATCCCGTCTGTAGATGTCGATACCAATCTTGGACCAGAGACGGTAGCCAACTGGTCGCTGCTTGGCAATCCCCAGCCATATACGGATGCGGGCGGCAAGAATGAGCGGGGAACACGGGTCAGCTTAACGTATCGTGATGTTCTGAAGGTATCCAAAGCCGGCGGATTAGGAAAAATGCTGGGTGGCAGTAGAAGATGATGAAGCCTACTCTGACAAGAGGGTAGATGGAGGGGCCACCGCATCTGATGGCCCAACTCTAGTTCAAACAGATCAAGACATCAATTGAAATCTCGGCTCCCCCTCATGCAGCACTTCTCGAAACACCCCTCGCCACTTTTCTTTTAATTCCAGGAGTGCAGATGTCCTGTGGCAAGCAGAGGAGCGCAACTTGTCTGCCAGTATTCTGGGTCAGTCCGGGGCTTCACGTACCGATGGTCTGATACACGCGAAAATGTTCCCTGTAAACCCCGGTTTTGAGGGGGTGTTTATTCCTAAACAGGCAATGTGATGTGCAAGATCTCCCTGGTTACATGGCCGCCCCCGGAGCACTAGTAGGGAGTCTGATTGGCTGCGGCTTGTTGGCGAAATCTACTCAACCTCACCTGCCAGAACTATCCGCCAGCACTTTGTTTCGGAGGAGAAGAATGCAGCCCGGAAGGGAGCATCCCGTGACGTATTCCCCTTCCAAGTGAGGTGCTATACGCTTCAGCAAGACGATAATCGGTATCAATAATCCATCTCTTAGTGCCGTCCATCTCAACCACTCAAAATTAAATCGCCTTGTATTCGCACCATCCTTGACGCCAGTCTCAAAGCCTGTCCCTACTCCACCTGAAATCGACCCGTCGCAAATATGACAATCCAAACTCCGCCTTTTGGCCCGGTAATCCGAAAATTTGTACTCCCATCCACCCTTCCCGAACCATCCAAGTCTACCGCTCTGCACTCCTGTCGTCAGGCCCGGTGACCTGGTCTTGCAGCTGCTGTAGCTCAGCGAGACTCTCTTCCAGCTGCTTCTCTAGCTGCGCGATTTTTCTTTCGTTGGCTGCCTGGATATCCTTCAACAGCCTGACTTGCTCGTCCTTCTCCTTGATCATGCTTTTGTAGATCTTGAGTTGCTGGTCGTATTTCTCGCAGAGGTTGAGGGTGCGTTGCTTGGTGTCTTCGACGTCGGATTGGTCCTGGGGGATGGGGTTGTCGACGTCCATGTTGGTGTGGTTTTTCCCTTTTCTTCCGTACGCGGATCTGCAGGCGAGATGGAAAGGAAATCTGCTCGTATGCAGACGGCCGGTCGGATGGACCGTCGAGGCTGTTTTAAGGCGGCGAAGATGATGCGCTGATTGGGATCAGGGGGATGCGCCTTTTATCTCCCCTGACGATTTTCCCGCATGGTTGAGTTGATGCTTGGTGCCCGTTTGTGCTCAACCTGCTACCGTGTTTTTCCTTTGCACTTCCAAGATACTTTGCGCACTGGCGCATCACTCCCGGCTTCTCCACGCACTCTTCAGCCGCAGCATTCGTATCAATTTGATGGGGGGGTTTGTTCGAGTCACGCATGTCTCCCCGGGCGGCGGCATTCCGGAAGCTAATTGCAGTAGTGTTTCCCCATCACGACATCATCCCAAACAGGTAGGTGATGCAGCAAGCCCCCTGATCCCTTTTTAATTACAGCAACGAAGGAAGAAAAAGCAACTTATCGATGGCGATCAGAAGGAAGTGCCAAGCAATCGGTGCATGAGCAGATATCGTGTATGTCAATCATGACGTTGTGGTATCTCTGCCCAAAGGTTCGAGAGATGACATCTTGAAGACTCGTCGTACGAACAGAGTAGCTTATCGGGTGCGGCTCAACTAGAAACAATCGTGTCTTGGGGAAACGGGCTGTTGGAGAGAATAGAATATCGTTTGCACCACGACCCCCGAACAGACCGCAGGTCAGGCACACCACCTCACAAAAGCACCCACAGATGAACCCAAACAAGAACAAGAAATACAATCATTAATGACCATTATTAGCAAAAGCAAAAGCTTGGCAACAACCCAAACGCCCCCCTCCCCAGTCCATGGCAAGCCCGACCAAAGCCAGCGCCCGCCCGCCTAGCTACATCAGGGATATCAATCTAGCAATCCTCACTTATGCTCCCCTCCCCTCCACTCCCTCACTTCTTCCCCCCACCAAGCCACCCCCCAAAATACCCACCACCACCACCACCACCCGCCTTCCCCGCCGCATCATCCCCGCCGCCCTGTCCCACACTCCCCACCACGCTCTTCGCGCCCTCCGCCACCGACCCCACGCTCTTATCCAACGCCTGCTGCGACACCGGGACGTCCCCAGCGGGCGTGGTGGTCGTCGCAGCCGGAGCGTCGACGGCAGTAGGGACGTAACCGCCCTGGTCGTCCTTGCCGCCGCGCTCGGCGCGGTTGACGGCCTCCTTGCTGACGAGGTCGCCGACGGGCTGCGCGAGGCCGCCCTGGCCGAGCTGGCCGGCCGCGGCGCCCGACGCGTCGTCCTGCAGCTGGTCGACGCGGGAGTCGCCGGTGATTTTGGTTTTGGAGAGTTGGTCTGGTTTTTTTTTTTTTTGGAAGTTAATGCCGGGTGAGCTTTGTTGTTGTGGCTGAGATTTTGGGGGAGAAAAAAAAAAGAGAAGGAAAGACAAACCCTTGGTGGTGTAGCTGGCCTTGTTGTCCTTGGTGAAGTATCTGAGGTACTGGTCCTCGAGCCACGGGACCCAGCGGTCGTACTGCTGGTTGTATTGCTTCTTGGTCCACTCCATGGCGTCTCTGGGGGCCCGCTTGGCCTTTCTGATCCGCTGCTTTCTGGGCGAGGGCGGTGGGATGTTCTGGATCGAGGCCATGTTGGAAGAGAACGATCGTCAGTCAAAAAGTCTCCGGACGAGAGATGTTTCTCCCTGGGGATTGGGTGTGCGATGCGGGGTGTGAAGGGGGTCTGAATGGGAAAGAAATGGTAACGAGCTCGGACAGGCAGCAGGTGAATTATAACATACCAAACCCGGTCTGTCTCTTTCGTGTCTGCTCAGCAGTGGTCGCGTGTGCCAGGCGTTGCGAACGTGTCTCGCTTCTGACCGTTGGATGTGGGTTAAGTGACTATAGAGAGAAGTACAGGCGGGGAAGCGAGGAGCTAGGTAGACGACTTATCTGTGCACGCGGACGATGCCGTGGGTCTAAAATCAGCAAGGCAGGTCACAGAATGCTGCAGATGATGCGCTTGTGAGTACGTCATCTGCCAGCCGTCTCGCACCGTGGCTGGTGGCTTTGTCGGCCGCATCCCTGCAAGCCTCGACCGGAATCTTGGAAGACGCTGCAAGACGTCACCCGTGACACCCCGGCGGCTCAACCTCGCAAATGTACGGACGATAAACTGATATGACATTGCCGTGGCTACGCTTTTAAAAACAAGAACAGACATTTCATCCAGTAAAACAGACTCGTCTCCGCATGCCCTTCCTGTCCCAAGAAAGCTATTGCAAAGAAAACCCAAACCGCGTTTCTGCGTGTCAAGGCCTCTTATCTATGCTCTCGGCCCGTGAGGGGGTATCGTATGTTGTTGTCGTTCGTCCCTGTATCCGAATCGACTCCGTCCAAACAAGAGGCAATCCATGCCTACCAACTACGCCGAAGCTCTTATGCTCCAGCCACTGCCTCCAAATATCCAACCTCTTCAGCGCTGCTCCCAGCTCGTATTCCTACAAGCCTCCGTGCGAGAGCGTAAGGAAACTGCCGACGGGCGAACTTTTGTAAGATGCAAGGAAAGCGATACAAGTACAAAACAGATGTCTAGTCGTGACCAATAATAAACACTAAAAGGAATGCTGTGGGTGCCGTCGGGCGGTCGTGGGTCGGAGATGGAGGCTTCGTGCAGTGTGTTGGACATGGAGGAAAACCGGGAAGAAACCAGCAGATGAGCCGTCGTGATGCGCTGCGTGTCGTCTGCATTCGTCCAAATAATTCCAGTGCGCCAAACATATGGAAGCGTACGCCAGGAATCAGGAACAAGGAAAAGCAGACATGCGAGTCCAGCGCCGCAGAAATGCAAAGGATACGCTGTTATACAGAAGATGCGTAGGAAATCCAGCTTTAGAAAGTGTACAGTGTGTCTGTACGACCGAGAAAGAGGGTATTTCGAGAAGAAGAAAAAAAGAGGTTGAGGGAGCGTCGAGAAGTTTGTGAATGTGTTTAGGTTTCCTGCCTGAGTCGTCGGGACAGGCTCGCGGTGCGGCCGATGCCGTTTGGCACCGCGTTGGTGGACGTCCGGGGAGTAGAGTTCGAGTAGAAGCTCAATCTCTGGCGCCGCTCCTCGCTGCCGAAATCACTGGCACGCGGGCTTTCGACGGTCGAGGACCGCTCAAATCTGCGATCGCGAAGGAAGGCGGAAGAAGGACCGTGCGAGGTCGGGCTATCAAGGGTTGGAACAGCGCCGTTGGGGCGCCTGATCGAGGTAGCGTGCTGCAGTGCGAGTGAGGCGGCGCCATCCGGGAGTGGCACGGCCGAGGTGTACTCTCTTGACAGCCTGTTGCTGCGACTGCTGTGGCTTTGACGGTTCTGAGAAGAGTAATCAGTCATGGCCCGGGAGGGCACCCGGAGAGTCTGGGTGTCTTCCTCCATCTCCGGCTGGTCATCGTTTGTGACCGTTGCGCGGCGGGGCCTGCTGCTGAGGAGGGAAGTGCCGGTCCTCGAGGATTGCTGGTACCTGCCGCCCTGCGTAGGGGTGGTCCTGTCTCGTTCCGGCCCATCACGCGGACTGTTGCTAGCGCTGCCTGACAGGAGCATGCCAGTCCGACGGGCTTCAATGCGGTTGAGAGCGCGGCTTGGGCTGTTCCTCATATCGCCGTCTGGTTCCGTGCTTCCACCCCGGGGCGGAAGTTGTTCGCGATCCCGGTCGCGGTCGCGGTCGCGGTCGCGGTCGCGCTCTCTGTCACGCTCTCCGTTTATCTGCACACTTTGTCTCCGGCTGGGAGGCCCAAAGTTAGGCGATTTGAGAGCTGTGTTCTGATTGTTGTTGTCGCAAAGAGCGATGCACAGTTCGGTTAAGCTGCGGCACATGTTGTCCGCCTTCCTCCGGAGCTGGCGCTCGCTCGTCTGGACTCCACTGTTTGAGGTAGCGGAGCTCGTGTTAGCTCCGTTGGTCATAGCGGCCAGCTCAAGCGCATCTGTGGCAGTCGCCTCCAAAATGCGATACATTGCAGGGCTCATTGTGTTCTGGCACTTTGCGAGCGCAGAATGGAGTAGAGGGTGGCTGGAACCAGCGGCACCCGTGACTGCACCGGACACCGTCGTTTCTGGCGGTGAAACACTGGACCTCTTCACCTGCTTGGGCGAAGCGGTGACAGACGTTGCTTGAGTAGTGGCAGTTCGCGGCCGCTCAGAGGCGGTATAGCTCGTAACGGCCGCGCCCGATGTCGGAGGCATCTTGCCGGTGAGCTCGAGTTTCTTGATGCGAGACTTGAGTTCATCCAATTCGTCCCAGACAGTGGAGGTGGCAGTGGTGGAGTCGAGTGATTCAGACCCGTCGTGGCCGTCGCTGTTACGTGACTGCTGCTCGGGTTTCGAGAGGATCTCAGGCGAATTCTCCAGCGGAGTGGTGGGTTGACTGGTGGGTTGATTGTAGCGAGAAGAATACGTAAGATTGCTTGACCGGTATCTACTCTCACGCGCCGTCGCGTCACGCGTCGCGGCCGCGGCGCGAGCAGGGTCCGGAATTGACGATCTCCTATTCTGGGGAGATTCGTCTTGGTCTCGTGATCGCGAGAATCCAAAGGAACCCGACGAGCTCATGCCAAAAGTTCGGATCCGGGAACTGTCGACTGGAAACGACGCCGTCACCGACGTGGGAGGCTCGCGTGCCGACAATGGTGAGTTGTAGGACGGCGAGGGCAGTTGGGAAGAGCGCCTGATGTGGGAAATGCGCGTCTGGATGGCCGAAGGGGCGGGTTTGATATTGGTGTCGATGCTAGGGCGAGTAGCAGACGAATTCAGCGAATTCGATGGGAGAGATTGCCTGTTCATACGAGCGATTCTCGACTGTTCTATGCATCAGCAAAGGGGACGGACCATGCAGGCATGTTAATGAAGGGGAGCCAAGCGTGAGCCAAAGAAGCAATACGACAGAAAGACAGCGAGCAATCGGAAGGCGGCCGCAGATAAGGGCAGCGGTAGCGCATCGAAAGTGGGCTCAGATCTTAACGCAAACGCGTAGTTAGGCGCGCGATTAAGGCACGACTCAGGGATGCGCCGCGGATTGATTAGGGAAGTGCACTGACTTACCCGTCTTCGTTCAAGTCTAACTGTATCGTCATCCCCGTCCTGGTTGCGGGGGCCGTCTTGCGCAATATTTAGAAATAGGTCTTCGCTACTCGAACCCTGTGCGTTGTGCACGTAGTCTCCGCTGCGGTCGTCAGGCCTGCTGCGGTGCGAGTAGGCAAAGTCGTAGTCGGATTGGCCGTCGGAGAAGCTGTTGTTAGCCATTGCACTCCGGCGGCTCGGCGAGTAACTCCTGCGCGCGGGCGTCTGCGGATCGGGGCGCGAGCTGGGGACGCTCCTGATCCTGCCGGATGCTTGCCTGCGGTGTGTGGGTGTTGTGACGGTGGTGTCGCTGCTGGTGCGCGTATGGCGATGGCTGGCGGCCGGCGCAGGCTCGGTGGTCGAAAAGGGCGCGGATTGGGGCTCTAGGAGGGCGGCGTCGGCAGGGCTGCGAGAGCGACGCGCAACGTCGGATGTGGTGGATCGTCGTCGCGTTATCAGGGCAATTGGCGGACCGTACGAGGTCTCAATACCATGGCTGCTGTGCGAGGCGGGCGGCTTCCGGGGCGCGGGAGATCGGGCGTCGGCGCTCGAGGGGGCGTGCGGACCGAAGTAGGAGCCGGACGACGAGACGCTGCTGGGAGTCGGGCGCGGTGACGACGAGGTGCTGGAGCGGCGAGCGCGGGCTGAGGAGGGCGTGCCGGAGACCAAGGGTGAGCTGGGGGTGCTCGGGGCGCGCTGGGCGGGCGGCGTGTGTTGTTGTTGGTGGTGCTGGAGATGTCGGTCACGGTGCCGAGACGCACTGTCCGCCGGGGAGAGGGCGAGTGGGGGACGCGGCGGCAGCGATCGTGGAGACAGCTGCTGCGGGAGGGCTGAGAGCGAGGCGTGGTGCGGCGTTGAGGGCGGTGGTGCGGCAGCGGCTGGCTCTCGTGGGGATTGTGGTGTGCTGAAACTCCGGTGAGAGGAGCTGCGTGCTGGCACTGGCCGTTTGATGTGGGCTTCCATATCCTTGTCCGGGGGGCTGGTCCAAGTGGTGCACTGCGCTGCTACGACGCGCGCGGACAACAACAAAATTTCGCCGTCCTCGTCTGCATGAAGAAGATTCACGGGCCCCAGGAATGAGGGCAGCAGTGCTCCGGAGCGCGAGGAAAAAGCGTGCCCCCGTAATCCGTACCTTTCCCCTGCTCCGCCGTGCTGGGAGCCGCGAGCCTATTGCCGCCCTAGTAACGTGATGCTGCAAAGCGTATCACAGATGGCGGCTGGGGAGCACGATCACCACCGTTAGGCCATGCCTGACAGGCACAAATGCAGAGGCTGGCGACAGTCTAACCGCAGCGGGGCCGTCAATTTGCGCGCCTCGCCTCAAATCCAGCATCGTCACAATCGCAGCCGCCCGCCTAGCGCCTGCCTGTGGCCGCGGGGCGTGTTCGGATGCTCCTGCAGGAACGCACTTCTCTGTCAGATGCGTTTCCGCACCCCAGAACGCCGCCCCGCCGAGCCCACAAGTCCATACCTCCCGTAGCCGCCCAGCCCCGACGCTTTCGCAGCGGCGCCGCGGAGAAAAGAGCGAGCTGGCGCTGTCCTCAGCCCTGCCACCCGTCTCCGTGCCGACAACCTCCCTATTGACAATACCTATGCACGCCCGGGAGCAAGCCAGGTTCAGCGCAGGTTGCAGCCCACAGGGCAGCGGCACGGGCTCGCTTGCGATAATGCGCAATGCACACACCGGCCTCGACGTGAGCTGAATTTTCGAGAAAACGTCGAGCCACGGAGCGGAGCGGCGTGCGGGCACAGGCGCTGCGCTTGGTCGCATTCTGAAACGCCCTAGTGCCCTTTAGGCAGGACCCCCGGCACGCCTGCACCCTTCGGTGGGCAAGGGGAAGGCGTCCCAGGAGGGCGATACCGTAACGGGTGACTAAGCGTCTGCTGCCTCCGGCCTGCGTCAGAGCTTTGGGCTGGCACGCCAAGACCGGCTTGCTGCTGCGTTTTGACCTTTCGACGACTCGCCTCATCCGCCATCAATCCACGCGCGTCCGACCGCCGCCGCACCACCATGTCCACCGGACTCTCGCTCTCGCGCGCCCTGCCGAAGCCCAAGTACACCGGCGAGGATGAGGACCTCCCCGCCCACGCACAGCCGCGCGGCCCGCGCGTCGTGGGCGCTTCCGAAATCGACCAGACCCAAGTCGTGCTGAAGAAAGCCGGCCCGCCCCCATACGGCCAGCGCGCAGGATGGCGGCCTCGCTCGCAGGAGGACTATGGAGATGGAGGCGCGTTCCCCGAAGTTCCCGTGGCACAGTACCCGTTGGACATGGGCAGGAAAAGCACATCGAGCTCCAACGCGCTCGCAATCCAGGTCGATTCGGAGGGCAAGGTCAAATACGACGCCATCGCAAAGCGGGGACATGGCGAGAACCGCATTGTGCATGCTTCGTTCAAAGACCTCATCCCGCTACGCCAGCGTGCGGACATCGGCGAAATTTCTCTGGACCGTCCGTCTGAGGATCAAATCGCTGAGACGAAAAAGAAGACCGAAGAGGCTTTGGCAAAGCTGGTGTCAGGTGCTGTTGCAGCGCAAAAACCCAAGACTGTTGCAGGTACCTCGCGAAAGGCGCCAACCTACGTGCGGTACACACCGGCAAATCAGATGGGAGACAACAGCAAGAAACAGGACAGGATCATGAAGATCGTGGACAGACAGGTCGACCCGATGGAGCCGCCCAAGTTTAAGCATAAGAAGATCCCCCGTGGACCACCGAGCCCACCGGCACCCGTCATGCACTCCCCACCTCGCAAGTTGACGGCTGAAGACCAGGAAGCTTGGAAGATCCCTCCGCCGGTTTCCAATTGGAAGAACCCAAAGGGTTATACTGTGCCTTTGGACAAGCGGTTGGCAGCCGATGGCCGTGGTCTGCAGGATGTCACCATCAACGACAAGTTCGCACAGTTCGCCGAGGCTCTGTTCACCGCGGATAGACATGCAAGAGAAGAGGTCAAGCAACGTGCCCTCATGCAGCAGAAGTTGGCCGAGAAGGAAAAGCTGCAGAAGGAGGAGCATTTGCGCTCACTGGCGATGAAAGCACGCGAGCAAGCTGGAGGCAGCGCCAGGAGAGGTTCACGAGACGCTCGTTCTCGCTCCAGGAGCAGAAGCCCCTCCGAATACTCGTCGATGTCTGAAAGTGACGGAGACGAAGCTGTCAGGGAAAGAGAAGAGATGCGCAAAGAGCGTCGTAGGGAGGCCGAGAAGCAGTTGCGGCAATCACGCATGGGAACTGAGCGAAGGATTCAAATGATGGCGAGAGAACAGAACCGTGATATCTCTGAAAAGGTTGCACTTGGCATCGCAAAGCCAAGTGCGTCAGGGGAGAGCATGTACGATTCGCGGCTGTTCAATCAGACGAGCGGATTCGATACCGGATTCAACGAAGACCAACCTTACGACAAGCCCCTTTTCGCAGCGCAAGACGCTCTTCACAGCATTTACCGACCGAAGCTTAACCATGAAGATGAAGAAGACACTGGTGAGACTCTGGACAAAATCCAGAAGTCTAGCAGATTCGAGGTGCTCGGCAAAGCCAAGGAGGGCTTCAAGGGCGCGGACACTGCCGAGGTAAGCAGAGTTCTATTATGCTGACTGAAGATGCATAAGCTTACAATTCCAACAGCAGCGCGAAGGACCTGTTCAGTTCGAGAAGGACACCGACGACCCCTTCAACATCAATCAGATGATCTCGGAAGCTACCAAGGGTGCTGCAGGAAGCAGCAAGAGATATGGCACGGACGAGCCCGACGGCCGGTCTTCGAAGCGCGCCAGGGTTGAAGACGATGACTGAAGAAACTTGCAGGTCATACCAAGCATAATTTGCGGGACTGTCGATACCAGATTCTTAGCATTCATCAGGCGTACCGTGGGTCTACCTTCTCAAAAAGTGGCGCATAAGTACAAACAACTGGCGATACAATCGATTGGTATTTTCCATCGCATTGCCGCGAGCTTCATCGCTCTCTACAGGACCAAACGTGTCTGCACTTCTTCATTTCTCGGTTCCTTTCTTTTCTCACGTCCTATTCTCTTTGCCTGCCTCTTTCAAAGATGTATTACCAGTTTCCAGCCACATCCCCAAGCTCCTCGGAGCGCTTTCCACAAAACCCATCCTCTTATACAGCTTCCTGGCCGGTGCATCTGCCAGCAGCGAGATCAACGCTCCAGGAGGCGCGCTCTGATTGATCCTGGCCAGCATACGCCGCAGCAGCGCCTCTCCCAATCCTTTGCATCGGTGCGCGGGGAGCACGGCCATGTCAGCGAGATGGAAATACCAACCGCCGTCGCCAATGGTGCGAAACATGCCAACAACTTCGGGCCCGGGTGTGATTTTGGTCGAAGAGGATGGAGGCCCAGAATAAATGATAGTGCACCAAGCCCAGCTGCCGGATATCGCGCCCTCCCCTTGCGCCGGGGTTTTTGGGGAGAGGCCGCTCACGCGCCGGAGGGAAAGATAGGTCTCGAGTGGGGGTGGGCCATCGTGAAATGTGTAGCCAGGTGGGAGGCTTGAGGTTGGAGTGGCGCTCATTTTTGTAGATTCGCAGACTTGACGGTAGAGGAGGTCTGAATGAATCGAAGACTCGGCTTTGCCAACGGTTCTCGGTTTTTTAGAGATCTTGGGGGCGGTTGCAGTGAGACGTTCGCCGGATGCGATAGAATAGCTATGAGTTGAGACACTGGATATAAGCACTAATGGTGAGTCGACCCTCTCTCCGGACGTGCCGGTGGACGTGCCGGTGGATCGCGCCGGTGGATCGCACCGGTCTATGAGATAACGCATACGCAGGGCATTGCAAATGTATTGGACGAACCTCTTTCAATACACCGGGTTGCGGTGTCCAAGAATACGTTAGCGCAGACTCAATCATGCATTAGCGAGTTGTTCAACTCGTTGTTTGGCCTATGGCAGTATTATTGTATCCAGCACTCGGTACATGCTGTGCTTGAGGAAGAGCTGTGGACAAAGTGCATGATGCCCAGCGGATTATTGAGCACGGAGGTTGAGCAGAGGTTCTAGGCCCTATGACTGATAGTCAAAATTCCCCGCGTATGTCATCATTGTCTTTTGCGACCGCATGTCGCTTCAGCCATTGGGATTCTTTGACTTCAAGCTCAGAATCCAAGTGATCAGCCCTCCACTCTCCCAACGTCTCCTACGACCGAAAGCACAGCCACCGCAATGGATCTCCCCGCAAATACCGAAGCGCGACCGCCGGCACACGACGGCACCTGTGATGCGCCACCCGCCAAGGAATCAACCACGGGAAGCTCAGCACCCCGGGATGTCAACGAGCTGCCACCCGCCGCTCTGGAGCTCGCGGCAAAGCTCTTCGACCTCGCTCGCGCTGGCGACACGTCCACGCTCCAAGCTTACCTCGACGCCGGCATTCCGCCAAACTTAACAAATCACCAAGGAGACACACTGCTGATGCTTGCGGCCTACCATGGCCGGTCAGAAGTGGTACGTGTGTTGCTAAGCAAGGGCGCCGATCCAAACGTTATCAATGGCCGCGGCCAGAGCCCGCTGGCTGGCGCAGTGTTCAAGGGCCACGGAGAGGTGGTCAAAGTGCTGGTCGAGGGTGGTGGGGACGCCGAGGCGGGAACGCCGAATGCGAAGGACACTGCAGTCATGTTCAAAAGGGAGGAGCTGTTTGAGGTTTTGGGTGTGGAGCCGGGCAGGGAAGTGCCTGGGATGGTTCGCTCGATGGTCCCAGGTGGAGGGGCATCTGGAGCGGGCCATTGTCCGATATAGAGAAACTCTTTCGTTTTCTAGATGTTGGGAAGAGAGGAACGAGCCAGATGGATTAACGTTCGTCAAATAATTTATGAATTGGAAGTGGTGGGCAATTGCGTGAAATGCAGTGGTGTTGGCAAAACGCGGCTCAGCCCTACCGGCAGTTTCCACTTCGGCGCGGTGGTCTGCACTTTCCGCCCGGCGCGCGTCACCCAAAGCTCGCCAGCTACCTCGCCGACAACGTCGCCGCCGCCTCACCTCCTCACCCACAACACTCCCTCCACGCGTCTCCAGCTGCCCGCCATGGCGTCGCCTCCATCCGGGTACAACTTAACGAAGAAGCGTCCCTCGATCAGCGGCCCGTTGCCTCCCAACCCAAGCAAGCGTCGCAAGCCTTCGACAGGCCCTTCCGGTCTGCGCCAGACGTCCTTCCCGCCCGAGGAGTCCGGGCGCGCCGAGTTTTCGCGCTCCCCCAGTGTTGATAGCACGTACACTACAAACACCAACACCACGAGGAAGAAGGGCAAGAAGGGCAAGGGCGGAGATGACGACGTGAGAAGCACTACGGGAACAAGTGTTCGAGGAGGCAAGGCAGGAGCCGGCGATGGTGCAGACAAGGCGGACGAGGAAGAAGAGGCAGACCAGGAGGAAGGTGGAGAAGCGCTTGATGCTGTACTGGAAGGCCAAGGCGAGGCAGACGAGAAGCAAGAGAAGGAGCACTTGAGGTATTTCCCTCTCAGTCAGCTTTTGGTGGAATCGTTGCGACTGAATACTGTGACAGGATGCTTGTCGATCGTCTCGATCCCGATCAATCAGACAGATATGCAAAATATCGCGCCGTCAAGTTGAAGAAGGAGACTGTCCGCAAGGTATGCTGATTCAGTTCTTTCCAAGATAGACCTACTGACCAACCCGCGTGTCGTATAGATCACCAACCAGACGCTCTCTCAATCCGTGCCTCAATCCGTCGTTACGACCATCAACTCTTACACCAAGGTCTTCATTGGGTCGTTAATCGAACGCGCCCGCACCGTACAGCAAGAATGGCAAGCCGTGGCCGAGTATGCGCCCATAGACGACCCTCGTCTGCCTGCGAACCAACCACCGCCGCCACAACAGACCCCTCCAACACCTCAGCAGCAGCAGCAGCCGCCGCAAGCTCCGCCTCCGCCCTCTCCCGCTGCAGCTCAGACGCCCGGCGCCTATCACAACCCTTACGGTTACCAGCATCTTCACCCTTCCTACAACCCCAACCCATACTCCAACATCCGCATCCCTCCTCCTCCTAGTGCGAGCACTTCTCCTGCGCCCCCCAATTCCACGCATGCCCCATCCTCCCCGGCTGTTGCCTCGAGCGGTACCCCCAGCCCGGCGCCCGGCGCGACCACCGCCCCCACCAGCACAAACGGGACGGGCAACCCCAACTCTGCGCAGACACCTACGCCAAACGCGTCACAAGACACCACTCTTCCAGCATCCAGCGGCGGCACCAACGCCACCGACACCATGGACGTCGACGACAGTGATACCAAGGCCGGAAAGCTCATTCCCGCCGACGCGCCGTTGAGTGAGCGCCTGGCTGAACGCGATCGCGGTCCGCTGACGCCGGACCACCTGCGAGAGGCGCTGCGACGATACAAGAAGGATCGCGAGGGTGGTGCTATGGGTTTCTTGGGGCTGAGTCTGGAAGGCAGGGAGAGGACGGCTGGCAGGATGGGTGGAAGGCGGTTGTTCAAGTGAGCGGATGGGGGGAAGCGTGCGTGGATGGCAGTTGAATGAATTCACGACGGGCGTGCGGCGTTGCGGCTGTGGGTACATCTACTGCCTGGACTATGGGTTTCGGTAAATATTCTGGGATGCCATCGGAAGCAAGGCTCCTCAAAAGGTTTGGCATTACGGCTGAAGCGCTTGCGGCATACTATACATTGTAGATGATGTAGCGAGCATCGTCCGTTCAGCTCCTTGGCTCAACCCGAGCTGGATGGAGGAAAGAAAAGGGAATGGACGTCAATTAATACATAAATTAGTGCTCCCTCTTTTGTGTCTCGGTTTCTTTGCTTGATAGTAAGGTTTTTTTTTTTTTTTTGGAAAGAGTTGCTGTAATATCTCAGCACGCGTCAGCAACCATAGCACCGCCGAAAGGCCTGCCTGCCCGCATGGAGCAAGCCTGAACGAATACCGGCAAATCTGGATCATTCACAGACATGCTGATTGTGAGACAAGCTTCGCTGATCTATCTAAAATTCGCGATAAGTCAGAATATGGGAGCTGCACAATCGAATCAGCGGGCCTTTAGACCAAGGGAATAGCATCGTGTATCTCCAACTTCTATGGAAATCAGAGAAAAGCTCTTCATAATAGCGATCATCTTGGCAAGGTCTTGGGCAACTTTAGATGCTTTTATGCTTGCCCATCGACGCAAGCAACTCAATGGAGCAATTTCATGCAAAATATTCAATCTGGGCATAACGCAAAGCACTATGACGTTGGACATAACAGTGGATATCATAATTGAGCTGGTTAGTCATCCCATTTTGACTAAACTTTTTTCAGCTACCTGACGAGGTACGTTCCGGACCTCATTAGACCAGACTAAAGGAAAAAGTGCAACCGGACCACCACATACACCGCATGAATCACCCTTAGTTGTCGTGAAGAGTGCCGATGAACTCGCTGGTAGGCTTGGCAGACTTGGGCTGCTCGAGCTTCTCCTGGCCGAGCTTCTGGGCAGCGAACTGCTTGGCGTAGGGGTTGAGCCTGAGCAGGACCTGCTTGTTGACGAGCGGGTTCTTCTTCTGGACAACAGTGCGCTTGGTAATGGCGGCACCCTTGACGGGGCGGAGGACGGACTGGACCTCAGAAGAGTTGATGAGCGCGGCAATGTCGGCCTGCTTGACAACAGGGGCGGGCAGAAGGAAGTCCTTCTTGAGCGCCGAGGGCTCGGTGGTGGAGCCGTAGATCTTGTCAAGAGCCTGGAAGGCGGAGGAGGTCCAGACGATGAAGCGGCCGAGGTGACCACCAGGGGCGAGCTGGAGGAGGTTGAGGGAGTAGACGGAGGAAGTCTCAACACCGGGGATGTTGCGGAAGGCAGTGACGAGCTCCTTGCCGTCCGACTCGGGGTCGTAGACGACAAGAGGACCACGGCGCTGGCGGTGGCGGCGGCCACGGAGCTTACCCTTACCGGCGCGGATCTTCTTGGAGGCCTTGACCTTCTCGACATCAGCACCGGCACCGACGGTCTTCAGGAGAGCGAGGGCGGCGGAGGTCTTGGAGATGGCAGCGTTGGCGAAAGCGGTCGAGGCAACGACAAGGGGAACCTCAGGGACGGTGGAAACGGAGTGACCACGAGCCAGCAGCAGAGCGGCGCTGGAAGAGGCAGCCAGGGCAGAAGCGGTAGCGAAACGCCTACGATTGTCATTAACTTTGCGTCCTCAAGCGGCGCTTTCGCACGCAACAACTCACTTCTGGCCAAGGTTGATCTTCTGGTGCCACTTCCTCCAGACCTTGGTGGGAGCGAACATGCGACCAGAGCGGCACTGGTTACCAAAGGCAGCCTGGCCAGCACGGTGGGTACCACCACCCGAGACACGGGGAATACGGGCGACGGCACGGCCTGTGTAGTTTCTCCTGTCAGTCTTGTTTCTTTTGACGACCAGATATCCGACATTTCGAGAGCGCGCGTTATTCAATTCGCGATTTTCGAGATTTTCCGGATTTCGAGGATTTCGCATTTAGGGTGTACTAACCGGTACCCCAGGACTCGGCGGAGGTCTGGTGGCCAGCCTTCTCGCTCACGGCGTACGGCTGCCTCTTGTTCTTGGCCATGCCGGTGTGGACGATCCTGCGCTGGGTCAGCCATGCTGATATCGTGTCGAAAACATTGCGATGCGGCTTACTGCACGACATCCGGGCGGATGGGGGCCTTGAACACCTCCGGGAGGGGGTGCGTCTGCTCGCTGGCCTTGCCATCGGCAGAGATAATGGTCACAACAGGCCGGCTCGTCATCTTTGCTGTGTTGGTGGTGGTTAGTCCGTCGTGGTTGGAGGTCGAAAATTGCCGCGGTGAGCGTCAACGGCAGAGTCGTGGTGCGGCTTCGCTCGCTTACGGTCCCGGTTCCGGACTAGCGTGCCAAGCCCCGTATGCATCGGTCCTGCATCCAGTGCCTCCATCGTGCAAGAGGCTCGTCTCACACCTCTTTCCTACGCTCTCCCCTCCACAGCGCCCCATCTGAGGCACGCGACTCGTGCCAACGCCTGTAGCCGGCCTTGGCGTCATTCGGCGACCGTAATCGTTCCCAGTGTCAATTTGTTTTGCTTCGTGCCCCGTCGTTCCCTCCACGCTACGACGCGTCGGCCGGTGCTGCGCCTTTCCAAGGTCTCACTTGGCCTGGCCCACGCTGCCTGCCAGTCCTAGGTATGGTCGCGCGATGGCGAGACCGCATTTCCTCCACTGCGTTCCCGAATAGCTTCGGAGATTCTCAGCGCAGAGATGGCACCCGGACTACTGCCGCCCGGCACGCAACCCTCCCACGGAGGAAAGCCCGTCGTGGGCGCAGGCAGGGTCGCCAGATGCCACTCTGCAAATGGGGCACAGCTGCTGTGTGCAGTTCCGTGTGCGCCGACTGCGACTGCTGTCGACTTGGCAGCCTACTACGTACGGGCGTCTCCCGCGCAAATTATCTGGACCGTAAATTGGACGCACGAGTCTGTTCCTCTGGCCACGATCAAAACAGGCACATAGCCATGCCTTTGCACAGCCATATCATGTAACCTTGGCCACTACGGCGCGGGATGAGCCGGTAAGCGAAATGGCCACGGTGCGCAGGTAATTGTACAGCGGAAGAGTTCAGACACTGCGCGCCGCCTGCCTCCTTTCACGTGGCTCATTCTGGCAGAGGCTCCTGCCTGCGGCGAGGGCTGGGCTTGCTCTGGACGCTGCCGTCCGGCCCGCCTCACTGAGCATCTCGCTACGCAATGCGCGACGTTACAGATGATCGCTTTCTGCTTCGGGGAGGTACTAATGGTCGACATATGATGACCTAACCGGGCGTGGCGGGGGCGGCCAGGACAGGCTGACACTCGTCTGGCCATGGCCTGCCCCCGATCTGTCTCAGTAGTGCCGTGGTGAGATGCGGCTCCTGACATAGTAGTAGTGCGCACTCGAATCCCACAAGCTTTTAGACTCGCAGGCGGCGCGGACAGAGGGCGATCTGCACGCAGGCTACTGCGTAGCAAGGAGGCGCGTCGTCCGGACCGGCGTCGTTTATCGGGCTCGAGAATTGAAACGCCCTACTCGCAGAATGGTGCGGAAGAGGCAACCCACGCCCGCCGCGGCCGGCACATGAAGGCCTCGCACCCCGGTCGCCGCATGCGCCAGCCCTCGGCTGCGAGATGAGGCTCCTGGCCGTCTCGTGGCCGGGTCGAGTTTTTGTCCGTTTCAGGTGGGCGATCCTGCGCGCCTTTGTTGATGCCGGTGCGAGTGGGCCGCCAGCCGCGGGCGCCGCCATCGAGCGGGCATGCACAGAGCATGCACAGAGGCGCCGCAGGGGGAGCTGGCGCTGGCGAGTCGGCGCCGGCGGGCGGCGATTCGAGGGCAGCCCGCCGCTCGGGGAGCGCAGTCGTGTCTCGACGCAGCGCCCGTCTCCACGGCGCTGCAGCGCTCTGCATGCCTGGGGACGTGATTCGCCGCTCTTGCGCCCGCGCACGGGCCGCCCCAAAAATAGCCCTTGCGTAGGCTGTAGGCGCCCACTCACATTGAACTCGGGGCGCTGGGCCAGGAAACCCATTCGCGCCGCCTTCTCTACTGCTTCCATCAACCCATTCCCACCGCGCGCCCGCCCCCCTCACCACCCTGCCCTTCTGTCCTGGATGCCGAGCACTGCAGCGCCCGCTGTCAGCACCCCGTGCAGGCCTTGCCGCCGCTGAAACCTCCCCTTTTCCACGCGCCCGACCGAGAGCCCGCCGCCGTCTCTGCGAGACCTGCTCTGCTTAACTCCGCCGTGAGCGCGGCTCCTCGACACAGCCAACCTCAGCGCCGCCGCCGCGCCTGTTCATACTGCTTCCTTCCCTTTGCGCACCGCGTTCCGCCCACCGGCGCCTCCGTTGAGCCAGTCATTCCTTTAAGCGCTTACTCGAGATCCGGCATCTCGTTTCAAGCTACCCGCCCACAGAGCCACCGCCAGCAGTCCAGTATGTATACCCACACCTGCGCCTGCCCATGCCCCCGTCGCGCCTCTGGCCAACTCCACCTGCTGCCCTCGGCGTTTCACGCTCGCTGCGCTGAGCCCCACAACATGCTGGCCGCCGGCCTGCCCGCGCCGCCAATACAAGCATTGTTTGCACCGCTTGCACAGCAGCGTCTTCGGACCCCTCTGCCCATGCCATGCCTCTGTCCCTTCGATAGCTCCTTCCATACCGCTCTCTTCTGCCACGCGTGCCTCCCGGACGTTGTGGTGGCCGCTGCCTTGTTCATGTGCGCTAACAGCCCGCTTCTCGAAAGGTCCTTTAGCCCAGAAAATAACGTCTAATCACCCAGCTCCCAAGAGCAACCAACAACGAATCCGCCCTCTGCCTGCGTCATATCACTTTGCGTGCCACGCGTGTCATCTCCAAAGAACAGGACGGGCAACGTGGTACGGCTAACACAAGCGCATACCTGGCTTGGGTACGTTTCAGGCATGCCCGTTCAGACATCTTCACGATCCCATGCTACCCATTTGCCGTCTTTCATGTCCGTTTTTGGAGAAGAATCAAAGACTACTAGAGGGATGCCAGACTACCAAGAGCGCAACGCGCCCGTCGCGCACACCCACTTCTTAAAGCGGCCTGCGACGAGCAGCGCTGTGCTCTACAACCCGAACACCGCTTTCACCGGGTTTCACCAACATCGGGGAAGTACGTCCACTTCTGCTTCGGAATCAACTGATTCATCTCCAACAACGACTATCTCCACTATGGATGGATCTTCGCTTACCGAACCTTCGCCGGGTCCTTCACCAGCCTCTCCTGCGGCAAAAGCGTCTGCTTCGTCGTTTTCTCCAGATCTTCGTTCAAGAAATGCCTCAACCGACAAGAGCAAGGGCGAGTTTTTCGAACTTCAGCGACCAACGACTCCGGCGAAAAAGCCTCGCAATCTGAAGAATCTGGCCGTAAACACTTCATCTACGCTCAGCCTCGGACGTGCTGCGAACACGGCTGCGCTTCCTGTGCAAAAACCGCCAGCTTCATCTTCTGCTCCACCGTCGCCTTCCTTCGTCAAGCCTCCAACGCCGCCGCGGCGAAAACCTAGCAATCTGGCCCTGACCTTGCAAACCAATGCGAAGGGCCCGCTTCCCACGCTTTCGATTCCGCCGACGCCTTCCATCAAGAGGCCGAACACGTTACGGCACTTCCAGTCCTCTCCGTCACTTCCGTTATGTTCGCCTGCAGTTCCCCCTGCTGGTGGCATGGAATTGCCCCCGGCACCACGGTCGAGACCGCCGCCTCATGGATTTGCCGAAATTCCAGTGGAGGAAGAGGAGGAAGAGCAAGAACCGAACTTTGACGTCCCTCAGTCACGCGAGGAAAAACCGGAGGCGTATCCCAACGGCCCAATTTGCATCTACGAATCAGGTGTGGACCTTTATTACGAGCCGACCGCCGAAATCGCTGCACGCTACGATGTTGTGCTCAACGTGGCGAGTGAAGTCGTCAATCCGTTCAAGAAGGCTGCGCAGGATGCGAAAAGGGATGCGAATGCTGTTTCAAAGGAGAATCCCACGTCGCCAAGGACCTTGGAGCTGACGCAACCGTCCGCCCGCACTTCAGCCGACGGACAAGCAGCCACTGAGAACTCAGCAGTGGCACAGGGAAGTTCCCCGACAACTCCAAAAGCCACTTCCTCATTTGGAGAAGAGGCGGAGAAGCCGGTTGCGCCATCTACGTCACGCTCGAAGCCGGAGTACATCCATATCCCCTGGGAGCACAATACCGATATTGTACCCGACCTGTACACGCTAGTCAGAGTCATCGACGACCGCGTTCAGCAGGGCAAGCGTGTTTTGGTCCACTGTCAATGCGGTGTCAGCCGCTCGGCCAGCTTGATCGTGGCATACGGCTTGTACAAGAACCCTGGCATTAGTGTCCAAGAAGCTTACGATGCCGTCAAGAAGCGAAGCAAGTGGATCGGACCCAACATGAACTTGATTATGCAACTTCAAGAGTTCAGAAATGGCTTGCTTCGTGCAAATGGACACAGTCAGGGTTACAAGGCTGGCATTCCCAGGAGGCTTTCCCCGAACCCTATGGGCCCCAGGGGAAAAGATCAATCTGGGTTTGACACGGATTCGTCTGGTTCTCGGACTCCTGCCACAGCACCTTTGCCACCGGACTATGGCCCCGATCCCGTGCCGCAACGAGCGAGTACAGGCAACATGGTACCCGTTTCGCCAGGTCCCACTTCCGCTCCGTCAGGTCTGAATTGGGGCACGCCCGGTTTCCGTCGCACTTGGGATGCAGCGCACGTTCCTCTCGGTTCTCCCGTTGAGCAACCTTTTGTCGATCCTATGGGTCACGTCATCCCTGTGGTTACCATTCAGCACCCCGCTCGTTCGACCCCAGAGCCCGAAAGGGAGGAGAAGTTTATGAAAGAGAAGGGCAGGTCCGACAGCGATGCTACTTTGCGCCAGGTTCCGAACTTCTCACGCCAGTTGCCGATTAGGCAGCAACAAGACGAAGATTATGATGACAACAACACGATCATTCTGACCACTAATGTAATGGAAAGCAACGCCGCGGCTGGACATCAACAAGAGGCTCTGGACAGGTTGACTTCGTTTGCACCGTTAAACAACGCAGCGGCTCCACCGCTAAGCCCGAGCCCGCACAAGTCAAGCTTACAGGAGCGGCGCCAGAACAAGATCAAGTCGCTGGCAGAGCCGTTTGCTGCATCAAAGAACCCTGAGCCTCGAGCCAACTCTTCCCTCCTGAAGCCCCTTCAAATGGATGACACATTACCCTTGGCTTCTCCACTCAAAGCTAATTTCTCCTTCGACAACCCTCCAAGGCAGGTGCGGCCGAATGACTCTGTCATCTCGATGTATGATCGCCACAATGAAAGCCGATCCCTCCCACAGGGTGAGAAGACGAACGGATCTACCGAGCCTTCTGGGTCTCCCATCTCTGAAGAATTCCACATGGCTCCGATTGTGACAAAGGATGAAAGTGACGAGGACTTCGGTCTCCTCTCGCCAACAAGGTTCGAATTTCCAAAGAATCCGTTCGATGGACTTGAGCCTGAAACTCAAAACCAGGCAACCAGCAGCAAACCAGGAGTCTCACCCGGACTTCCGCCTCGCGTGCACGCAATTCTTCCACCGGTTACGGAAGTCGATACTCCCGAGCAATCACCCTTCCAAGGATTCGGCTTCCTAGGCTCTCAGCCTTCGCCACGGCCAGCGACACCGCCACAGGTCTTGAGGACTACTCAGCCTCCATCCGAAGAACCAAGCCCGATGGCAGGCATTCGTCGCGCACGTACAGATGGCCCCGAGCCGACCACGTGGAATCTTCACGACAACGACAGTCACCTATCCACGTCAGAACCAAGGCTTCGACCGAAGTATTCGAACCCAGACTTGCAATCGCAGCGCCGGCTCCGCGCCCTTCAAACCGAGATGGAGTCACGCTTGCCCAGCCACAACCGCCCGCATACATCAAACGAAACCGCGACGCTGTTGTCTCCGAGAGCACATGAATTCACCCAAAATCCTTTCCACTTCACACTCGAGGAAGTATTTGGCTCCCTGCCGGCGGCTCAGAACAACCGAGTGCCTAGTCCTAAGCAAGAGGATGTGAGTCAGATCCGGGAACCTCCAAGATGCAGCACGCCTCACACAATGGGCATTGATCCTCGGAGCCCGCCACAATCAGGTGCAAGCCCTATCACAAGGAACATCTGGGACGTTCTATGATCTTCCTTCAGAGCTTATGTGGCCACGGTCCGTTGCCTCGATGCGTTTACCTCAGGGGGGCCCCAATCAGGCTTGTGCCATTTCAAAACTACCTTTTGGCTCCGAGACAAATTCTTTGCGAGTCCGTACACTGGTTCGGCTCACGATTTTACCGTGTCTGCTGTATCCTGCGAAGGGTGGCACAGGCCGCGTTTTGGGCTACTAGACTACGATATCGCGCTGACAGAACCTACCTTGTTCTTTTGGATGAAGATTCTAGTGCTTGCGCGTCATCAGGCGGACGAGCCACCACAGCCAGGGCATGTGCGTTGTCTCCGAGTTGCGGAAAAGAGTCTCCCGAGCAATAATATTGCTGATACTTACGTGGAGGCCGATCATAATTACTTCTCTTTGATCAGTTTTCCTCTGCTCCCTTCTTCCCTTCAACCATTCTCTTTTCTTTGAATGGCCTTCGGTGCCATGCCTTCGCTACTCTATTCTCCGGTTGTGTTCCCTTTGTCCGAGGTTTTCAGCTCTCGTCCTCTTCGGGTTGCTGTGTCCGCTGCTTGGATGCACCCTTCTTAGCAGCCTTCCCAGAGCGACAGCGTTGGCGTTTCAAAAGGGGAAGATTTCCGTTTTCTGGGACTTTGCTCGTTTCATATCTCGTCAGGCACGAAGAATGCCATTGCCCACCAAACCTACAGTCGTAGTGTCTACATTCATTCCCCCCTCCCTATTGCAACATTTCGTCCTTTTTGCCAAGTCCTTTCTGCTCTTGTTTTTCTTATTGCTTTTTTTGCTTCCTTTTTGTTTCCTGATGGTCATGACGAATAAATAAACCTGGCGCGAATTTTGGGTACGTGTATACTGGAGCGTGTCGAGACGCCCGATATTCACTGTTTGGTGTTACTGTGGGGAACAAACAGATGCTGTTGATGGAGGGATTAAAGGGAGATACCAGGAGCGATGGGATGGACAGCGGGGAGCCGGGGGAGTGCCTATGACGCCATCCCCCTCTCCTCGCCATATTTTGGGTCCTGAGTTTTTCTTTGCACATAGGAGCCAATCAATGAATTGGACAGTACAAACATGCTCCGAGTGATGGCACCGCAGGTCAGAGTGTTTGGATCCCCTGAGCCCCGCTGAGGGTGCCACGTTGTTCCTGCATGAGCATTCGAAGCAATCATTCGGACGCAGACGCGACTTTCGAAACGGCGTAGACGCGCTGAATGCAGGGGGCGCAGCTCCCCTAGATCCCAAAGACATTGCGTGGGTATGGAGGGAGACGGTGCATGAGTGTGTGAAACGCGAGCCTCGAGGTGAAACTGGACGGAGACACAAAGTAATGACGATGGACAAGCGTGGAAACAGATGGCTGGAACTCATTTGTGAGGACCCTGGCGCGACTCCACAACGGGGAATGACGTGCATTTGGGGTCACGGCAGCCGCCAGGCACAGCAGGACGCGATCGATTAGGTTGCAACAAAGGGCAGGATGGTGATTCGCGAATGGCATAGGGCTGATGGGGTCACGTGCGGATGTGCCTAGTTCGTGGCGGGCTGCGGCCGGCTGCGGCCGGCTGCGGCGGGCTGCTTGTTTACAAAGCCGCCGACCGCGCGACGCGGGCCCCGACCTTCGTGCAAGCTTCCGGCGCCACACCCCGGTCTCCATCTCTCCACCATCTCCCTTCCACCCTCCGCCCTCCGCGACACCGCGCCGCTGCTGCCCCGCACTGCCAGGACATCCACTGCGCTTTTCGCTGCACGCATTGTCCGCATTGTCCGCAGTTCTCGCGCGCACGGCGACCGCCCCGCACGCTTTCGCAATGGTTCACACACGTCGCCAGTCCTCGAGGCTGCGAAGCACCCCGCAGGTACGCAAAGTCTCTGGCCGCCAATGCCTCGAACAACGACTGACCTTCACCAGCGCCTTGGCAGGGCCGTTGTTTCAGAGGATGTAGCCTCGCCCACGGTTGCTGCAACCCCCAACATGCCTTCGCTCGAGAAGGTCGACGAGCAGCCCGAGGCTGCGAATCCCGAGCAAGTCGCTACTCCCAAGACTTCTTCTGATCAAGCAGTGTCGAATGTACCCAAGATCGCTGTCCACACTCCGACCAGCAAGACGCAGATTCAGCCCAGCGGCATCGAGATGCATCCGGCCCACCATCATCTCAGCACGGCCAAGCCTTTGGACGAGGCGCGATGGCTCGGATTCCTCGACATGGGCGCCGCCACAGAGCCGGTCAAGAAGGGCGCAAGCAAAATCCCAATCACACAGGCGACCCCCACGAAGTCTCAACAGACGACGGCCACTACAACCTTCTCAACGCCCGAGTTCAAGTTCCGTTTCCGACGTCCCTCGCTCGATCTTAGTCCCGAGGCGAAGAAACTGATGGAAGAGAGCAGGAAGGAGGCGGAGAAGATTCGGGCCCAGATGTCTTCCAACCCGGAGAGATTCGGGATCGAAAGGAATGAGGACATTGCCCGCAGGATCGCAACGCCGACGAGCAAGACCAGCCGCTTCAGCGCTGCTCACATGGCTGAGTTCAAGAAAATGGACTCTATTGCCAACCATCCATCGGCCTTGCGCGCCAACCGCGACCGCCTTCAACCTGCCGCCACCGCTTTCAAGCGCTCACCCTCCAAGGCTGAGCTGGACAAGCAGGAGAAGACGGACAGCAAGATGCCGCGCACGAAATCTGCCATGGACCTTCGCAAGGCAGACTGCGACGGTAACACCAGCCCGGCCAAGCGAGTCAAGCAAAGCAAGGAAGATGACGCGTCTGCAGCTCGCCATGTCTTGGAGAATGGCGAGGGCTCGAAACCGGCCACGCAAAAGAGTGCCACCGCTGTCCGCGGCCCCCCTCGCTCCTTGTTCCACCTGACGACTCCGACCAAGGCCTCTCTCGCTCGTTCACAGAGCGTAAAGACTCTGAAGAAGACATCGTACATCCCCACATTGGCTCGGTCTCCCTCTGCACAGGCCCTCAGGACTCCCTCTAAGCCGCCGGCGTCCTTGATGGACAACCTTCGCAAAGCGAGCCAGAGCGTGTCACGTCTGCCTTCTGTGAAATCGATTCTTCGCAGCCCCGTTCGGCACTACTCCCAGGATCCGGTCCAGATCGCTGCCGGAACGCACATGACGTCTCCGCCCAACCTGAGCAAGGACCTGCCGGACGTTCCGGCGACTGCACCCGTCCAAAAGCACGTCGTTTTCAGCGAGAGCACACTTGCGAAGAACGGGGAGGACAAAGAGGTTCGGGCATCGTCGGAGGTTCCGCAGGACGCATCTTCCGAAGTCAAGTACCCGGAGTTGCCAGAATCTTCCGAAGTCAAGTACCCGGAATTGCCAGCGGCTTCGCCGGCTCACCGTGGTCCGAAGGGCCCAGGTGACTTCACCTTCCGCTCTGACAGGACCATCAAGTTCGGTTCTGGAGTCAAGGGACCTACGATTCGTCATGTCCGAAGCAGCGATGCTTCATCCTCTCTGCCCGATCCCTTCACATCTTCTGCCAAGAAACGCAAGGTGGACGTACCAAGCGCGATCACGGAGAGCGAGAAGGAAAACGAGGAAGAGGATGGAAGCCGTCCGGTCAAGCGGGCCAAGATGTCGACCAAAGCTACGCCGAAGAAGGCTGAGGCCATCAGCAAGACGCCGCGGCGCAGAGAGGCAGGCCGAGGAGCCCTCAGCCAGGCAAGGCTGAACCTCCTGGCCCAGCCCAAGCGCAGAGTGTAGGTAGGGTACAAACTCACATCGGCAGGCGTACAGGACTTTGTGCATTTGGTACGAGTAACGACACAGCATTTTGGGCAGCTTCTTTGATCAATGTGGCTTGTTGATGAACGTGGAGGAAGAGAACACACTGGCTTTGCGAGCGGCAAAGGTTGCTCGGCGACATGTCAGGCACGGTCGGAAGTCCGGTTGGAGATTCTGGCGCTGCACGGGTGCTGCGGTGGTCGGCGGGGATGCCATTGCGAGCAGTGGTCGCCTTGCTCTAGGGAACCCTGCTGAGGATCCGCTCGCTTGACGACAGAATTTCCGTGTTGGCGCGCCGGAGCATGCGGGGCCTTATTTCATCATGGACTGTTTCCTTTCTTTTTTTTTTTCTCACTCTGGCTAATCACGGATTGGGTCTGGCGCATCGGAGGGAAGCGGGCGGATCTGGGTTCTTTTTCCATTGCTCATCCATGGGAGGGCGCTCCTCTCTTAATTTGCTCGGTTCTTAGGGATTGTGGATAGCTAAAAACAAAAGGCTGGGTAGCGTGCCGGCGTCAGGCAATGTGTCCATTTCCAGCGGCGGCAGGACCGTGGCAGGACCGTGGCAGGGCTGATGCGCAGGGCTTGTTCGGCAAAGCGTCGATCCCCAAAAAGTGGGCGCAAGAAAGCCTCACCTTGTCCTTGTTGCCAGCCTATCACCACCCACCGCAACTGCCGTTATCCCAACTCTGGCCGCCGCCCGCCCGCCATCGTCATCTCTGAATCGCGTTGTTTCGCCTCTCGCCTACATCACCCAAGCCCTCTCCCCCCGCTGTCCTCGAGACCGTCGCAACCGTGGCGTCGCAACTGCTGTCCCGCGTAACCCAGGCCATCCAACAGCGCGATCCTGCTGCCCCCAAGCCCCGTGTCCTGGACAACGTGCAGCGAGCCTTACACGACTTCGTCCGCACCTACAATCTGCCCTTCTCGAGCCTGCTCCACGACCCCGCCCCCTCACCACCCGCGAGCCCGCTCGACTACTTCGCCGCCGCCGCCCGTCGATACACGGCCGATCCCACATCGCTGCTTGTGCTGCTTGCGACGCTCTTTGCAGGGATACTGATTGGCTTGTTTGGCTTGAAGAGAATGTCGTGGGGTTCACGCTTCGGCTCTTGGGGTGGCCGCTTCAGTCCCTTCGGCCGTGGCGACCCTGCCAGCACTACCGTGTCCGATGCCGACTTCAGCTACATCACCAGCGAAGACCTGGCGAACCAGAAGAACCAGGCCGCGACTGACGGCGCCAACCACACCACTTCTTCGCCCGCGCCCTCGGGCCGCAGCAATGCCAACGGCGAGACCGACATCCTGGTGCTGAAGCACAAGCGCGTCAGCTACCCCGTGCACTTCGCCCGCGGCGCCATCGATGCCGGCGAGCTGAGCGTCCGCTCCATCCGCGATGCCGCCGCGCGCAAAATGGACGTCGACGACCCCCGCCGCATCAAGCTGTTCTTCAAGGGCCGCCAGCTGAAGGACGACCAGCAGGCGCGCGCCGTGGGCCTGCGCTCCGACTACGAGAGCGAGATCATGTGTGTCGTCGGCGAGGGCGTGCCTTCGGGCTCCTCGTCCAAGGCCGACGGCGGCTCGTACGCGCACCGCGGGGACGACGTGAACGGCGCCGACTCGGGCAGCGAGAGCAGCGACAACGGCGGCGACTCGACGCCCGGCGGCGGGCCGCGGTCCAAGAAGAGCAAGGGCAAGCGCCGCCGCGGCGGCAAGAAGCACAGCGGCAAGAAGGGAGGCCGCAGCGAAAGCGGCACGCCCGAGCCCGGCCTCGCCTACGTCGGCGGCGGCGCCAAACCCGAGTTCCTGGGCGTGCCGACGACGTCGGCGGTGCCGCCGCGTCCGTCCAGCTCGTCGTCGAACGGCCGGCCCGCGCCGCCGCAGAAGCTGCCGCAGACGCCGCTGGACAAGCTCCAAGAGCTGTCGAGCAAGTTCCACACCACGCTCGTGCCCATGTGCGTGCAGTTCATGAGCAACCCGCCGCAGGAGACGGCCAAGCGCGAGTTCGAGCACAAGCGCTTGACCGAGACGGTCCTCGCTCAGGTGCTGCTGAAGCTGGATGCCATTGAGACGGGAGGCGATGAGAATATAAGAGCCAAGCGCAAGGAGCTGGTCAAGGAATGCAACAATATGCTCTCGAGGCTGGATGAAGCTCTGAAGCATTAGACGGCCGGTGGCTCCGCTTCTCTGCTGCCAGCATGGCCACAGGTCACCATCGGTGCTTTCCTATCTTTTGGTCACGGATGGCGGGAATCATTGAGGGTTGGGACGGGTACTTGATCAAAACTTCTGGGAGACGACGACCACGGTCATGCCATGTTCTTTTTCAGTTTGGGCGGGTGCGATTCAACGCGAGATTCGGGCACGCATGTCCACGACACGAGTATGGCAATGACTGGGAAAGGAACGAACAGGAGAAACCGGACATGGGAATGAGGTTTTCTTTGCCCGCTCGGGGTTTGGTGTGAAACCAGGCAGCAACTTAACTGGCGTCTCTTCCGTGCTTGAGCGGCCTCCTTCTTCTTCTTCTTCTTCTTCTTCTTCTTATTGCTGTATTTCTTTATTATACCTCGTCTCTGGCTATTTGATGTCTCCCTCTCCTCGTCCTTCTTCCTTCCCAGCTTTTGTGCATCTTCAAGCGTTCAGGCGAACAAGAAGGCATTCAGACTGATAATCCCAACGTGCCTCTTCTCCTCTTGTTCTCCATTTGGACGCTTTTCAGTTTCACTTGGTAACCGATTGCCTTGTCCTTCAGATAGACCATGTTTTTTTTTCAGTCTCGGAAGCGGCACATGGCGGTGGCATATATCCACGTGCTTTTTTTTGTCTTTACCTCTCAGTTTCTCCTTTTCCGCGAGATTGGTTGCATTGGGCGGATAGGTCACTGTTTTCCTTCGTGCTTGATGACGGTTTCTATTACTCAATGCATACAGATGCGGCGTGAGTACTTAAAATGTGATTGAATCTTAATGCACCCTGAGTTCATCTAAGGATGTGATGTCATACGACGAGATCAAGGAGCGAGATCAAGAAGTGAAAGATGTGTTATATTGCCTAAACGTTGAGTTGTAGGCGAAGTTTAACAGAGGACCTGTGGTGCTATTTAAATTTTTTGTATGATGGTGCTATCGGCAAGAAAAGAGCAATGCTTCATACATCCGCGTTGGTGTATTTGACCGAATATCTCCTCAGATCAAGTAGTATATGGCTTCGTATTCAAAAGGTCCGCCATAGATCGACATTGTCATGTCCCGCGGGAGAATTAGTAAAGTCGGGCTATCTCTTCAAATATGCTTTCTCAAGCTTCTACTACGCCAATCTCCTTCATAAGCTTTTCGCATCAAGCAGTTCTTACCACAAGGCAAGGACCGGGCAAGTTCAACTACCAATGTAAGTATAGTGCGATAACTCTGAGACAAATGTGAATGGGCTCAGTTCTTTTCTAACCTACCGTGCGCCCAAGATGAGTGATCTGGTCTGCTACAGCGGCGTGTGATACTTTGTATTTTTTGCTCGTCGAGTAATAATGAAGAAAATACTGGATTACAATCAAGGTAGTTCGTATGAGTTGCATAGAACCGTGGTTTCCGGACTGTTGTCCATGGAATAACGGTTTAAAAATTATTAGGAACCCAAGGGTTGAATACATAAACAGCCCTTTATTTTATCAATCCATCCGACAACTCCGGAGGGTGCGACCATATACGCACCTTTTCGGCGCAAAGTTACGGATAACCCAACATTGCGTCAGACCTCTCTTCCATTCCCTCACAACCCTACACAGAGCGACTATGTCTGTTTTATATTCTCTTCAGTGGACTTTTCTTTATCACCTTATATTCTCCTACTCTCATTATCCATGCCATCATATATCACAGTCGGGCTCGCGTCTCATCGATGGTGGATTGCTTGTTCTCCTCCTTTATCATGAAGGCAGACTACGTGTTCCGCGGTACAGCACGCATTGTGTGTAGTATGATCGTTTTCTTGATGACTAGCGAGCCAAGAACCACGGAGAAGGATCCAAGTGTACGAAGAGCAGACGTGACCGCTTCGCGTTTTGACCTGTGGGCTATTCCAGCGTATCGTCAGTCCTGATTTTGCCGTCACTGTCAAACAGGATCATGAAAATACTTTCTGTAATGCTGTATAATGAAGCACTGATTTCTTGTTGAAAGGCCCACTGGACGCGCTTCCAAGTCACTCTACGAAGAGACCACACGAAGTGTCGCGTTGTATTCACTCCTCCAGCCGCGTAAGCACCTCAGTCTCAGCTTTCCACGGCAACAAAGCAAGAATCCAGGCAGCAACACCGAGCACACCGCACGCTAAATCCTTTCTGGCTGTCCCGGCAGCCAACTTTGTTACTCACGCTTAGCATTTACGGTTTCGGGTTTAGTGCTTGCTCAGTCTGTGCCATATTCCGGCGATCCGTGCCGGTTTCCCGCGATGGGGGATGGAGCCGTCAGCATAGCACTGACCTATTTCACATGGACGGCCGTTGAAACCATTGCTTGTGAATGGATCAAAAACTCCCCTGACCGTCAATTTTACAGCAATCCAAAATCCAAATGTACATACCGGTGATGGAAGTCAGGGTTTGCTGCTCACTTGGATTGCCTTTTGGTTCAGCGCCTGATGTGAGACGCTGCGGCGCTTGGAAGGAACCCCTGGCTGAGCGCCCACAAGCGCGAATCATTCAACAGCAGAGCGCTTTTGAGGCTTGCTCAGCCTCATTCCATACCTATCACTGTCTCAACAACTTTTTTAACGGCCCACGCCTACTGACTGTGAGTGTGCTAGAATACCTAGGTCCACCTACAATACCTAGAGCTGGGCTGCTCAACTCTACTCAGATGAACGAGATCCGGTCGTGTCGGGATGCTAAAGACTCCATCCTGCTACCTCACTAGGGCGTCCTTCTCACAGCACCAGTGAGCCCACTTCCTGACCCATACTTTGTACCGAAAGTCTGCCGCCTAACGAGCCGACAAACCTGCCAACGGCTACGAATTTGTTCCTTCACCGGGGAAAAAACATGTTAGCGGTTCCTGGTGACGATAGTGGGATTCTCGAATACGATGGGTAAGTCACAAAGTTCCCTCCATACACATACTGTCTCTTTACAGGCACCTTCCAACAAGCTGACGATTGTTTATTAACCCAATGTGTCCACCTCTATGAGACAATGGCACCGACGACGACGACGACGACTACGACAGATCGCTCCGGTACCATTCACCGCACACACTATGACGAGCCAACCAGGTTGGAGTGCTTCCTACTTCGAAGCTGTTAGAAACGAGAGCCCGGTGTGAAGGTATAATCTGGATAGTTCTACTGCCGTGTAGCTTGAGACTGGCGAGGCACGGAAGCTTTGGCGTACGGCAAAAATTTGCCTGGCACTGACTAATGGTCAACACCAGCGATTCAGTGCATGTTTCCTTTTCTTTCCATGAAAAAAGGGCGATGGACCATGCGGAGAGAGCGCTGTAGGAGAAATAGTGCTCCCTGCCCAGGCCGATGCTCCTACAGGGTGTCCAAGTGGTGTGCTCAAACACTGTCAACTCGCCTCGTTGGGGCATGGTGATCCATCTGGGGACGAAACACTGAAGGGCGTCTGGATTCTATGCAGCTCCAGCTCCCCAGTGCATGCTACTCGGAACGTAGATTATGAGGCCTTGGTGTTGTAGATGCATTGCATAATTCTGGCACGGAGCAGTGACCTAGACAACCTATGAGACCGTCAATTCGAGGCCCTTTTCATGAAGTTAGCATCATGCTACGAGTGTCCACAGCGAACTGGAAGACAATTGAGCCTTCCCACATCTGTCTAATAGATATTGTAATCCACTTGCGTGGGTATCTGAACCCTGTGTCTGGATGAATCTCTCAAGGGTCTAAACTTCGCATCCGCGTCTGGACGTTTGCTCGAATTCAACATGGATGAAGAGCATATCTGTATTCGCTGGAGAAGCTACTGCGTGTCTAGCACCAAGAAGCTGGGCAAAAGAGCCCCTTGCGGACCCATTGCTCCAGCGGCCCGACCATAGCGGCGCATACCGATGGGGATTGGGGTTTCCCTCGATCATGTGGCATTGATAGAGCCAGTCAAGCACAGCCTCAAAAGCGCAGCATACCTGTCTGGTCATCATCATGCCTCGCTAAGCATGGGCAACGAGGACAACGGGCATGAAGGCACCCATGTCAGCACCGCCCACATCGAACACAGCCCCATCACGTCTCCTCTCTTGTGCATCCAAGAATGCAAGCCCTGTACGACTGGGCGCAGTGCCTCAATGCACTAGGAATGCGCCACGTAACCTCCTGTGGCTTGCGCAAGGAGTTATAGCCAATGCGGCACGGACGAGGCGCATCCGTTAGGCCGTCGTGCGTGTGTCCCTTCCTCAGCCAGTTCCCGTCCTCAAGGGCCCTTGAGCGCCACGGGAACACGCACATTCAGAGTTGCTCTGAGACATGCTCTGCCTCAGATTGCTGCTGCTTTTTCCAACGGCGGCCCTAGTCCGATGGTGTGGGCTAGCCGGGCAGCGCCAGCAACGGCGGCGGCAGCTAGACCAGTGGGGCGCTGCCTCGCCACTGGCAATTGCCAAGCTGGAAAGTTCCTTTGTATGCCATATTTGGATCATCAGCTCGCGGGCCTCCTTGTCGTCAAAGAATAGGACCGAGGTGGTGATGGCATCGCATTCGAAACACGCACTGACGGGTCATCCTCTTCGCAGCTCGGCGCGATGTCATCTTGTACACAGTAGTCTCATTTGTATGGCTCGAGCGTGCTGGGCCTGAGGGTATCTATCCGGCAGGTGGGGGTGATAGGCGGGCATGGCCGAGTGATGTGAGCGGCGGGAATGCGGGCACGGTTCGAGTACGGGCAGGTAATGACAGTGCAAAAGGACGGGTGTTTACGTGTCGGGTCTCGCTAGTTGGGCTTCACTGCGGTGCGCCTAAGAAAGGTGAGCTATGACGACGCAAAGGACGAGATTGGCAGTGGGGAAGCAGCGGAAGCAGCCAGAGTCGGGACGGCTGGAGGCTCTGGTGTCCCCAGTGGCTAGGAAGCAGCCGTTGGCGGTGAAGAAGGCCGCAAGGCCGTACACTAGGGCTTCTGGCGCATGCGGAGAGGGAGTGGAGGAGAGGACGAGAGGGCGAGAGGGCGAGAGGGCGAGAGGGCTGCGGGCGGTGGAAGGCCAATGGGACACGCGACTGGAGGTTGTCCTCAGACGGGCACCGCGCCAGACATTGCAGAGCAGGAAAGCGCGACCTGATGACTCGCCTGCCGCTCAACAGATGTGCGTCCCGACCGCCTTCGCAACTGATGCCGGCTTAGCTGAGCCTGCCGGCACCCACGCCCCTGCAGTTCGTGCCGTTACTCCCGACGAGCTGGCCCCATAAACAGCAACGATCGAACCAGCGACGACGGGTCGCCGCTCCACCTCCTTCAGCCGCAAATGTTGCAATGGCGGGCCGGCGCGTCTATTTTCGGTCCTGTTTGCCCCGCGAGTCGGGGGGTTGCTTGTAGGTACGGAGCAGTGGGCGACGGCGTGTAGGCAGGCGCCGCCCTATCCGCCCTGCCCCAAGCCGTTGCACACTAGCTCTGGCAAGCCGACCACCGACCGACGATGCGACGATTGGGATGCTCAACAATTGGGCGTGGGACGAGAGGCTGCGTGAGAAGAAAGGACCTGGCCATGCCTTTGCGGCGTCTCACCAATCGACTGCATGCGGGCACGGCACCGGTGCTGCTGTTGATCAGGCAGCGATCTGGACCGCGGCACCGCAGATTCGTGCCGGTGCCGGCGTTTTGGGCAGTCAGCGGCCCTGAGGAGGCCGCGGACGCTACAAGAAGTCCCCAGCCCAAAGGCGCAGACAACCTGGCCAAGCCGGGAGCACGTGAAGAGCGCGGCCAAGTCTGACGGGCGGACCGCGGGAGAGGCGCTGCGGGTAGAGAGAGAAACTGCCGGTGTTTCCGGACACGAACCGACGAGCCAAGGGCGCGCGGGTGCGTAATGCGTAATGGCGTGCTGCGTGCTGAGTGCTGCGTGCCAGGCCGCGCGGGTTGCGTGAGGCAACTAAGGGCGAGTCGTGAGCGATGGTCCCGCGGGTGACGTATGGCTTCTGCGGCCGGGGGACGTTGCGGAGGCCAAAGGCTTAGCCTTGCGGTCCAGCCGCTCGTCGCTGCCGCCAGGCACTCCCGACCTCGCGCCGCTGCCGGCCAGCCCTACGCATCACCCAGCCGCTCACGCCGCTCACGCCGCTCAGCACTTGGTTGCGCCGTCTGCTGAACAGCGCTCCCCCCGACCTCAGCAAGCTGCCCGGTCTTCCCCGAAAAATTTTCTCGCCGTTCGCCGCACCTCCAGACCCGGCCACCCGCCCCCCCAGGACGGCTGCCCCGTCGCGCCTCTGCGCTGCCGGCCGGGGCCACGCTCCGCCGTGCGCTCCCCGACGCCGCTTCTGGAGCTATTGACGTGACCTCGCTCCAGCGCAGATATATCTGCTGCCCGATGGACCCATCGTGCGCAGCCCGCCTGCATTTTTAGAAGGCGGCGGGCCCGCGCCGGGGCCACCAGGCCATCAGGGTGCGCGTTCCCCGCCCTGATTGGACACATTTCCGCCGAAGCGACCTGGTGTGCGACTCAATGGCAACAGCTTCACGGTTAGTCGGCACACTTAGACCTCCCACGTCGCGCACTTCTGTCCGCCCGCACAACCCAGATCGCAGTGCTGACCTGATCCGAGAGGCTTGTTTCCGCGCCGCCCTTGCCCGTGCCTTCCCCAGAACGCCGCCGCGCGCCACGCCCCGGTGCCCAGCGGCCCGCCGCCTGGAATGCACCCCCCATGTCGTGGCTGCTCCGCCTGCTGCGACGAGATACTGGGTCTAGATGCACTTCGCCACACTCCGACGAGATTCCCCGCCCGTGTGTCCTGCCTCCTGGGTCTCCGCTGGGGCTGTGCAGGTCACTGGATTCCACGAGCCTCTCAAGCGGGGCAGCTTCCGCAGGAACAGCGTGGCTTGGACCTCACACGTCGCGGATGACGGTATCTCGAAACATGTGCGACGCCTCGGACATGCCGAACCCAGCGGTGCTGTCCGCACACGCCTGCCAAGCGAGCCTGCATCCTGAACTGTTGCCGAACATTACCGTCCGCCTGCGCTGGGTATGGATCCTCGAGCACCGTCAATCCTGGCCAATGGCCGCGAGCACGCCGAGGATCCTTGCGCCCTCGCCGCCGTAATGTATTCTGGAAACGGGCTCGTCACGAAAGTCCTCGCCAAACCCATGCCAGGGAGGGAAGAACAGCCGTCAGCGTCCCCAGAGACGCCCGCCCGGGTCACCAGTCACCGCTGCGATTGGACCCAGCGGCTCGCCAACTAAAGCGAGCTCCCCGCTGGGCATTTCATCTCAGCTCCGCGTTTACGGCTCGAGCCGGAGGGCAACCCAGTCTGCTTGACCTGCACCAGGCGCAAACACCTTGGCAGCGTAATCACAGGAAATCCCTCCCTTGCTCTGCCTTCGCCACACTCGCTCCTGGGGTCCATATGAGATCTTGCTGTCTGGCTCCGAGGCCAGAATTCGCTCCTCATTTGCTGCTGTGTGACGTCTGGACACGCGTCAACCCATCCCAAGATCTTCGCGTGCTGCAAGATCCCACGTTTGTCATTCCATTATCTTTGGGTCGACACCATTCCTGGTGCCATGCCGAGGCTGCGAGGTTGCAGATGACAGACGCTCCGGTCATCTCCAGGGGGCTGCCGATGCCAGGGGTTGACGTGTGAGTGCGCCGACGGTCGAGTTTTACCGAGCCTGGACAGGCAGCAGCCGCCTCGCAGGGTTGCAAGCTCGCATCTACCTATAGGCGTTTCAGTCTGCTAGCCTCCATTTTCGGCGAAATCATGGCAGGTCAGACCAATGCTGAACGGCAGTCTTCGCGGCAAACTTGACGAGGGACACAGAGTGGTCCATGTCCACGCAGAATCCATCAGCGGGGAGGCAGCACGCAAAAGCCGGCACGCTGCGACCCACGTATTCGCGTTGTGGGCGACGAGGCCGGCGGGCAGGATGCATGGCGTGGCCAGGCCACGGGACAGGCTAGCTGGAAGCGGCAACAGACTTCAACGTGCCTAGAGAGGCTACAGCTATTTTTGCAAGCTGGGATGACGCTGCTGTTGCAGCGTTGCCGGGCGAGGGGTCTGAGTCAAAAGCGGCATGGGCAGTCGAGCTGTAGCGCGGTGTACGCACGAAGCGTCCATCCCACGGCTCCATCAGTCCCTGCCGATCAGCCCTAGCAGGTGGCTAGGGCGACGCTAGAGGGACGACAGGGGGGGGCGACAAATGGGCAGAGCCGGATGCAGCGTCATTGCGGCCAGGTTTAGCAATTGACGAATTTGCTCGAGCCATGGTTGGATTGCGGTAAGCTTGCGGATCGGCATTCACGGTCATGCACACGCGGATCTGGTGGCCGGGGAAGAGAGGCCTGGCAAGGCGAGGAGCGTCATCGGGGGCAGCCGAAGCAGCAGCAGCTCACGGAGGGCGATTGATGGGGCGTGCGGGCGGTAACAAGGCTGCGGCGTGGGTTGGGCGGAGGGCATGGGAGTTGGCTGGGTGCTGGGTGCCTCGGGCGGGCGGGCAGCTGACGTCCCACTGCGCCCCGACGCGCAGCTGCGGTGGACAATGCGCCACATCACGGGGGCGCGGGCGCTGTGCGTTGCAAGGCGCAGCGCGCGATGGGGCCCACGGCGGTGGTGTGTGGCCCCAGGCAGCTCCACCCTGCGGTGCTCGTTGTGCTCGTTGCGTGTGCTGGGCGCCAAGCGTCTCCGTTGCGCGACGGGCAGCGCAGGCCGGCGCCAAGAGATTCCTGGGCCCGAGGAGCGCGTCCGCCGGGTGCGGCTGGGAGCGAGGCGCGGCTGACTCGGCGCGAACACACAGATCGCTTATTTCCGCGGGCCTGCGGAATGCTTGCCGCCGGGGGCGGCGGGGATTGGCCAACGGCGGCCGGGTTCGAGGGTTCTGGAAAAAGCGGCAGCGCTGGTGGGGGGCAGCTCCCGGCAGCTCCCATGCGCGGCCAAGCAACTCCGCTTCGGCACGCCGCAGCGCCGCAGCGCCGCAGCGCCGCCACCCTGAGTCGACCGTCGCGGCGTCGCGCGTCTGCTTGGCCCACCCTGCCACCCCAGGCCGTCGGGGAGCGGGCGGTGCGGGCGGTGCGCGCGACCGGCGCGCTATCCCTCGATAAGCGAGGCCAAGCTTCATCCATTACGTAGCGCTGGGCAATGGGGCGCTGCTGAAGTAATGCGCGCGGCGGCCGCGACATCGTCCTTCCCTACCCGGTGGATCTCCCAGTCACACAGCCCGCCCGGGCCTGGTCTGGCTCGGCGCAGCCCTACCCACGACCTGCGGGGCGCCTCCTGCGTGTGCGAGCCCCCAACGGCGGACGCCCGCTTGGCGCCAACACAGGCGATTTGCACGCCCGCGCTCGGTGCTTCCTTAACACCGCCGCGCCCGCGATCACCGCCACCGAACGCCCTTGGCGGCTCCGTCTCCACAGCCTGTGATATGCCCTGGTCACATTAAAACCCATTCCCCCAGCGGATTTTCGCCCGAGCCGCGGAGTCGACTCTGACCTAGAACCGCGCGCCCTCCTCTTCCACACAGCACTGCATGGCCGCCCACACGCCCTCAGAGACAATGGCTCTCGAGGACGCGCCGAGTGCGTCGGCCTCGGGTACCACGCCGTGGGCCACGCCAACCACCCAGCAGGAGCCGGACCACACGCCCCGCGATGCCTCGGAGCAGCCCGACCAGCCCGACCAGCCCGACGGCCTCCCCGACCAGGACCCGCAGAGCCCGTCGGCCGACCACGCCAGCGACTCCCACGCCCCGCGCCAGGTGCCCATGCAGAAGCGCCGCCGCGTCACCCGGGCCTGCGATGAGTGCCGGCGCAAGAAGATCAAGTGCGATGGCAAGCAGCCGTGCACTCATTGCACCGTCTACAGCTACGGTGCGTCCCGCCATGAGACACACCCCCGCGCCGCGAGAGAGCTGACGCCCAGCAGAGTGCACCTACGACCAGCCCTCCAACCGCCGCCGCAATGCCGCCCCGCAGTACGTCGAGGCGCTGGAGAACCGCATGAAGCGCGCCGAGGCCCTCTTGGGCGCCATCCTGCCCAACGTAGACCTCGACGACCCTGCCCTCGTGGCAAGCTTGCAGGAAGGTGTGCTGCCTCCCCTTCCCCAGGCCCAGCCCCAGGCCCGGCCCTTCGCCGCCCCAGACAGCAGCCAGATGGCCCCCGCCCCAGCCGAGCGCCCCATGCGCGTCGACACCATGAACCCGCAAGCCCAGTCCGGCGAAGGGCAGCTCGAGTCGATGGTGCGCGCCACCGGCCAGCTCGACCTTGATGAACACGGCCACTGGGACTACCACGGCCACTCGTCCGGCTTGAGCTTCGTGCGTCGAATGCGTGAGAGGTTCGACTTCATGGGCCGCGGTGAAAGCGAATCCTCCCCGTTCCCCGTTAACCGCCCGCTCTCCCACGTGTTCGAGTCGCCTAAGTCTGTACAGGATTCGCCTGCCACCTTCGACAATGCTGTGCCCGGTGGTGCCGAGCTGCCGTCTCGGGAGAAAGCTCGAGAGCTGTGCGACACCGCTCTCAACGATGCCAGCGCCCTGTTACGTATTGTGCATCTGCCCAGCTTCTGGACGAGCTTTGAGGCGCTGTATGCAAAGTCTCCTGAAGAATATGGTGCTGCCGAGAATAGTTTTCTGCCCTTGCTGTACACTGTCCTCGCCCTGGGAACCCTGTTTTCACGGACCTCTGAGGATCTGGATGAGGTAGGCTACCAGAACGCCATTGACCAAGGGTAAGCTCACCCCCCAAACCCCCGTATCCGCCATGCTCAGCTCGCTCACCGCTTCACACAGTGTTCAGTACTTCAAGGCCGCCCGAAACATCCTGGACATTGCCATGTGCCGTGATCTGCATGCGCTCCAGGCTGTCATCTTCATGATTCTGTTTCTGCAATCGTCTGCCAAGCTATCCACTTGCTACGCCTATATTGGGATTGCTCTCCGCTCCGCCCTGCGCATGGGCCTGCACCGCTCTATGAACGACCGGTTCAACCCCATCGAGAATGAGAGTCGTAAGCGAATTTTCTGGGTCATCCGCAAGATGGATATCTACGTAGGAGCGCTCCTAGGATTGCCTCACACCATGAGCAACGAGGATGTTGATCAGGAGCTGCCGGCTGAGCTTGATGACGAGTACATTACGGAGACTGAATACTTGAGTCAGCCTCCAGGCCACGTTTCTCTCATCACTGCTTGCAATGCGCACACCACCCTCATTGACATCCTCGCCAAAGTAGTCCGTGTCGTTTACCCGATCAAGGGCAAGACCCATATCCTACAGGGACAGAAGATAATGTCCTACACCGTATCCTACGCTGACATCAGGGAACTTGAGAAAGACCTTCAGCAGTGGATGGAGAACCTACCCATGGCATTGAAGCCTGGTGGGGAGGCATCCATCCTCGTCACTCGGTAAGCGCCAGATTGAGACCTGAACCCGCGATTCAAAGGCTGACTTTAGACAGCGTTCGTCAGCTTCTTCGCATGGCATATGCTCATACGCAAATGATGCTATACCGTCCGTTCGTTCACTACGTTTCCAAGTCACCGACCTGCGCGTCCTTGGATAAACGTGCTTATGCTTGTGCATCCGCCTGCATCAGCGTGTCTCGCAATATCATCCACATTACTGCCGAGATGAAGAAGAGAGGGATGCTCAATGGTTGCTATTGGTTCACAATGTATACGACGTTCTTCTCGATCATGACTCTTGTCTATTTCGCTCTCGAGAACCCGGAATCACCCACAAGCCAAGACGTGTTGAAGGAGGCATATGAAGGCAAAGATGTCCTGGAAGGTCTTGCCAAGCGGAGCATGGCTGCAGATAGGTGCACGAGCACTCTCAAGGTGGGTTTGACGGTTTCATTGCTGCGTACGCTTACTGATCAATGTAGGCTGTGTTTGATCAGCTGCCGGAACGCATTCAGCAAGGCCGAGAGCTGGCGCTTGCTAACGCAAGCCGCAAGCGTCGCCAAGCTCCGTCGCCGCAGCCTGATGACAAGTCTATGTCCGGTCTATCCGAACCAGACTTACATGATGTTCAGGCCATAGCTCCCCGGCGTGCCAACACCTTTCCGAAGAACGTCGACGACCCTCGTGCGAGAGGGTCATTCCGCCCGAGCTTCCCTCAGCCTCCTGACCTCGACGACCCGCCGCAGAGCCAGTTTGGGACTGGGCCTGCCCTGCCTCACAGCATGCCCACAACTCACAGCTTTTACCCGCACGGCGTGCAGCACAACATGACGCCATCTCCGGTGTTCCGCCAGGCGCAGCAACCTCAGATGTCCCAGTTCGGTTTCTTACCTGCACACAACACCTTCATTGACCGGATCAATGGATTCAACCCGCCGATCCCCGACCTCAGCGCTATGATGTTCCCGTCGGGTGACCCGCTTGCCTATCCGAACCAGCCCATGACGACGTTTGAGAATAACGGGTTCAGCAGCATCGACAGGGTTGGTGACTCTGCTAACGCATTCCTTGCATTCAGTGGGTCGGGAGGCACTGGGACGCCCGTCTCCAATCGCAGCGCCGGTAGCAACAGGAACTCGGGGATTTTCGGCATGGCCCCCAATGCCGGCCCGCGCGGCGACCCCCATGCCGTGGACGTCGAGCTCCACAACCCGAGCCCATTCATCTTCGCGGCCGGAACCCAGTTCGGCATGAACCCTAACGCGATGCACGCGACGCCGCATCCGCATGGACGCCAGATGTTTGGAGTCGGCACAGGGGTGCAGGACGGCATGGCGGCCACGAGCGGTGCGGGTATGGGCGGGCCGATGGCAATGGCCGGTACCGGGTCCATGAACATCAACGATCTCTTCACGGGAGAGGAATGGGCTGGAATGTTTGCTGAACAGGGAAGCGGCATGGGCCAGGGCCAGGGGATGGGATTCGGATTCCGTTAGCGGCCAAGGGAGAAGGGAAACGGTAGACGCTCGAGGCTTGAAGAGGTCAGGAGGAGTAATGTGGCTGTGGTGGCTGCTTGGTCCGAGACGTCGCGAGGAATGGCTCGGGTGCAACAGAACAGAAGAGGTGGAGCGGACGTGGAAGAGGAGATGCTGCTGCTGGAAGCCAACCGGACGCAGAGAACGGCTCTGCGTCGCCTACGACTAATATGTGGAATTTCGGGTGCGGGAGCGGTGCTCGCTCTGTTCAGAGAGGACGGGGTAGCATGGGTCCGGCGGCACCCGGAAAGAGGAGGAAAGACGAGGAGAGCCCGAAGGTGGGATGGACACTTGTCCTACCTGATTTTGTCAAGACAAGCGGCGCCGGTTCGCCGCACACCTCAGAAGTCTGCGGTGGTTGTCATACGCGCATACTGTGCATGTACCAGGTGTACGCACTGCCTTATTGCATTGCTTACGCTTCGTTCATGATACCCCGCGGTTTTAAGATATAACGGCTTTTTGTGGATGGAAAAAGGGCGAATGGGATGATTGTAGTGTTGCCAAGAGAGAGGGGACGCAGCGGGACGGGATGGGAAAAAGGAGGATGGCAGGGTCAAGTTATTTTTTTCCCCCTTTCCGATTTTGCCGTCTTGGAGTTTTTCATTTCCTCGTTTTGGTTCTCACGCCCTTTTCGACGGCCGATCCTCTTTAGCGCTGCATCGAGCATTGTGGCTCGCATCTTTCTGTGCTGATTCGGATCCGAATGATGATTGCATGGGCTCGGTGTCAGCGTTGAGGGAGCTTCGCGCGTGAAAGTCCACTCATTTGGAAAACGCTACATGTTGAAATATGTCTAGTGTCTTGTGTGGGGTCTGGGGAAGATGTTTTCTTTCGTTTGTCTCATTACTTTTTTGTCGCAGATTGGGGAAAAGGTGTTGGTCTTTGGGGGTCTGTATTGCGTAGCAAGACGGGGAAGCACGGTGATAGGTGCAAGCGTGGGGCACGTCTTAAAGATTAATGTGGTTGCTGGTGTTGCTTCTGTCTCCATTCCTTCAAAATGTCTTGATAGCAGTGTCTGTTGATAGGTTGGTAGGCGAAAGCCGCCATGGGCGGAAATAAATCCCGGGGAGAGGACGTTGACGGCACTGTGGATCCTTTGTGGCGCCCAGCCCGGAGCTGTTTCCAGCCAGCCCAGCTACCTAACCGACTTCCCGGACGCGCTCTGCATCAACAATTGGCCTGCTGCATGCTCCCTCCCCCCTGCGCGCCCCCCCCC